AATTTATTTAACAATAAATAAAGAATATTTATTTACTTTAATTTGTAAAAGGAATAATACTTTTATTTGTTGTTAAACAAAATATATTTAATTTTGCCTAATTTTAAAGTTCAATTAAAACATCGCAAAAAACACATTTTTAGTTTTATAATGAAAAAGCATAATGGAAATTATCAATTATAAGCAAAGGAACTTTTTATATTGTATTAAAATTAATAATTATTTTAAGAAAAATATCATAATCTTAAATAGGTAATTATTAAAATATATTCTTTTTTTCATTTAAATTTTAAAATAAATTAATATATATAACTCCTTCATTATATTTTTATTTTTTTTCACAAAATTTTTAAAAATTATAAGTTAATCCAGAATTTTTTTACCCGTATATAATATAAAATCTAGAATAATATTTTTCAAAATCAAATAAAGTATTAAAATTAGGAATTATGTTTTCTATTATTTTATCAAAACCATCAAAATGTTTAAATGGAAATTAATTTATAATTTATATTTAGTTTGGCTTATAATAAAATTAAGATTCTAATTATCCATAATGTTAATTTTCACCTTTATAAAGTTCATTTACACTTGCTATAATACATATTATTCCTGCTATTATTATTAACTATTTTATTTTTTTGGGATTTTTTTGTATTAAAATTAAAGAGATTAAGAAATATATTAATGTAATTATAATAAATATTTATAAAAACATTTTTTTTATAAATAAAAAATTGTTAGTAAATTAAAAAACAAATATTTTTTTATTAATTTTTTTATTTTTTCTTAAATATTAATTTTTTTACAAATATATATTTCTTATTAGATATTTGAATTTATTTTAGATTAATTTTTGTTTAATAAAGATATCATTTTTTAATATTATTTTTATCTTATTATATCTTATTAAATAAATCTTATATTTATTTAAACTTTATATTTTATTTCTCTTCATAATCAAAAGAAGGTAAATGATCTAATTTATTATATTTAAAATTTAAATACAGTAGAAAACTTTAAGAAATCTTTTATTTAGAATCGAAAAAACTTCTTTATTTTTTATATATATCATTAAATAATATATAAGAGCTTTATTTTTAAAATCCATTGGAAAAAAAATCTTAAGATTTGTTCCTAAATAATCTTTTTTTAGAATAATTGATTATATTTTTTAACGAATTTTCTTTTTTTAAAAGGTTTTTAGATTCTATTTATTATTTCCAGTGTATTTAATTTTAATAAAATTTCTAAGCATTTTAAAGTGAAATTTATTAATTTTGAGAAGCATTTTCTTTTCTATTTTATATTGATAATTTTTAAGTTTACTAATGAACATTTTTTTAGATAAAAAGTTATGTTTTTTCGACTATAGATTTATTTCTATTACTTTTTTATATATTTTTTTATATATATTTTGATATTTATACATAAATTTGTATTTATTTATTGATGGCTAAAACGTACATTATGACAGTTATTATTAATTTATATAATCTTTTATTTGTTGTTAAGCTAATAATTTTTATTATTTCATTTATAATCCGTTTTCATATAATTTTAATATTGATTTAATATTACTCTATTTTTTTTAAGAATTAAAGAAATAATCTTTATTAATATATAAAAAATAATTATACAAATAATAATATATTAATTATTTTACTTATTTATTTGTTTATTTAATTATTTTAATTTATAATTTTATATTCATTACTGATGTTTAGTTTACTTATATTTTTTAATTATTAGGATTATTAATAATTTTTATTTTCATTTTTTTTTATTTAGCTTTTTATTTTTTAATATTATTAATTCAATTGTTCAGACTTTTAATTATGTTCATTTTCAAAATCAATATATTTTTTCATTAAATTTTTCATATGATTTCCTTGATTATTATATTAATAATTATAAACTTTTTATTGCTTATTTAAAATATCTATTTTATAATTGTGTTCAATTATTATTTCAGGGTTATAATCAATTATTTTCTAATTATAAATGTTGATATTATTATCTTATTTATCATCTATATATTATTATAAATATAATTATTTTTATTTCATTTATTTATTTTATTTTATAAATATTTATTTCGTTAGTTTATAGAAATAAATATTTTTAATAGTCTAATTAATCATTTAATATTTTCATATTATTAAAAAATAAAAATAATAATAAAAAAAATTCAGTATAATAAAATGAAAAAAAGATTAATTTTTTTTTTTATATTTATATTATTATTATTTTACATCTAAATAAAAAAAACTATAAAAATAATATTTCAATTTATTTTATAAGATTAATCTTTAGATTTATTTTTAAAATTTTAACTCAATTAATTATTCATATAACAATTTTGCGCATTATCATCAAAAAAAGGCAAAAAATCCCCTTCTATCCCCAACCCTAACTTTTACAACAAAACCGGCGAAAACTTAAAGAAAATAAAAATTGAAACATAACAATTAATAAAAATTTTCACAAAAAAATTAAAATAAACGACAACATTCTATACATACTTATCATCAGTTTACTAATTATAATTCAAAAGTGTCCCTACCGCAAAAAAAGTCCCGAAGCAGCAAGCAGGTAAAACAAAAAGTAATAAAATCCTCTTCAATTAATTCCAAAAATTAAACTTTTTTAAACCATCTACAAATCCAATATCTAAAAAAGTCCTTTTATTAGAATAAAGCACCCCTGTAAATAACCCAAAAAGACCGCCAATAGCCCCTGAATCTATAAAGCATTTATTATATAAAAAGTGAGTATATAGTGCTTATATATTTTTCACATTACAAGCTTCTTAAATCTATTATAAAAATATTTAATTTTAATTATTATTCGAAACATAAATGAAAGTAACTATAGAAATAATTATTGAAAAAGGCATTAATAAAAAATTAATTAAAATTAAATATTTTTTTTTATTTTATTTAGAATTTTTTGACAGAATTTTACTTTGAATAATTTCGTTTAAAAAATTAAAAATAAAAATCCTGAAAAAAATAAAAAAAAATAGCGAATACATCCAACCTAATAATATTTAATTTAATCCATGTACGCCTAAATGAAGTCTAGTAAATCCGATAGATATAACGAAAAAAAAAGCCAAAAAATATTACCAAAGATGCCATTATTCTAGAGACATTCCATATGTAAAAATAAAAGAATTCAACATTGAGTGTCCAGATGGTTACCCATATTCTATTGAACATTCTTTTCCTTAAACTAAATTTGGGTATTTCATATATGGGCGAGGTTCCGAATATATAAGCTTCAATAAATTATATATGTAAGTTGTTATTAATACTGAGATTATATAGTTTAATACATGTACTCTGTTATTACATCGCCATATTTAATATAATATCAATGAAAATGAAAGTATTACTGATCCATCACTTATTGTATGTGATATAGTGTATAAATATGAATGGTCGTTTGAATATGACTATATTTTTTATGTTAATTCTGCACTTTTTTATGAAAATGATTCGTTCGTAAATATGTTCTAGAAAATATAAACAATTGATATAGATATCATTAAATGAGGAATATAATCTTTAAATGGTTTTTATTTAACTTCTTACATTTTTTTTATTTTGATTCAGGTAAATTTGTTATTTATTTTTAAATAAATAAAATATATATTTTTTTGTTTTATGAAATAATATATATATATATATATTTCACAATTATAATATATAATATTAATATAATTATTTATATTTATATTAAAATTTATAATTTATTAAATATTTTTGTTGCAAATATTTTATTTTAATGATATATTATTTATTATATTTTTATTTACTTATAAGCAAAATTAAAAGTATTATATATAATTTTTATTTATCTTTTATATATAATATATATATTATTTATATATTTAGTATCATTATAATTCTATATATTTTACTTTTATATTAAATACAATTATTTTTGGTTATTTTTTTATTTAAATTTATTTTATTTTTATTTTATATTTAAAATTAATATAATTTTTTTAATACAAAAATATCTTATTAGATATTTAAAAAAGATATCTATATTCATTTAGGCTTTTAAAAAAGTTAATAGAATTAATAACTCCTATTTATTATTAAAAAAAAAATTCAATAATTTCTAATATATAAAATAATGAAAATAAGTAATTATGTTTATAAAAATTATTTAATTATTTAATATAATTATTAAATTCGAATTATTATATATATATCAATAACTTTTTTTTTAAATATTTATATTTAAAAAATCAATTTATTTTGTTCTCTATACAGAATAGCTATCTCTCGTATAAAATTAATAATATATATAAATGTTTAATTTTATATATTTTATAAATTATTAAACAATATATAAATTCAATATTTTAATTTTTAATATCATAAATATATATATATATATATTAAAGAATATTATTTAATTATAATTAAAAAAAATAAATATATTAAATTAAAATATAATTATAGATACTATATAAAATAAAGAAAATAAATTTTTATTAATATTACCTAATGTAAAAATTAATTATTTATATGCTTTTTTAATTTATATATATATATATATATATAATAAATATACATATATTTAGAAAAAAAATATTTTGTTTTTATTAATTTATATTTTTTAAATTTTTATTATTTTAGTTATTTTTTTTAAATATAAGTTATTATTTTATTAAATATTTTAACTTATTATTAAAGACAAATGTGTTTTATATATATTATAAATAAATAAACATTAAAAAAAAAAAGCTATTTGATAAAAAAAAAATGAAAATTATTAGTTAATTTAAAGAAATAAATAAACTATATCAATAATTTATATATATATATATAAATAAGAATGTATAATCTATAAATATAAAACGAAATAATTAAAAATAATCAAATAATATAAATTTATAATTTCACTTATATATATTTAAAAAAAATAGAATCATACATAATAAAAAATTTTTTTTAATGAAATTATATACAAAAAAAAGAACAAAAAAAAAATTAATAATAATAATAGAAAAAAATAAAATAAAACAATTAATTTAATTTAATTATAACAAAAAATGATCCAAAATTAACCCCAACAAGATTACGAATTATACAAAAGATTAAAATTATTAGGTGAAGGTTCATTTGGAAAAGCCTATTTAGTCCAAAGTATTCGCGACAACTAAAATTGGGTAATAAAATAGCTTCCATTAGATACAATGTCTCCAGAAGAATAAAAAGAGACATTAAAAGAGGCGAAAATATTAGAAGCATTAAGTCATCCTAATATTGTGAAATTTAAAGAAATATATAAAACAAAAAACCTTAAATTATGTATAGTTATGGAATATGCAGATGGAGGAGATTTAAGTGCTAAAATCTAATAAGCAAAAGGTAAATATTTATCTGAAAATTAAATTTTAGATTGGTTTACTTAAATTTGTTTAGCATTAAAACATGTACATGATAGGTATTTTTTTTATTTTATTTTAAATAAAATTTTAAAACAAAAAAACAAAAAAAATTAGGAAAATATTGCACAGAGATATAAAAGGTTAAAATATCTTCCTTACAAAAGATAATATATGTAAATTAGGAGATTTCGGTATAGCAAGAATTTTAACAAAAACATATGAAAAAGCAAGAACTATGGTAGGCACTCCTTATTATTTATCACCAGAAATGATTGAAAATAAACCTTATTCTTTCAAAAGTGATATATGGGCTTTAGGAGTAGTACTTTATGAATTATGTGCCCTAAGACCTCCTTTTACTGCTGAATCTTTACATTTTTTAGCTTTAAATATTGTTAAAGGATAATATAAAGCTCTTCCAAATATTTATACGAATGAGTTGAGAAGTTTAGTCGATAATTTATTGCAGGTTAGACCTGAAAAAAGACCTAGTATATAATAAATATTGAATATGCCTATAATTAGGAAACGTATTTGTAGTTTTTTAAGTGAAAGTATTAAATTGAATGAATTTTCACATACTATAATACATAATGTAAATATTTTAGATAATGATTATAATATAAATAATTTAAAAAATGTAAATGGAAAATTACCTTCTAATAATCAATACAATTAACAATAAAATATATAAAAAATACTACCTATTTTAAAAAAATAGCCTTCTTAATAAGAAATTTAAAAATAATAAAATGAAATTTAAAATAGAAAAAATGAAATTTAAAAATAATAAGAAATTCAAAAATAGTAATAAGAAATTTAAAAATAATAATAATTAAGAAATTAATAAAAAATAAAAAAACCTCTAGTAGGTTTAGCCCCTAATCCTCAAAAAAATGGAATTTCTAGACCTATTACACCTAAAATTCCTATTTATTAAAATAATATTTAAAGAAATTTGTAATTAAAATAATAATAACCACCTGCTTCTGCATAGTTAAATAGAAAACCTTCCTAAAATTTAACTCCTAATAATTAAAATTAATTAATAAATAAAGAAAATTAATAAAAATAAGAAATTATTAAAAAACCATTAATAAATAATAAACCCTAAGAAAAACCAGTAGCTATTAATAAACCTAATTTGATAAAAAAACCTTTACAAAATGTAGGTAGACCTAAAACTTCATAAGAATAACATGTAGTTAAGAAATTTCCCTAATAATTAGCAGCTGTTGGTGTTCATAAGAATATAATGCCTTTAAAAATTCCAGCTCGAAATGCACCAGTACCTTAGATAATTTCAAAAAACTAAAAACAAGAACTTATTATGGCTAGAAATAATAAATTATTAAAAGTTAGATAAGAACAAGAAGCAAAAAGAAAGAAATTAGAATAAGAATAATAATAAAGAAACTAACAAAGAGTAAAAAAAATGGCTTAAGTAGAATAATAAAGATTTTAAATGAAAAAAGATTTAATAATGAAAGTAAATAATACACCCATATTTTATTTTATTTTTAAAATAAAAATAATAGAGAAGTATAAAAGCAGAAAGAAAAAAAGAAGAATAAGAAATTTAATAATAAGAAGTAAAATTAGAATGGATGGGATCTTTTAAACCTGATGTACCCCCTTAAAAACCTGCGGATATAGATAAAAAATATTAATAACTTTAATTAGATATAGAAAAATAATAATAAGAAGCATTAAGAAAAAAATTAATTTAATAAGCTAATTTAAATGATGAATTAATTTAATAATATTTGAATTAAAATTATTAAGAAAATAGTAATATGGCATAAATGATTAAAGAAATGCAAAAAATAGTAACGTTTTTTATTTTTATTTATATATATTTTATTTTTATTAAAAAAATAAAAATAAAAGATTAATAATGATGATGATGATAATTAAGAAGAAATAAATTAATAAAATCATTAATAATAAAAAATGCGTTCTATATAAACAAAAGAAAGCGAATATTAAATATGTGATGATTCTTAATAAATTTTTAAATATAATTTAGAAAATTAAATTAGTAAATTTGAATAAAAGTGTCTTGATATGGTTGTTTGTCATGATAAAAGAAAAATTAGTGTTTATAAACAGGAGTTAAAGTAAGATTTAGGTGAATGTAATTATAATAGAGCTTATTAAATTATGCAATAAGAAGTATTTTTTTGTTTTTTTCTATTATTATTTTTTTTGTTTTTTAGTTTATTTATTTTTTTAATATTAGTTGCAATTTAATAAAGAATTAATTAGTTTACCTACTAAATAAAGAGAATAAGCCTACAAAAAATTAATTAATTTTACAAAAATAGAAAATAATTTAATAGAAATAATAGATAAATTAGTAATTTTAGTACTTATAGAAAACTGAAAAAAAAATAAAAATAAAAGCTAATAATAATATTAATATATAAATTATAAATAAAACAAATTAATATATATATAATTATATATATATAATTTTTTTTTTATTTTTTTTTTTAAATATATTTTTTTTTATTATTAAATAATTTTTTTATTTTTTAATTTTAAAATGAAAAATTTTTTTAAATATATATTTAAAGAAAATTCTTAAGTTCTTCCTATTGGTATTATAAGTGGGGTTTCAGTAGCTTTTTTTTTAAGATATGAAATAAACAAATAAATAGAAGAATAATAATAACAATTATACTAAAAATATAACATTAAATATGATAAAAATAGTTATCCTTAAATATATTTTTAATTTAAAAATAATTTAAAACTTACTGATTGTAAATAAAATGAAATCGAATTATAGAGTAATTACTTCATTTTAATTGGATCTATTTAAAATAACGAATTTGTTTATAAATATTAAAAAATGAACCAAATATTATAAAAATACGGAATAATAAAACCTAAATTTTATCCAGTTATTAATTTCGAAGATTTCTAAATTTTAAAAAATTCTAATAATTTTTACTTACTGAGTTAAAAATAAGACCCTGAAGATCTTAATAATAATTTTGAATTAAATTAATTATATTTTATCGGGGAAAATGAAAAATTAGCTACTCATATTGATATGTAATAAAATGAGAAGGATATAGTGAATTTAATTAATTAATTTTGTTAAGTTTAAAAAATATAATGAATTAAACTTTCTTTTTATTTATTTTATATTTTATTTTAAAAAATATATATTATTTTAATTTAATTTATTTTCATGGTTTTAATTAGCTAAATTAAATATTATTATTTTATTTTATTTTCATAATAAGAAATATATTAATTGAAATAATGATTTTTTTTTTTTTTAAAAAAACAAAAATTAAGTTTTATTTTATTAAATATAAATTAGTACTTTTTATTTAAGAAAAATAAATAAAAAAAAATGTATCCATTATCTCCACTATTAATATAACCTTAACTTCGTAAATAAAAAATAAAAATATAATATAATTTTTAAAAGAAAATTAATTTAAAAATGAATGGTCTTACTTATAAGATCTATAAAACAAAAAACAATAAGAATTAATATAAACATAATAAGAATTGGAATATGAAATAAAAAATAAATATAGATAAGACTTAATAAATGAAATTAACATGCATTAGAATAGTATTTCTTAAACTTAATAATAAGAAAGAATGAAAACTGAATTATAAGACTAATCTCTTCATTAAAGAGTAAATATTTTTTTTTCTATTTAAAACTTAAATTAAAATTAAAGTTAATGTAAGATTATCATACCAGAAAATAATAAGAAAATGATATTTAAAATAAAAATTGTTAACTTTTCAATTAAAATTTAATTGAATTTAAAAAAGAAAATGAAGTATTTTTTTTATTCTCACTTTTTTATGTAAATTAAAAACTAAATTCGAAAAAAGATAAGAATACGTGAATAAGATAAATAATTACTTGAATTTAATCTAAAGAAAATTTAAGAAGAATAAGAAAAAATGAATATTTTGAAAAAACAAGAAAAAGATTTAATAAAAAACCAATTATTATTTACAAATCTTAATTAAGAATAAATAAAATAAGATAGAAAGTAATAAATAAATAAGTTAGATAAAAAATTAGCTTAAGACTAATATTAAAAAATAATTTAAGAAGATGAATAAAGATAATAATTTCTTCGAAGTTTGAAATAAAAATGTTTAGACAAAACATAAAATCCTATTATGGAATTATATTAAAAATTAAATAATTAAAAAATTGAAAAAATTTAAAAATTTGAAAAAAAATTTGTTGATGAATGTGAAATTTTAAAAAAACAAAAAGAATAATAGCTTTAAGAATTAAAAATTATAAAGGATTAAGAGGTAAAAGAAAAAATTATTATTTTTATATTTTATTAAAAAAAAAAAAAAAGAACAAAAAAAATATTAGCTAAACTTTGATGCTTTAAGTTGCTCTCAAATAAGATTAATAAAATAAAAAAAATTAAGAAAAATAAGTATATTAGGAATATTTAAATAAAAAAGATTAAGAATTAATATAATAAGATTTCGAATTAAAATAAATGTAATCTGAAATTCAAAGAGAATATAATAATAACTTACTTAAATAAGTATATTTAAAAATAAAAATAATAAAATAAATATTAAAAATTAGATGAATTTTTAAAAAAATAAATATAAATAAGAATATATGAATAAAAATGAACTTTTATTAAATAAAAATATATTCGATGTAATTTTTATAAATTAAAATATATAAGATTTATTTATTTTCTTATATTTTATGTAAATATAGAAATAAGGAACTACATATTCTATTCCTGGGATGTTTCTCGATCATTAAAGAATAAAATAACTTTAAATGGTAAATAATTGCCTAGGAAATAAAAAATAACTTTCTACACCTGAAAATGTTAAATTTTAATAAAAAAATAAGTTTAATTTATAAAATAATTCAGCTAAATTTGAAAGTGAATATTAAAAATATTATAATAAAAAATTAAATAATGATTCATATAGAAATATAAATATATTTTAATAGTAAGGTTAGAAAATCTTAAGTTGAATATATATTTGTTTTTAACATATAAAAAAATATAGTTATAAAGTTTTATTTTCTGATTATATTAAAATTAATAAATATATATTTATTATTATGTCTCTAAAAAATGAGTTTGTTATCAATTTCTTATTTTATTTAATATTTAATAATTTTAATTATTATTATTATTATTATTATTATTATTATTATTATTATTATTATTATTATTATTATTTTATGTAGTTTATTTTAGATTTTATTATTTTGGTTATTATTAGTATTTTAATTTTTTTAAATATTAGCTTCGTAACTATTTTCTTTTTTTTTATACATATATAAATAGCATATATACATAAATATTTAATAAAACTGTAAAAAAGAAAAACAATTTATATTTATTAAAAAAAATAAAATCAAATTATACCTTTAGAATTATCACTAGCATAGAATTCTTTAAATTAGTCAATATATAAAGAAATAGATGTATCTTTTAATTGATCTCCACATTCATATTTAATATACTATTCACAATATTAACATCCTAAAATATCTTAAAAAACAAAAAAAAGTCTTTTTATGCAATTATTTTAATATGAAGCTTTTATAAAAGTTTAAATTATAATTTCAGTATAAGTTTATAATGGAATTCCGAAAACATGAAATGAATCTTGAGTGAATCCAATACTTTCTATATTAAGTTTTTTAGCTGTTTCTATACAATTTTAAATAGCTTATTCTATTTATTATATTTCTTCTTTATCTCCTCCTTTCCATATGGGAAGAACTTAATAAATAATGTATTTAGTATATTTTTTTTACTATGGTTCTATATATAAATAATCTAAAAATTAATATTGGTCTTCAAATTTTTCAAGTAACTTTACTTAAGATTCTTCTCTGAATTAATAATTTTTTATAATTTTTTCTTTCAATAAATTTTATTATATATCACACCAATTTACTATAGAATCTATATTTTAATTATCTATGCTTCCATGTATTGTTATTATTTATAAATTATTATTTATTTATTTTTTATATTTATAATTGTTTTCTGGATTTTCTTATTATTTTTTTCTTTTAGTACATAGTTATCCCATTTTTTTTTTGGAACAAAAAAAAATTGAATTATGTAAAAATATTTAAAACGTGATTTATATAATATATAAGATTTGTTAAGTTTTTATTTTTTGTTTAAAAAAAAAATTGTAAGATTATATATATAAAACAATTAATCTAATTTTTTTATTAAAAAAAAAAAAAAAAAAAATATTTTTATATAAATTTTTAATATATATTGTATTTTATTAATAATATTATTATTTTATTTTTTAAGAAAAAATTTTTTTTTTTTATATCAAATTCCTAAATTTTAAAGATTTCTTCTTATTAAATTAGATTATTATTATTTAACTTAAAAAAAATAAACAAATAAAATAAAAAATTATATAAAAAAATACCTTATTCATGATTATCTTTTTATTCTTCATCATCCTCATTTTTTTCTTCTTACATTACATCATTCCCAATTTATTATTCGATATATCTTTTTTATAAATTAATATTAGGAGATCCAAAAAGACTTTTTCTTGTAACTTATGGACTTTAGGAGCTTTAAGTACCCATTTAAACAATAATTCTTTAATCTTATTACATTCCTGGAGAATTGAATCCTTCATAAGTAATAGCATCAGTTCTTCCTGTTAATACTGGAGTATTAGGCATTTTAAAAATACCTTATTCATCGTAAATATTTTTATTAGCACCTCCTTTTTAATTAATTATTTAAGGAGAAGGCATGGGAGAATTACCACTTATATAAACCATTTTTTTTCTATATCTATTTTTATATTTTATTATATCATTTTAAAAATATATTACGCGTCTTCATATTATCTCATTTTTTCTTCATTTAATTCTTCGTTTTCAATATCCATATCATTATTTGGTTTATAAAAGTATTGATGTTATAAAGCTTAAATAGCAGTAATTCTTTTAGCAGGATCTTTTTATAACATTTTTTTTAATAAATCTAATGCATCTGCGGGTATTTTTAAATATTCTGGACCTTCGAAAATTATATTGGATGCTCTATTTTAAGCTAAAATTTCATTATAATCTTTTCCATTAAAAGGAGATTTTCCTATTAATCTTTTTTTTAATAAAAAAAAAATATATTATCTTTTTTTTTTAAAGAAATAAAATATAAAAATCAACAAAATATGAAAAATTAAGCCTAAAGAAAATATATCACATACACTATCATATATAAGATTAAAATCTATTATATTAATAACTTCTGGAGCTACAAATCCTGGTGTTCCGCATCTTACAAACATGAATTTTTTTAAATTTGTTCTTGTTGCCAAGCCTAAATCTACAATTGCTATATCTGTTGTATGTGCAGATTTAAATATTAAATTTTCTGGTTTTAAATCTCTATGCATTATATTATTTTTATGCATTTCTGATATTCCTTCAAGGAGACATTTTGCTATATTTTTGGTTTCATCAGGTGAAAATCTATATAAAAAAATAATTTTTTTATTTTTATTTTAAATAGCCACCTGTGTTTTGCTTTCATTTTATCATATAATAAACCTCCAGTATATAAATCTAATATTAAATATAAGGAATTTTCAGTTTCGAATACTTCGTGTAATCTAATTATGTTTGGATGGTTTAATGCTCTCATTAGTTCTATTTCATTTTTTAAAGATTCCTTTTTTTATTTTTTATTTTTTATTTTTTTGTTAAAAATAAATAAATGAAACCTTTCCATTTTCTTATGAATATGCAGCCTCTTTTGAAAAAGCTTTAACAGCAAAACTTATTCCATCTTCTATTCTGTCTGCTAAATATACCTATTAATTTTTAATAAATATATTTTATTTTTTATTTGAGTTACACTTGCGAAATTTCCTTTGCCAATTTTTTTTTAGGCTTTATAAAGTTCATGAAATCCTCTTTAATTTATCATATTTCTTAATACTTCACGCCATACATAAATTTATTATTCATTTGATGATAGTAATTCTGATTTCTAACCTAATTTATCAAAAACAAAGCCTTTAGGTTTTCCTAATTGAACATTATTATTTTTTTCCTATTTTACTCGAATAAGTTCGAAATGTAACTCAAAATCGATAATGCAATAAGCTAATGGAACTTCTAGTTTTTTTTCCTTTTTTTTTTGTTGTTATAGTTTTAATTTAGTATTTTTTTTTGAGTTGGTTTTTTTTTATGTACATCAAATTAATATATCGCAGTCTCGTACAATCTAAAATAAAATTTATCATTTGAAATAAATCCTTTCATTTAAAATATTCCTTCTGCTAATATTTACTGATTTGGTAAGGGTTAACCTTTCTAGTATTTTAGCCATATTTAATTGTCACCCATTATATATTTAGTTTTAGTTTATATTTTTTTTTATTTTAATTTTTTTAATTTATTTATTTTAATTGATGATTTAAAGAATATGTATTTTCTTTTTTGTTCTATTATATTTCTTTATTTTTATTTTCTTAAATACTTTTTATGATTTATAAATTAATTGCAAAATAAAAAATATTTTAAATTAAATTTTTTTTTTTTTATCTTATTAATATTAAATCATTTAATATTTTTATTTTTTTTAAATATTAATTAAGATTAAGTATAAATAAATTAATTTATTATTTTTTTTTAAAAAAAAAGAAATTTAAAAATTTATTTATTATCAATATATATTTAATTAAAAAGAGAAAAAAAATATGAGAAAGTTAAAAAATATATATTTTTATAAATAAAAAATAAATGCATCTTTTTTTTTTCCTTTCCAAATAAAAAATAAAAAAAGATTATTTTATATTTTATATTTAACAAAAAAAAAATAAAAAAATATATAAATTTTTAAATAAAAAAATTAAATAAGCATACATATAAAATTAAATATTTTTCAGGATTATAAAAAATGATATTGAAATCCTTATTATAAAAAAATCTAAATAAAAAACTTCAGGTAAACCATAATATATTAATAAACAAACAAAAACCAAACAAAAAAATAAACAAAAAACACTACAAATAATCATAATAAAAACTTTATATAAATGGAAATCTTACATTCATAAAAAAATAATATATTTTGAATAAAAATCAAAATAAATTATTAATATTTATTAAATTTAAAAAAATAAAAAATAGTAAATAGATATAGCTTTGGTTTATTATAAGAATACAATAATAGATTACATTAAAAATTGATTAATGGCCATTAAGTTGAAGACAAACCTACATTTTTCGTTACTGCCTCAAGACCAGGAAATTTCGGTGACCACATTGATTTTAAAGCAAATATTGATAACTGGTTTGATGAAAACAGGTAAAAATAATTATGTTTATAAAAAATCATTTTTTTTAAAAAGAGCACATAATGAACATGAAACAGATATTAGAAGAACCTAACTATATACACTTTCTGCTATTTATTATGGCGCTATATTATCTTTCGCAAGACTCTATGTTATGGGAGTTATTGGACGTTTGAATGGATGGAAAAGATACGAAAGAGATACTTATTCTGAAGTCGATATTAGTGCTTTACCACCAGGAGAAGTTATGTAAATGGGTAATATAAAAAAAAATCATAATAAATAATAATATATATATATAAATATATATATTTTAAAAAATTTTGAATTGCTAAATTAAATAAAAATAGTATGGAACGGTACTCCGATTTTCATTAGAAGATTAACTCCAGGTGAAATCTAAGAAGAAAATGAATACCCAACAAGCACTCTATTAGATAAAGATAAAGAAGTAGTTTTATCAGAAGCAGGTAATACTAAAGTTATTGTCGTTTCTGCTGTCTGTACTCATCTTGGTTGTATTCCTATTCCATATTTGGGAGCATATAGAGGATTTGTAAATTTTTATTTTATAAAAAAAATTAATTTTTTTTATATATTTTATTTAAAAAAGGTATGTATCTGCCACGGATCTGTATATGATAAATTCGCTAGAGTTAGATAAGGACCTGCTTTACTTAACTTACCAGTCCTTAATAATAGTATCCATGATAATGGTACTTTAGTTTGTATGGAGGATTAAAAATTCCCACATGAACCTAGTGTTAGATTCTGGGCATGATTTAAAAAGAGGAAAAAAATATTTATTTAATATTAATTGTTTGCTTGATCTTCAATTTTTTTTTTTTATACAATTTAGTATTTATTATTATTTTTTTAAATAAAAAAAAGCAAATTTGCTTTATTTTTTAAAAAATAAAGTATATATTTTATTAATTATATGCAAAATAATAATTGCTTGTATAAATATATCTGGATTTATTATTATTAAACATAAATGTATAAAATTATTTTTTATATATTATAAATAAAATTTTTAAAAAGTTTATAAAATATTAATAAATTAAACAAATGAATATATATTATAATTAATTTTCAAAATAGGAAATAATATCTAATATTTTTTTTTTTTATTAAATTAAATATATTATAAATATTATTTATAATATTTATAATATAATAAATTTATTATTTTTAATATTTATAAATATTTTCCTTTATTTTTATTATTTACATTAATTATAATTTTATAGTAAATGCTGTAGAAAAATTATATTTTATTTTTTATATGGATAATAAATTATTATATTTATATTACTTAATATCAGAATACTAATTATAATAAATATTGTATTATAGCCATGGTTTTAATAAAAAAATATTATATAATATATACATATTTTTAAATAAATAATATTCATTTCATTTTTTTCATAGAAAAATATAATCAAAAATATTTTATTAAAATGAAAATAAAATAGAAATTTTAAAGATAAAATAAATTAATTTATAGATATTTAAACTTATATCTAAAAATAAATATTACCAAATTTTAAATTATAATAAAATATAAAAACAAAATTATTAATTATATTTATTATTATTAATTTTAGTAGAAATTATTTTTAAAATTGCAAAAAATATTTATATATATATATATATATATATATATATATATTTATATAAATACATTTACGATTTTAATCTAAAAGAAATATAATAAAATTATAAAAAATTATTTAATATATACAGTAAATAATTTAAAAAAGTAAAAATTTTATAAAACAAATAAATGATTATATAGCAAGAAACAATCTAAAGCGACGAAATAGACATAGAAATTTAAAAAGTTCCAGTTTTTCCAAATGCAAATAATAAAAGAAATATATAAAATTAAGCTAATGAATTTTCTTAATCTTAGCTAGAAATACCTGACGAGCATCATATAATTTAGAATTACAATTTTTAAGTTTAACATTAATTTTAAAGAAATGAAGAAGTATATAATAACGAGATGTAAGTAAATATATAAGAGGAATAAAAAAATAATGAGTAAAATAACTATAATGTTAATTAAATTCCAAACAGTAACCTTAATTCTATTGGAAACGTTCAATAAAGAAGTTCAGTGGTTTAATAAATAGGTAGTCTTTTATAACTCAGTAATTATTAATATATGAGAATAAAAAATTTAATGTAAAAGTACTTTGCGACTTTTTTTATTTTAGGTATTTTTAATTTTCTTTAAGGATTGATTTCTTTATTAAGTTTAATTATGCATGTGAATAAGGATTGTACACTTTCAAGGACTTTTATTTAAATATTTTTTACTTTTGTGACTATTTTTTGTTGTTTTAAAACAATTCTTAATATATATTCTATTATTAAATTAATATAAAATGAATACAAATATTTGATATATAATTAGATATAATAAATGAAATTTAAAATTGCTGATTTTCAAAATTATAAAAAATTATTCTTGGCAATATATAAAAAATACCCTACATTTATTATACCTTATTTTCTTTTTGATTTGTAATATTTATAAATTTAAAATATATTATATTTTCTTAAAAAAATTAAAAAAATATATATTTGATTATAATTTATATTTATATATATAGACTTTAGAGTATTGTTAATATTTTTGCATATATATTTTTATAAATAAATCAATCGAATTATAAATAATGTTTAAAGCTAAATAAGGGTATTAAATTAATAATAATATTATATTATTTTATTATATTTATGAAAAAATAAAAAAATAGATGTAGTTTCTATAATTTCTATAAAAATTATTTAGATATTTTCATTTATAATGTTTTTCTTTTATTGTTCTATTGGTATAATATAAATACTAATTGTTTTATTTAGATTAATAATAGATTGTAAAAAGTAATATGATACTGAAAATTTAGTAAATATATTTTAATATATACGTAATTAAAATTATAATTATAAATATATAAATTTAATTATTACTTAAAGAAAATGATAAATAATACCAAAAAGTTTAGATATACAAGTTAAGCATAACTCGGAAAATGTGATAATTAATGTTCAATATGTTATATGGATTATTAAAAAGATGATAAATTAGTTATTTTGCCTTGCTAAGCTAACCATGTTTATCACAAATTGTGTGTTGGATATTGGCTTTATTTAAATAGGACATGTCCCATTTGTAAATAAATACTAATTTGAAGTGGTTTAATTTTATATATATATATAATGTAGTATATAATAATTAAATATTTTTTAATTTCTTGATTATTTCATAATTTATTTTTCTTTTTTTAAATCAATATTTTTTTTTTTATTTTATTAGTAATAATTTTTTTTTAAAATAATTTAACATAAAATTATGAAAAATATAAAATCAAAATTTATTTAAAAAAAAAATTATTTTGCCAAAATTAATTTATTTTTAATTTAGAAATAATTTTTTTTATTTAATTAGAAATTTAATTAATCAGTTGATTAAAGCTATTTAATTTAGAAAATTATAATAAAAGAATATATTTTTAAAAAATATAGAAACCACAAAATTATTTGTAAACAAAAAAATTATTTAATATATTTGTAAACAAAAAAACTATTTAATATATTTATATATATTTATATATTATAATGAATTATAAAAAAAGCTTTCAATCATTTAATTATGAAAGTAAGGCTACTCCTCTTTTAACCCAATGTGATTCTTATTTTTTAGTAGGTAAATCAATAGCAATAACCTTTTTTTTAAAAATAAATCAATATTTTTATTTTTAAATAAATTAATATAATTACAAAATTAGTTGAATGACCAGTTGTAGAAAGAGTTCCTTTTCTTTCAGAAGTTTTATACATAGGACATCTATATATATAAATATTAAAAAATTTAATTTAAATGAAAATAATAGTTTTTCATTTTTTTTATTTTTACTAATAATTAATAAAGTTAATAGATTCTTGTGTTTTTTCATATGTAGGTATAAACCATATCTGAAAATAAAAAAAAAGTAAATAAAAAAAAAAACATAAATAAAAAATATTACAATAGGCATATCCTAATAAATAACTTTCGGTTCTTATTCTTCCAAATGATGATTATTATAATCCCATCTAGCCCCTTCTAAAAACAATCCATAACAATAACAGCCTTTTTCAGGATTTTTATCTGGTTTTTATACCTAATCAACAACCTCGAAACTAAAATCAATAAGATCAATTGGAATAGTTTATTTTCTGGCATAATTTTATCTTATACCTGTAAAGAAGCTCTAAGTAAAGAAGAATCCACTAATCCAGAATACCACCGGAGTTCCACTATGAATCCATTATTGGAACATTTCTATTCTTTTAATAAGATCTTTATGATAACTCATCAAAGGTTTTAAAGATGGGTAACTTTTAGATGCCCAACTTTATGGAATGGTATTATTTTGTAGGCATTCCTATACATTTTCAAGTACATTAGTCATAACTTTAAACCCTTACATTGCCTATATTAAATCTTTTAGACTCTCTCTTATAATATTTAGAAGGTTATTATATCTAAGTACTTCCTAAATAAGAACTGTATTCATAGATTCGTAATAATTAATTTTAAACTTTTCATTTACAATATTTGTTTTGAAATTTTAAGGAAGAGTATCTAATAATTCATGCACTCTTTCCAAAATTTACTTATTAGCATCTTCATTAGAACCTTTTTTCTTACCTGAATTTACCTAAACTAAAGAATTAATAATAAACCCAGCCTCAAATTTAGCACTCGAAATTGCCGCATTTTAATGTAAACCAAAAAGTTCAGGCTCGTTTAAATCTGGAAGCTAATTAATATAAGAAATAGCGTTTTCTAAACTATCAATAAGCTCGTTTTATTATGGAATATAATATTCTTAAACTGCACTAAATCTATAGTCTTCATAAAGAATATTATCATTATAAAAATCGCTCAACAGGGATTTTAAAATTCTTCTATCCCAATCATCAGTAACTTTTCCTCCATAATAGCATTCACCAGTTAAATATGTAAGAGCTTTAAAAGGTATATTTTCGTAATCGTTTAGCATTTGTTTTAATTATCTCATAGATATTTTGAAATCGGATTGGTTAAAATCATAGTATATATTCCAGCCTATAGGACCGAATCTTCTCCTTTCTCTTATTATGGAATGGAAAAAAGTCAAGCTCATAAAAAGACGACGCCATTCATCCATTTTTTGGCATTCTTGGAAATATTTTACTTCATCTTTTGTTGATATTTAATTTGCATAGAGTTACTAAACATTTGCTTTTACACCTTTAGGCGGATCTTTGGTCATTTTAACTCCTTCTTGTAACAAATACATAGGGAAACTATCCGAAGACATAGAAGTTAGCCATAATCTGAAATCATTGTGTAATAATCTATCTTTATCTTTTTTCTACATATTTAATGCTGCTTCTTCAACTATTTCTTCTAATCTAGATAACCAACTAACTGCTAGATGACAATTTTATAAAAGACACCATTAGCCAGCTTACATAGCTTCCTTAATATTAGATTCAGCAAAATCTCCTTAACCCTTTCCCAAAGAAACAAAGGTAATGTACTTGCCTTTTTCCTAAGCGAATTTCTTAAGGTCATCCTAAGGATCATCACCAGGCGAAAGTACAAAAATTAAAGGAATATGGGCAGCGGATTCTTAATAGCATTCATTTAAAGTAATAATAAGGTTCGAAATATAATAACTTCCCATCTCTTAAGTAATAAACTACCTCACTTACTCAATAAAATAATCTGGCCTAAGGATTCTTGTAAGTACTAGTCTTTAGAAAAAGGACATAGATTTTATATATTCCGGATAGTATTCTTAATTATGAATATTTTCAATAAATTAGATATATAAGTTTGTATTTTCGATTATATTTTAGGCCAATTGATTAAAATTAGGTAAATTATTTAAATGAAGTATTTGTTCCCAAAAAAGTTCTGTAAAAAAATCACTTTAAGGCTTCTAGTAAATACTTAAATTAACTTATTTATTCGATAAACCAGTTAAAAGAAACTTCATTTCATCTTAATCGAGTTAATTATTTACTTGAAGACATGTAAATGCCAACAGAAGGGAAAACAAAAGCTTATGCTTTACAAAAATACTCCTTTACATTTCATAGTATACACATTTTTTTAAAGACTCAATAAGATTTTTGACTCTGACTTCGATTTTTTTAGGCTGAGGTTTTTCGGCTAATTTGATTGACTTTTTGAACATTCTTACATAGAATTCTAGGGAGAATTAATACATAGGATCCAGACTACTTAATTATAATATTGTGAAGTAAATAGCAGAAGATAAAGAAGCTGCTATAGCATATTATTACCTCATATAAATAATTCTTTGTTCTGTACTTTTAGATTCTTGTTATCTGAATTAGACTTCATCTGATGTTTTTTTAGAAACTTTTAAATTTTCGATTAGTTCTTCGCTTTCTAAAAGTTTATTTCCGGGAGTGTTTTATAGAAGTCTTAAAATGTTTTTTTCAATTTCTTCCATTCTTTGTTTGTTCTCGGCATTTTCTTCCATTAAACGGATTTTTTCTTCTTCTAAATTAGGATCTTCCTCTTTAGCTAAAATAGATAGCATTTAATCAGTCATAGCTTCTGGAGTTATTGTAAAGTTTAAAAGAGTTATTTTTGTTAAAGTTTCAGGCATATAATGTGGATTTGGTAGATTACATATCAAATATAATTTAAAATTGGGATTATATTCGACTGGTTGCTAACCTATTTAAATCATTCGACGACCTCCTTACATAAAAATGCTGTTTTTAATCAATATTGAGTCTAATATAGGGTCTAAAACCTCACCAACTCCTTATATCATTAATGTTTTGCCTTTATTTATTGCCTATTTTTTAATTATTTTTATTTTTATTTTATTGTTTACATTTTCTATATGAGACTACATTTATTTAGAAACTTTTATACTTATGAAGTTTTTATCACTAGATTTAGTTTCTATTCTTTTAATAAATTTAGTAGCTTGATTTTATGGATCAATTATTAAAGGCCAACTTTTTATATATATATATATATTTATTTTTTATATTTAAATTATATTATTTTATTTTATATTTTTTATTTACTGATCATTATTATTCATAATAATAGCATTTTCTTTAGATACATCATCTAAAGGAAGTCCATGTAGAATCCATTCTTAAATCTACATCGGATCTCCAATTCTATCTATAAGCGAGAAATTTTTATTACAAACAATATTTTATGAAATAACTTTCGGAATCCATAAATCAAAGACAATTTTTTATCTATAAGCAGCTGTAAAAGCTCCCAAATAGCTAATAAAACCTACTGAAAGTATAATATCTCCTAATAAATTTTTTATTTCTTCTGTCAATTAAACCGAACTTTCTGACCATCTAACTTTTTCCTAACTTAATCCGTCTGTAAGGTGTAAAGCTCTTTTTAATTTGACTTCACAATCATGTTTTTCAGCTATAAGTATTTACTTTTGCATATTCGCGTTATTAAATTTATCTTTTAAAGCCTAACATTTAGCCTCTACAACAGCTAGAATTTCTCTTTTTTTCTATAATTCTAAATTAGCTTATTCTAGGTTTTTTTAAGCCTTATCTAGATCTTATCGAAGAGGCAAAATAGATTTATAAACGAAATGATATTCATATATAGCCAAAGTCCATTTACATAAACCTTCAGCTGCAGAGGAAGCTTTCGCAATATTTGAAGGTTTAAATTATGGATTTTTTTTCTTAAAATTATCGAATTTATTAATTACTTATTCGGGAATGTTATCTCTTTCAAATTTTTCTAACTTTTTTATAAACTCATTTGGATATGATAATAATTTCCTCGCATCATCCCAAAAATCTATTTCTCCGGGCTTTTCGGTAGATTTTTTACCCTTTTGATTCATAAGTATACACACAGCATCCATAGTCATTTTAATCTACGCAGGGGGTTTCTAATAAGACTTCATTTGGACAAAATCATTCACTTTTATAGTCTTTAAAGCTTCAAAAGCTTCCTATAAAGCAGGTTCGGCAACCGATAATTTTTCGTTGCATTAATCTTTTATTCCTTATGCGATTTCAGCTTTTTCAGATGTCCTTTACTCATCTTCTTGTACCATAAGACGTTATTTATCGGCTTCTATAGTTTCTAATTCTACTTATTTCATTATTTCTTCAGTTTCTTGTGTCTATTTTTCTAATATAGGTTATATCTTTTCTAATTAAAGCTTCATTTTGCCTACCTCAAGAGCACATTCATCTAGTTTTTCGACTCCGTTTTTATATGTATCCCTTTAAAGGACTATTTAATCAATTTTTTTCTAATAAAGTGATTTAAAGTTACTCAAAAGTTTCATGTAAGATATTGGGGTTACATAGTAATGCTTTCCAGTCTCATTTAAATAAGTTTGGGTTATATCAGTAACTGTCTAATGGAAATGAAGGCATATTTCGGCTATACTTTGAGTCATTTAGCTATCGAGTTTTAATTCTTCGGCATCTTCTTGAATTTTATACATTGCTACTTCCTATAAAGCCTGTTTGGACCAAGGATGTATCCATATAGGAGATGTACAAGATACTAATGAAGGAAAATCACGTAATCTTTAACGTAATTTTTCACCTATTGGAGATAAACAGAGAACTATATGGAGATTAGTTTTACATTTATTCACAAAATATTCCCATAATTACATTGTGTTGAGATTAAGACGTTATTTTTCAGTTAAATCTTTTAATTCACTAAGTATATTTTCCTTAATTATAATTTAAGTAAATAAATGTATAAATATATATATAAATATTTATATTGAATACTTTATCTTCAGATGCATATAAATTAGGTATTTCTCCTATATTAAGTAAATTATTAATATCTTCAAGGAATTTCTCATCTATAATTTAAGAATCTGAAATTATGAAAATTCCTATTTTATCTTTAATTACTATTTCCTTTAACATTTCCCTTATAAACTCTAACCAATTTTCTTTTCCGAAATCTTTATCTACTTCTACTTCATATATTGAATACCCTTACATAAATGTGGCCAATCTAGTTAAAGTATGACTTCCTGCACCTCCTAGTCCTATAAGAAGTCCATGTGAGAATAAATTGGAGATAATTCTGGAGATTTTACATAACATTTTTATCGCATCGTCGAAAAGAATAATGTTTATTTTTTTTTTCATTTATTCATTATAATCTTCAATATGTTTTTATGCAGCATTTCTTATTTTCTGCCAATCTTCTACTTCATGATATTTACTATTATTTTCTAAAAAATTACAAAAAACTGGAAATTTCTTATATATAGTTATTTCCTAATTTTCATTCTAATTATTTTCATCATTATTTACATCTTCAATCAAATTATCTATTTTTGGATACAATATTTCATCTAAAGTAATTTATAAATACTCTCTAACAACCCCATCGATTATTTTACAAAATTACTCCTTATCAAGATTATCTACTAATCTATCACTATATATACAAAAACTCTCATGAGCCCACAAACGGGCCAATTTAAGTCTATTATTTTACGTAGCTTCATATTAAATTGCAGGAACACTCAAAAGACCTTAAACGACTTTCATTAAATCTCTTAAATTGAAAATATAATGTGATTTTTTTGGCAAAGGAAGAAATGTTTAAGATATTATTTTATGTACTTGAATTATTATGTTTTTGAAGTTTTTTATTTAGAATTTCACTTTGTCAATATAATCATTGAATCCCCATTCGAAAATCTTCTCTACCATAATACTTAAAGTCATATTTTCCATTTCATTTAAATAAACTAAATTAAAATGTCTTAAAATTCTATTTGAAAGTGCAGGTCGACCCATTCCCATAGCAGCAGTAAAATGAATATCAATCTAATTTTTTTATTTTAATTTTAATTTTATTTTTTATTTTTTTTTATTTTTAAATATAAGCTTTTTACAATTTTATTAAATTCTAAAGTCTTTCTATCATACCATCCTCCAAAACAAAACCATTATCTTATTAATTCTAAAGGAGGTTGAGCTCCATAAGTTTCTTTGTTTGGCATATTTAAATCATCTATAAAAATAATATTTGTGCGTCCTATTAAAGGCCCTAGTACACCTTTTCTTCTTTTTTATTTTTCTAATTTACTTTCAAGAATATCTTATACTTAATTACAATTTGTGTTTGCAGAAAAAGCAGTAATTGAAGTTATATATTTTTCATTATGCAAATCATTTATCAAAAATTTTTTTATAGTAATAGTTTTACCAGTACCTGTTTTTCCTAAAAACAGTGTTGGGAAAGAATGAATAGTAAGCATTTATAAAATATAATGGTGTCTAATAGAATCAGACGTAGGAACAAATATATTATGGAATTCAGTCTCTAAAGGAATTCTATATTCAGTATTTCCTTTCCATAAATTCCAGGATTTTTTTTCAATATCATATTAAATATCGAAAATATTATTTTCTTCTGTTGGAATAAAAGATAATGGAATTTATTTCAATTCAGGAGTTTCTCTTATTTTCTTTATTAATCCATGTACTTTGTCGTGGAATTTTTTTCGGTCATTTATACTTTCTATAACTACTCCTACGCTCCAAATTAATGCCATTAAAAATAAACAAAAAACTTCTCCTTTATCTTTTTCTAATAAAGGTATCTTTTATATGAAAACAAAAAAAATAATATTATTTATTAAAAAATTAAATTTACATTTTTTTTTTTTTTTATTTCAGTAGGAAATTCTTTTCCTTCTAATTTAGCAGTAGCAAGTTTAGCTTCTTCCCTTTCTTTTTCAATTTCAAGATCTTATATTATTTATTCTTTATTTTTATTTTTATACAAATAACTCTCAAAAAGTCTAAAAAAATTCATAGCAACCCATTATTCGCTAATAGGAATACATGTTTAACAATTTTTAGAAAAAAGAACAAAATCTATACAATCAATTAAAATAGAATTAATTAAATTTTAAAATATATCAATATAATCAAAAGTTTTAAAGTTTTCAGTTAAATTAGAAAACCAAGGGTCAAAGAAAGGTTTCCAACCTAAATCTATAAAAAAAAATTTAAAAAAATAGATATATAATATATAATATATAATATATAATATATAATTTATTATTTTTTTTTTTAAATATTTTATTTATATACCTTTAGATTCTAAATAAACCATTCCACATCTTGAAACAGTAGCAGGTGAAGCTTCTAGTAAATCTTCAACTTCAAAAATTATGCTCATTTATTCAGTTAGTTTAATAGTCTCTCCATTAGAAAGACATAATTTTTTATTATCATCTAGTACTGTATTCATATTTTCTATCCATAAAGCATCTACTGGTCCATCAAATAGAATCCAATGTAAATTCTTGCTTTTTACTTCTTAACATTCTCTAAAAATAATTGCAGTAATACCATTATGCCATTCTCCTGATGTATTTTCAACTTCACCGTAAAGTAATTTACTAGTTACAGCTTTAGGATTAATTGGATGAAAATGAACTTTTTAATAATCTAATTAAATCTCTTTTTCTTTTTATATATTTATCTTAGTTAATGATTATAATAACGAATGTTTCCTTGAATTACTTTTTAATAATTAAGAAGCCCTAGAATTTTAAATTGATTTTCTCTGTCCTAAAAAAGACTACTTTTTTATAGGTTAAATTATCTATGATAATTCTTAAGATATTTATTCTTATTAATCTTCATCTTCAGAAATTATTTATTCAACACTTTCCTGTAAGCCTAATGTTTAAATTGCTTATTTTTAATTCTTTTTTTCAATTGCATTTGCCAAAGTATTTAAAATTCTAAAAAATTAATTTAAATATTAATAATATATATATTTTTTTATTTACGTTGATTTTCCTGAATTTGTACTTCCAACAACCATTAAACCATGTCTTACTTGAATAGTTTCATAAAGTTCAATAATTTTCCTATGGAAATTATCATTAAGGACAAAATTATTATTTTTCATCTCTTCCATTATTGCAATATCTAATTCTCCATAATTCGGTTACTCAGGATTAACATTAGGGAATAAATCAGATAAAATAGCATGAAATAAAGGCACATCTTTAAATGTGAATTTAGGTAAATTACAATCACTTATGGCCCTTAGTATAAGTAAACTTTCATGCGTGTCTGGAAAATTTCTTTTTAGACTTCCAGCTGCTATAATAATAGCTTTTACAGCTCTCATTCCGAAATCGTAATGGCTTTAAGTTGATAATTACTCACTAGCCAATTTTAGTGCACAGGTTATTTTAATGGAAAGATTTCTGGCATCTACAAATCCATAAGAATATAAAGAAATTTCAGTAATCATTGCATAATTAGGGATCATCATAGCTACAGGTCTAAACAATGCTTTCAAATTATCAGGTAATTCACTTCTTCCTTAATATCCAGGATTCATAGTAATAAATACAGCACAAGAAGAATCTAAAGGAATTAATACACCACTAAAAAAAATAATAATAATAATTAATTATATTAAAATTTAAAATAGAATACTCGAATTAAAAAGTGGCAGAAGGGAATTTAGAAGAACTCTATTTAAAAATAGCAGTCTAAATAGTTAATATCTAGGAAGCAATAACCGACAAAACCTCCAATTCAATTCTATTAAATTCATCAAAGCACGCCCAACTCCCACACGCACAAAGACCTTTGAAAAATTTAGCCATAGCCATATAATCTAAAGCATCTGAACAATTGAAAACAACACAATGTTTAGCTATTGCCTTTGCCAAATCTTTCGTTGTTTCCGTTTTTCCTGTACCTGCGGGCCCCTCAGGTGCTCCTCCTAGATTTTATTATAAAGCTGACATTAGAGTTCTATAACATCTATCAGTTAATGGAGTAATTACAAGTCTTCCTTAATTTCCCAAATATTCAAATCCATATTTTCTAATCGTATTAACCATCTTGACTTCTAAATCTTTTTCATAATAATATCTCATTTAAGCCAACCACTCGAAATCATTAGGATCTTTAACTTATTATTCAATAATTTCCTTTACAACATCTTTAGCATGCACTTCTATAACTACTAAAACTCCCAAAGTTATTCTATTTACTTTACTGACATCTCCCCTTACTAATTCTACGATTTCTAATAATAATCCATTTAATTTATTATAGTAATTTCGTAATGAATTTATATCATTTTGGGTATTTAGTATTGCTTCAGTCACATTTGATGTCCATATAGTCTAATCTGCACCCACTATTAATTAAGCAGGCCATTTTAGTAACCATTTTTTTCTTTCAGTTTACTTGAAGTCACTTATTGTAGCCACAAATTATTCCTGAAGTGTACTTTTCATACATTTTTCGATTTCAAATAGCCATTCTTCAACTCCACGAGGATTACCTTGCTAATCTAAAGGATTTATTTCTTTACTTAATTATATATGCTCGTCTTCTATGGAATTCATATGAGTTATTTTTGATGTGCCTTCTTAAAATGTTAAGTATTCAATTCCTTCGAAACATTTAGGTAAATGTCTTTAAACAGCTCTCGGTTCTCGTGTTTAAGCTAAAATAGAAAGAAGTTCATCATTTGAAAGGAAATAAAAACGAGGGAAAGCTGCCCTTTTTTTATTCAAATATTCATTTAGGCCTTTAATTACTTATTCTAATTATTCTATCATATGTAAGAAACTTTCTTTTAATCTATTTTAAAAACAGGCTTCCATAACACCTTTTTTATTAAAAAAATTATTTTTAAAAAATATAAAAAAAAATTACTAGGATTTATCTATGAAGTTTGCATAATACTTCTCCAATTTTTATCCACATTAGAATATTTTTATCCTTCCTTTTACATAGCCGCAATAATATCTTCGGAATAAAATATTGGTTATAAATAGGACCAAAGTTTTTAAACTTTACACCAGGCTTCAACTGTTTCTTATAATCTAAAAAGTGTATTCCTCCAATAAATAACCTCATTTTCCAAAAATTTAATAAAAGGAGAAGAAGCTATACTTAATGTTTTAGCTATATCCTCATCTAATTTATCCATTATATGTTCAATTCCTTTAAGGATAAAAGTATCAGTATTTCTAAATTAAGCAAACTCAAGTTTAATAGGCTTCCATTCAGTTTTCATTTTTTACAAAATTTTCTCAAACCCTTTCTCTTTAGATGCAATTTCAGAAATTTCCCTTATTTCCTCCTTTATTTCCATAATATTGTTTTCGAATAAAGTCTTTAAAGTCAATTATTAATCATCTTCGAATTTTTTCAAAATAAGCTTCTATTAATCTTCACATTTCTCATTATATTCATCTATAATAGTATTAATTTTCGCCCAATGTCTTTTCATAAACGCGGGATTCCTCAAATCATTAATAATAGGTAATTTTGGTTTAAAACTTTCATATTTTTACCTCACCTTCTATGTTACAATTTTCATATCGGTATTATTTTTAAAAGCAGTCTTTTCTAGTTTGATTAATTCATTCCAACTATCAATTATGTCATTTGTAACTAAATCTTTATCCACTTAATTAAGCGGACCCTCTTCTATATTCGGAATTTTAAATGAGTAATCTTTCGAAAGTTACCATACTCTATTATAAGGAGCAAATTATTTCGACAATTTTTCTAATTCACTATAATCTGTTAATTTTAATTTCAATATGCCTTCCCTTTTATTAATTACATCAGCATCTCTTAATGCATTATCTATTTTTACACCTAATTAATAAAATTTATATGATATATCATCAGTTTAATCAACATCTGTTTCCTTCATCATATAATCTAATTCTATTTAAACATTTCTTATTTCTATGGACATATCCTATTAATTAATAATTAATCCTTCCCAAAATTCTTTTTCTAAACTTTCCAATATTTTTAAACATTTTTCCTTCTTTTTTCTTAACTTTAAAGGCATACCGTATATACTCCAAGACTTAGAAAAATCTTCATAACTGATTTTATAATGCATTTCTTCCAAAAGATTCATTTTGTCCATTATTTCGGATATTCTAGCCTATATATTATCTAGTATTTCGCCTAAAGTTATATTGCAATATATCCTCAAATCATGTAATTCTTCAATGTTTTTTGGGAGATTTTTAAATTTGCGCATTATTTCTAATATTTCGTTTTCAATTTTCTCGTTTTCGCTATTAATTTTATTTATTAATACTTTATATATAGCCGCTGTGCATAAAGATATTTTATTTTCGCAATGTTATTTAAAATCAAAAACTTCAATTTGGAATATTCCTAGCCATAATTTATCTTAGAAAAGCCATGTTTCTATATTTTATTTTGCACCTTTTATTTTTTATAACCATTTTTCAAAGTTCTAAATATAATTAAAATAAATAAATATTTAATATATATAAATTTATTTACTTTAAAATTATTTTTCTTTTCCATTTTTTTAGTTATAGAATCTCTTGTTAAATCCATTAAGAAATCTAAATCTTTTTATTTTTTTAAAAAAACTTTAATAATAACAAAAGCCTAATTAATATAAAAATTTAAATCTTAATTATTTTCCACCAAAAGTTCATCTTTTTCACTATCAAAAAGCTTCAATTTTCCATTTTCTCTAGCATTTCCTATTTTATTAGTTTTCAAGCAAGTAATTTAATTCAATGAATCTAATATTTTTTTATGAACCAAACATATTTCATTAAACCAATCATCAATACTTGGAAAAATTTCAACTTTCCCATTCTCTTTTTCTAACTTAACAAAGCAAGTTAATTAATCTTTATGAAATAACTAATATCTAGTCTCATCCATATACAATAAAACATGCTAAAACTCAACATTTTCATCTCTAAGTTCTTCATCATCTTTAAAACCATTAATTTTCTTGAATTTATTGACCATATTTTTAAAATAATAAATATAATGTAACATTGAATCTGCATAAACTTGCCTTGCAGTCCTCTCATAAAGCATATTGAGTACATTTTAAAAATTTTTAAGTGATAAAATAGCTTCATTAGTCAACTCTTAATCGAAGTAATATTTTTTTTATTCATCAGTAGTGACTGTTCTAATTAATTCTTAATTTTTTTTTAAGCAATCCTAATTTCTTCCTTAACCATATTAATAATATCGATATTAGTATCAGAAATTTTCAATGTGAGTTCTCTAATAACATCCTAATATTTGTTTTCGAATTATTTTTTGAAATCATTTAAAAAAATAGGATATTTAAAAACATTCAAAACAAGCAATTATTACGAAAAATTCATCAAAGAAGCATTCATATTAGATAAAATTTCAAGTCTTTCTTTATTAGCAACATGCATAACCTAGCTCATTTTCTTAAAAGAGTTGATAAAATGAATTGGCTTATGATTATTTGGATATCCTGCATCTAAACAGCCTAATTAGTTTGATTCTTTTCTCTATTTATCGATTATGGGTTCAAATAATTCATCTGAAAGCATGTATTTAAATAATTTTTGTCTTTCCTCATGATATGGAAGTGTATTATTATACTCTACTTTATGGTTTGCGCGTATAAACTCTTTTTTTATATCTTCCACGAGTTATTATATAACATTTTGTTTAAATCTTTTTTCTAAAAATATTTCTTCAACTGTTTTGCCTTATTGGATTATAGTTTGTTTTGGAACTTGCTGTTTTCTGTTTTTATCTAGTTCGGAATTCGAGGTGTTTTTTTATAAGACAGGTGAATTTTAATTTGCTTGCCTTTTTATCGAATTTTCCTTTTAGTTTTCATGTTATTTTAATTACTCTTCAGACCTTTTTTCACAATTTACAATTTGCTTAGGGACTAATTAACGTTTCATATTATATTTTATTGAAGATTCTAATTTAAAATATTTTAAAGGATCTCTTAATTAATTTAATTTAAAAGTAAATCCTGCGACAAGTACTCTAATTTATTATTATTAAATATATTATAAAAAATATATATAAATATATATTATATATATATATATATATATATATATATATATATATATATATATATTTATTTATATTTTATTTATATTTAAAAATTACTTTATTCTTTCTATACATTCTTTATTAATTTCAGATGTTTCAGTTTCCATAGTATCTATAATATAGTTATATTTTAAATAAATTTCACTCATATCTCTATAATATTCAGCTGCTTAAAGTTTTCTTTAGAAATCTTACTCATTTTCGTTTTTGAACCTTAAATTTACTCTCGAAACATATTTTTATTTACTAGATTCCCATTAAATTAAAAATTGATCTTTTTCATTGTCAAATTTAATAACTTGACACAACTACCATTCAAAGCTTCCGTGGTTATCAAAATACTTCGAAAAACCCCAAATAATCCCACTTTACTCTCTATATTTCTCTAAAGTCTATTAAGGATTAAGATCGTCATCATCTAAATTATAATAATCCAAAGGCAAGAAATTCCCTTATTTAATATCCATAATTTCTTGTACTTAAACTTGGTTTTCATAATCTATTCCCTTTTGCTTCATAATCAATTTCTCTGCATTTAAATTTCCTCTTAAATATGGGCTTTATTTTGTAAAATCGATAGCTGTTTATATTTTTTATTGATAATTATTTTCCTTTTTACCATTACTAGGGTTGTAATTCCATTTTTTTTCATAATCTTCCTGTTCTAATATTACTGTATTATATCCAGTAATATGTTTGACAGTTCTTTTATATTCAGGTACTGATGATTAATAACTACTTCTTTTTTTTGTTATTTTATCTAAATTTTTCTATTCTCTAAGTAAGGCATCTTAAACTAATTTTGATTCAGTTGCTCTTTCAGCGTTTTCACCTTACAAATTTTAAATTATGAATTAAGCCGAAATAGGTCTAGGACCCCCGTTGTTAAACATCTAAATTGAAGATATGGGTCTCAGCGGTTTTATTTTTGCAGAATTAACTCTATTTAGCATTTCTATTAATTTCTTATCTGGAGATCCTTCTTTTTTGACATTATTTTCGACAACCATTTTCATTACTTTTGTTGTTGGAGATAAGAAGTTAATATGTTATTTATCTAATATAATTTTTATGTTTTTAGTAAAACGTGTTTATGAGTTTTATTATATTAAATCTATTTCTTAACTTTGTATGTTTCTTTTATTATTATTGTCAAATGATTCATTTGCTTCATCGAATTGGATGAAGTTATCTTCTTCATTTATACTTTTCATTTAGTATTATGAATCTAATATATAATTGCCTAATTTACTTGTTTAGGGACGTCTCTGTTTTATTTTTTTTAATATTTTTTTTATTATAAATTATTTTCATTACATTTATTGGATGCAAAGTACTAGAACTTATCTTATTTTTTTATGTTTATTATGATAGCTTAGATTAGATGTTTTTTTATGATTAAGCTTTTAATTCACTAAATGTTTTTGTACCCTTTATTTATTTTTTTATATATATACATATTATTTTTTTACATCAAGGAGAGAAAATAAAGGAATGTCTAAAAATTAATTTTTATCTTCTACTTTTCCTGATGCCACTACCATAAATTCACCTGGTCTCGATACATATTCTTTATGTACTTAACCCTTATAATTTTTTAAAAATTATATTTTTTTTAATAAATAAAATAAAAAAAAAATATTAATAATTTACATGCATCATATCATTTAATTTTTCATCATTATTCTTGTTTGCTTGATAGTTTTTATATTTTTCAATTGCTTATTCGTGACGAAATACTTTTGCAGAAACATTTCTTTGTAGTTTCTTTTTTTTTGCTTCCATTTTTTTTATATATATATATGGGAAGAAAGTTTTTTTTATTTTGTATATTTTTTTTTTGTTTAAATAAATTTTTAAATATTTATAAAATAATATATATATAATAGAAATTATAAAAAAAAAACAGCCAGACAAGATCAAATATGGTTATTTTTTATTAATATAAATATACATATTTTAAAAAAAGATTTTTTAAAATGTTTAAATTATTTTACTTTGTTTTGTAAATAAAAACTAATAAAATTGTAAATGAAATAGCATTTAAATTTAAAAATTAAAATTATATATATTTATTCATATTAATTAAAAAAATATATATAAATAAAATCTAATTTTAAAATTAATTATTATGAAATTTTATTTCATTTTATTTTATTTTAATTATAATATTTATATGTAAAAACTTGAAAAAATAATTAATATTTATCTTTTATTTATGAATAAATTTATAGCTTTTATCTGATAATATATAATCAAAATATTTAATAAAATTGTATTGCAATAAAATCTATTAAAAAAATATAAATAAAATAAACAGACTTTCTGGTATTTTTTATTAAAAAAAAATAAACGAAAGGAAAGGAAAGGAAAGAAAACAATATAAAGGTAAAATATTGGTTTTTTAAATAAAATAAAATAAATATTTAGTTTATTCTTTCTATTTTATATAAAATATTTCTATTAACAAAAAATATAAAATATTACATATAAATAAAGAAAAAAATAACATTAAATGATTATAAATTATTAAATATACAAATATAATTATAAAAAATAAATATAATTATAAAGTTTAAATTTAAAATTAAAATAAAAAATAACATTATTGAGTAAAACAAAATTATTTATATATATATATATATTTAAGTTAAAATTTTATATATTATAAATATACAAATTATTTATTTAATATATAATTTTTTATTTTCCTTTATAATAAAATTTCTTATAAAACCTTATTTTATATTCTATAAATATTTGCTTATTTACAAAATATTTTTGATTGTATTATAAATATATATAAATTGAATATATTTTTTTAATAAACATAAAAATATATAATATGAATATATATTCAATTTTCATATTTATTTTCTAAATTAAAATTCATTCCAAACATAAATTATAATCACAAAAAAAACAAAAAACAAAAACAAAAAAACAAAAAATAAATAATGAATTCTTCAATTAATTCATACAAAGAAGAAGAACAAGAAGTAAATAAATCTCAATTAGATGCTTCTAAAAACTTAGATGAATAAAAATCAAGTAACTCGTCTTCTAAATCCTCAAGTGATTAAATAAATGATTTATGTATACTCAAATAAAAGCTTAAAGTTCTTAAAAATGAAATTTTAAATGATAGAGAAGAAAAAAAGTTATTAATTCTACAAATATAAGGTTTATAGGATTAAAACAAAAATTTAATAAAAGAAAATCAAAAAGTTAAAAAAAACAAAAATTTAGATATAGAATAATATAAATATTTTTTAATTTAAAAAAAAAAAAATTCAAAAAAATAGATATATGAAAAAGTTACTCCACATAAAACCTAAGAAGATAGTTAAAATTCAACTGATAGTAATTATATTTTCGCTAAAATAGATTTAATTTATAATTATTTACATATATAATATAGAAACAACTTCATAAAATTATGGTTAAATAGACAGCAATAATAACTTAAGCGGATTACAATAGATAATATCTTAAACATATACCAAATTTACGTCGCCATTAAATCAAAATTAAACCAATTTAAATTAAAATTAAAGCGAATTAAATATTGTTTAATGCTAAAAAAAGCAACTTAAATCTTCCAAATCTTAATAGTCATTAGTCTCTACTATAATAAAACTTGATTTGGAACTTTAAAAAATGAAAAGATGCTATTATTAAAATTTAAAGTACTTTATTTGTTTCTTTCATTCATTCTTTTTTAAATATTTATATATATATTTTTAAATTTAAAAAAGAGGATTTGAATTAGATGCTATAAATAGAACAAGCAAATATGAACAAAAATAATTTTTAATGTAAAAAAGATCTCAAAATTCTATTATATATTAAATTAAGGAAGAATTTTAGTTTAATAATAAATAAATAAAAAAATAATAAAATATATCTATTTAAAATTAATAAATAAGAAGATAATAAAACTTATCGATTTCCGATTAATAATTAATCAAAAGTAAATAATCAACTTCAGATCATTAACTTAAAAATCAATAGAGCTAATCTTCTTTGCAGTAATAAAATAAAAAGTAATTAAACACTTCAACTTAGAACTAATAAATTAAAATATAATAAATTGCATAAAATATTCCAATTCATTAGTAGAGAAAAGCATAAAATTAAGACTCAAAAAAATAATTGAACTAAACAAAAATAAATAAATAAAATGTAATAATAGAAGAAAAAATTAAAAAAGCAAGATAAAAAAATAAAAGACTTTAAGTATTGAAAAACTAGATCAAGCTGAAATATATATAAATTATGAACAAGATGAATAAAGAGAAGAAAATGTTAAAAAATCTAAATAAAAAAGACAAAAATCTTAGAGTATAGAAACATAATAATAGATGACAGTAAATGAAAATAATAATTAAAAAGAATAAAAAATAGAAAAAATGTTTGAATACTAAGAATTAATACAATAAAATTTTAAAATAAATGATTTATAAAAATAAAATTAATAATTATTGGATTAAAATAGAGAATAGAAAGACGACAATATATAAATAGTTAAATAAAATTTAAAACTTTAATAATAAGTTAAATAATTTTAAATATAAAAAATTGATATTGATACAAAAAATATGAAATTAGTACATTAAATAGATGATTTAATGTAAATAAATAATTAAATTGAAACATAAAAATAATAAGAATAAGAATTTTTGAATGAATAAATTAAGGTTTTGAATGAAAAACTAATTGCATTTTAAAATCAAGTCTAAAAGCTTTAAGAAGAAAATTAAACTAAATATAAAAAAGAAGAAACTGAAAAATAAAATCAATAATTAATTTAAAAAACTGAATAATAATAACCTTAATTGGAACGTAAAAATAATTAAGTATAAAATTTAGAAGATTAAAATAATTAAGATATTATTAACTTTGAGAATAATAAAATATAAGAAATTTATTAATAAAATTTATAACTATAAGAATAATTATAAAAACAAGAAGAATATATATTTTAATAAGAAGAATAAATAAAAAGTTTAGCAAAACAAAATAAATAATTAAATTTAAATTACGAGTAAAACATTTTATAAACAAAAGATTAACTATAAAAATAAGATGAGTGTATATTTTAATAAGAAGAATAAATAAAAAAATTAGTAAAATAAAATATATAACTGAATGCAAATTAAGAAGAATATATATTTTAATAAGAAGAATAAATAAAAAAAATTGTAAAATAAAATATTCAATTGAATACAAATTAAGAGCAATAATATTTATAAATATAAGATTAATTATAAAAATAAGAAGATTAAATATTTTAAAAAGAGGAATAAATAAAAAATTTGGTACTATAAAATTAATAAATTATATCTAATTATGAATAGTAATGTTTGTAAATTTAAGAAGAGTTATAAAAAAAATAAGAATATATATATTAATAAGAAGTATAGATATAAAATTTAGTTTAATAAAATTAATAAATCAATAATAATAAAGAATAATAAAGTTTATAAATTTAAGATTAATTATAAGGAAAGCAAGAATAAATAATTAAATAAGAAGAGTAAATAAAAAACATGTTATAATAAAATTAGTAAATAATATTAAATTATGAATAGTAAATTATATAAATAAAAGATTAATTATAAAAAAAATAAGAATATATTATTTATTAAGATTAATAAATAAAAAGCCTCATAGAAATAGATAAATAAACAAGAATTATAGATAATGAAAATAAATGTATTAAATAAATTTAATAAGAAAACTAATAATCATAAGAATAAAATTTTATACATTAATAAGATAATTCTATACAACATTAAAATGAAATAATGAAAAATCAAGAATCATACGAACAAAATCAAATAATATAATAATTAGAATAAAAAAATTAAGAATTACTAGAATAAATAAAATAAAAGAGTATTTAAGTAGATTAATAAACTATTTAAATTGAATAATAAGGTTAAACTATAAATTTTACAAAAGAATAGAATATATAAAACACTATTAACTTAGAATAACGTTTAGCAAAAGAAGTAGAATTAAATAATTAGTAATTATTATAAGAAATTTAAAGATAATAAAAGCTTATATAATAATAAGAAAAACAGATAAAAAAATTAAATAAAGAAAAGTTATAATAAAAATATTTAAAATAATCATAAACATATAAATAAAAATTTAAAGAATAAATTGAATAATTATAAGCTTCAATAATATAAAAAGAATAATAAATCAATTAATTAAATAAAACGAATGAATAAAATATAATAGAATTGTAAAATAAGCATACTGAATAAATTAAAAATTATAATTAATAATTTTAAGAATAACTTAATTGTATAAATGAGTAAAGTATATTAAATTTATCAGAACTTTAAAATAAATATAAAGAATAAATAAATTAATTAAATCAAGAAAATAAAATAAATATAACAGAAATGTCGAATAAACATTAAGAATAAACAATAAAATAAAATTAATAATTTTAAGAAATAATAACTGAATTAAAATTATTAATTACTAATTAGGAAGAATAAATTTAAATTTTAAGTCAATAAAATGAATCAAATTAAAAAAATTTTGATAGTTTATAAGTTTAATAACTATAAATATAAAATTAAGAATTAAAAAATTAAATATCACAGAAAGATACGTTTATATAATAATTAGAATAAGAAATATAAACTACAAATAAAATAAGTAAATAAGAAATAATAAACATTGAAAATTAAAAAATGTAATAAATTCAATAATAAAATCAAGAATTAAAAGAATAATTAAAATAATAACAAATTTCTATAAATCAATAAATTGAATAAATTAAAATTTTAACAGAATAAAACAAAATAAATTAATAAAACTATAATTTACAAAATGAATAATTAAAAGAAAAATAATAAATCATATTATTCGATAGTCTAAATTAAGAAATATAAAATTATAAACAAAATGTGGAAAGTAATAAATTAAATATTTCAGAGTAAAATTTTAAAGAATAACAATAAATTAATATTGAAAAAATTAAAGTAGAATATCTTTAAAAAAATTAAGAACTTTAAGAATTATTAACCCTATAAAGATAATAAAGCAAAAACTAATTAGACTAAAATTCTTTTTTAAATGTAAAAAATTAAGAATTAGAAAAACAAATATAAATTCTTGAACTGTAATTGATTTAGATATAAGGAAAAACTTAAAATGATGAAAATGAAAATACTTAAATTACTTAATAATATGATTTATAAACATATATAGTTAATTAAATGAAAAAAGTTAAGAAACTTATAAAAGAATCTAGAATTATGAATGATTAATTCTAAGTTGATAAAAATTATATATTGTAATCTCAAAATAATTATAATAAAAATTTCGAAAACTATTAAAATAAAATTTCAGATAAAGATTTATAAATAAAAATTTTAAAAAATATAAACTTATAATTATAAAATGAATTAAATTTTAAAAAATAATAAATTTAAGAGCTTATGGATTAAGTTCAAAATTTGTAAAATAAAATATAATAATAAGAAGTTTAATAAGAATAAAACCTCTCTAATATTTAAGAATTGTAAAACATTTTTGAAATAGAAAATTCAGAAAAAACAGAGGTTGATAAAATTAAACAAGAATAATATTATAATGAATAACTTTTATAATAAAAGTAAATAATAAAATAACTATTTTTTATTATTTTTTTTCAAAAGGATTAATGAATTAGAACATTTAAAAATTTCTTATGATAAAATTGAATAGACTTTAAAAAACAAAGATCTTGAATGTTAATAATATATGAAATAAATATAAGAAAATAGTGAAAAGTTTAAATCTTTTGATGTAAAAAATTATTAAGTAGTTTTGAGAAAAAGTATATTTAATACATATTTAATATAAATCGAATCAGAAGTATAAATAATTATATTATAAGCTAAACATATTACTGATTTGATTCCATAAAATGATTAAGAATGTTTGAAAATTTAGTTAAATTATAAAGTAAAATATATATATATATATTTAATTATTTATATATTTTTAATATTTATACATAATATAGAATTAAAATAATTAGAAAATATCTATTATTTTAAAACCAAATACATAAGAATAATAATAATATATTTGTAAAAGTTTTAAGTATAATATATATTTGAAATAAACATATAAAATATATATTTTTTAAAAAAGAAAATTTATAAAGGAATCTCATGTTTAAAAAAATAATTATAAAATTTAAAACGAAACGACTATAAAATCTGAGCAAAGTAAAGAGTTTATTAATTCTATATTAACTTTCTTCTGAAATAAAATATATAATTAAATTATTTTTAATTAATAAATTAAGATAAATTGTGTTATTGATATCCAATTATATAATTTTATATATTTTTTTAATTATATTAATTTAAATTATATAAAAGAACTTTAATATAAAAATTAAATATTTTTAGTTTATATATATAACAAAACTAAAAATTACATTCATTTTATTTTTTAAAATTTTATATTTATAAATTAAATATCAATAATTTAAGAAGTTTTATTAATTAAAATAATTTTTTTTTATTTTAATATATCTTATAAATAAAAAAAATATAAAATAATTTTCTATTTTATAAAGAGAATTAAGTATTCATAAATATATAGTATTAATTAAAAAATCATATATAAAAAAAAAATCTATTAATATATCTTAATTAAAAGGATTAATAATTATATTAAAATTTTAAAATAATGCTAATATTTTTTTAATATAAAATATAATGAAAAAACTATTTAATTTATTATTTCTAAAATATTAACTGTTATGCATAAAAGCTATATTTATTTTATTTTAACAATATATTAATATACTAAACATTCATTGAATTAATTTTTTTTTTCTACACAATATTATAAAAAATAATCAATGATTAAAATAAAAGGCACATATTTTATGTTCTTAAGTATCATTTTTTTAAAAAAAACGTAATAATGATGTATAAATTTCAAGCATTAGTGAAGATTCAGCCCCAATTTTTCTAGAAATTCAGATAGTTCAAATCAAATCACTAATATAATCACTTCTAAATAATAATATTTTGGAAATTACTTTATTTAATAATAATTATTTTAATATTAAAAATAATGATTATGAAAAAGATTTTGTTGCTAAAAAAATCAAAATAAATTTTATTCCGAAATAAAAATAAAAACTTTGAACGAAAACGAAGAAAATAATCATTAAAAAACATAAAAAAAAAAATTAACCTTAAGTTTTAAATTTTTTGGCAAATGAATTTAAAATTATTTAAAAATTAATTTCATATACTCAATTAAAGAAACTAATGTAAAAATCAAAAGATTAAGCTTAATAAATAGAAAATCTATAAAAAAATAATTATAAAATAAACAGATGTAGTATTTAATTATGTATAAATAATAAAAATAATTTAATAGCTATAAATTTCTTCGAAAAATCTTAAACTATATAAAAGGCTGTAAATAAACTTTAAATAACCAATTAGCAAGTATCTTTTAAAAAAAAGTTTAATTATTAAGCTCCTTTGATAATTTTCTCTTTAATAAAAATTCTCGTAAAATAAACGAAGTAAATAAATAATTTGAAAGTATAAAAATTATTTTCTCATTACGATAAGGTTATTTTAAAAATCAGATAAACAATTTGAATTTAAAGAATATTATTAGAATACCCAAAATATTTTGATTTAATGAAATTAAGGTTAAAAAAATAGAAAGAAAAAGAAACTTTTTTTAAAACAAAATATTTATTAAAGGAATTTAATTTCTTAAGTTATATTAAATTTAAAAAGTTATTCCAATCTTCTATTTTTTATGGAGTTTGTATTAAAGAATATTACAAAATATTCTTTAGATTATTTTTATTATGTAAATATATTTTAATTTTTATTTATAAATATTTAAAAAATTATAAGTTAAGTTCTTATTATAAAAAAAAATAATGTAAACAAATATACAAAAGCATAATTTTTTCACTTAAATTTCTTAAAAACCAACGAAACATTAACTCCCCCAAATCCAAACGAATTTTTAACAACTACATCAACATTCCCTACTACATTTTCCCTCGCAAACCTCAAACCCTTCTAACACTCTTCTTATAAATTTAAAATCTTCGGCACTACCCCATCTCTAATACTTAGTAAACTAAATATACTCTCAATAGCTCCCGCTGCTCCAAAAGTATGTCCAATATTCCCTTTATTTGCTGTAATCACACACTTTCCTTAAAATCTTTCCAAAAGTTGACAAATAGCTAGCCCCTCAGCTAAATCACCCGTTTAAGTACTTGTTGCATGACAATTAATACTCTGAATTTCTCCCAAACCAACTCCAGCTTACTCTATAGCCTTCTTCATACATCTCAATCCCCCATTTCCACTCTCTAAAGGTCTACTTAAATGATACCCATCAGAACTTTATCCATACCCGCCAATTTCTGCATAAATAAAAGCACCTCTTTATACTGCATGTTCCATTTCTTCCAAAACCAAAACGCCTGCACCTTCCCCTAAAATAAATCCACTTCTTTAAATATCAAAAGGCCTACTAGAGTATTCTGGTTTTTCGTGAATTTTCTAATTCATAGCTTACATTCTTATACTAGCCCAAATTATAGTTGGATTTAAACATTCTTCACTTCCACCTGCCAACATTACTTTTGCGTCTCCAAATTAAATATTTCTAAAAGAGTCACCAATTGCACTTGACCCAGTTGCACAAGCAGTAGATGCCGATTGGGATGGTCCTTTAAGCTTATATTTAATACTTAAATTAGCACTTGCCATATTTGTCAATGTATGAAATATAGTAAGCCTATTTAAACCATCAAAACCTTTTTTTTCTGTATCTTTTATTATTTCAGTTAGTTTTGTTGTATTTGAACTCATTATACCGATATTTACACCAGCCTAATTTTATAAATCCTCATTTTCTTGTAATATTTTCTCGATTTTACTGTCTTTTAAAGCCTCCACAGCTGCTGACATGACATACGAATTCGCGTTGTTTGTACATAAAGGAACTTTCCATTTTTTTAAATTACCAAAGCCAACTTTTATAGGGGCTACGTAAGTATTTCCAGGCCATAATTTTGGATTTATTAATTTGTTTTGGGAATCCGTTTATTTTAATCTTTCGAGGTAATCTTCGATATTTATTATACCGGATTAGCCTTTTAAGAGAGCTTCCCAACTTTCTTAAGCGGATAAACCTAAAGGCGATACCATTCCAATGCCGGTTACTACAACACGTTTTAATGCCATTTTTTTTATTAATTTTTTTTTTTTATTAATTAATTAGATTTTTTTATTAATAAAATATAATTATTTTTACTAAATTTTTAAATAAATATTTATTAAAGATGTAAAGTGAAGAAGAAGTTATTAAATATTTAGATGAAAAATATAAATTTAAAGGTAAAAAAATTAGTTAAATAAGATAGGAAATTCAAGATTCGTTTTTTGAAAAAGAAAAATTAATGATTTTTGTAATTATAAATTATATAATTTTATATAATATATTATTTCTTTTATATAAGAAATTAGATGAAATTAAAGGATAAGTTGATAATACATTAAAAGACTTAGATTAATTAGATAGTTAATATAAAGAAATGTAGAGTGTAATAGATACACATTCAACATATTTTAATAAGCTAAATTAAGATATAGAATTGATATAAAATTAAAGACAGACAATAGAAATAAGAACGAATAATCAACAAAAATTAATAGAAAGCATATAACATTTAATAGAATGAAAAAAATAATAAATTAATTAAAGTAAAACCAATATGTATAAATAATATTTTAAATAATTTTTTTTTTTTTTAAAATAAAAAATAAATAATTTCAAATATTTTTTATATAAAAATAAATAATATTTATAAAAGAATAATAATAATAAAAATATAAATAAAAAAAGTATAAATAAAATATGTACAAAAAACAAAAATAAAATACTTTATTATATATAAAAAAAAAAATTAATTATTTTCAAAGAGGATATTTTATATAATCATCAATAGGTTTATTTTTATCATAAGCATAATCATTAGAAATTTTAATAATAGTTTCAGCTATATTTTATTTATTATTAATAATATTCTAATTACTAATATTATTCAATACACTATATCCCAGAAGCATTTAACTAACAGAATAAACCAAAAAAAAAGCACTTTTATTTACGTCTTCACATTTACTACATTATCCCTTCATGACTTGCCATTTTTAAGCATCAAATATTTAGTTAGATTAAAAATTAATTTCTTTTTACATCCATTTCATTATATTTATAATAATAGGATGAAACTAAAGATCTATAGTGTTTTTATTTTATGAAAAAAAGAAAAAATATTGTATTTATTTATTATTAATATCAATATAAACAAGTTAATATTCTAAAAAAACTTCATTTTATTAATTTGTTTCTTTAAAACATATAGGAATAATAATCTTATCGAATTCTTCCATGACATTATTATATTATTCATAATATTATCTAGCTATTTCAAAATTAATATCTGATTATGATAATAAAGAAGATTTCTTATTTACAATGTCATAAGTTAAAATATAATAAAAATCAGTGGACAAAAAAAGAATTCTTTCATGATAAAAAAATCTCATATTATTTGAAATTCCAGCATTTTATTTATTTTAAAAATATTTCATACAAAAATTAACTATATTTTCAACAATTATTTCTTTCTAAAGCATTAATTTTAAATCTAAATATGAAATACCTTTATTATTTTAATTTATATATATTTATACATATATATATATATAATTTTCTATAATATTTAACTTATTTAATAAGGATTTTCTATATATTATTAAAAATTTTCCTTTTCTATTAACTATTCTTCAAATTAATAACGAAAAATACTTAAGTTTTTAAATTATTCTTCTTTTTATTTTAATATTTATTCAATAGTAATATTGTATTGTTCTTATTGATTATTTTTTCTCATTTCAAGACTTGATTTACCTATATTTTTATAATCTTCAATATTATTTTAAAATGCATGTACTTATTTTACAAAAGGTATTTATTAGATAACATTTTAATTAGGTTAAATATTATGCAAATTAGGCTTAAATTTCAATAACTAGTTATAGTTAAGACTGTTATTATTATTATTTTAAATACTATTAATATTAAAATATGTAGAATTATTAATTAAAGGTCTATTACTTAAAATTGAAGTTGAATTATTAATAAAAATAGACGGATTTTTATTTAAAATATTAGTTTGCATTTAAGTATTTTATTAGCTTAACAAAGTGTAATTATTAGTATTATTATTATTATTATTATTATTAATATTATTAATATTATTAATATTATTAATATTATTAATATTATTTATACTATCATTTACATTTTTTTTAATTTACTTATATTCATTATAGTTATTTTCTGCAACTTTTTTAAGTTTTTACATTTCTTATTTCAGTTCGAAATATTTTACAGGATTATAATATAAATTATATTATTCTAAGTAATTTTTATTAAATTCTTAACTTTTTAAAAATGCACTAAATTTGTTTTTTTCTATCTCTGATTCAATCTATATTTAATATTTATTAACTTCTTGATTTTTTTATTATTTTATATCCTAAAATATTTCTAAAATTGAATTTTATTCTATATTATTTAATATTTTATCTTATATTTTTTCTTTTTCTTTTTCTTATTCTTTTTCTTCTTAATTTTTTTTTTCAATTTCCATCATAACCTTCTTCAAATCAAAATTTTCTTAAACAAAATCTTCATAATCTACTTATTTACTTATATTTCGCTTGTATTTTCCTTAATTTCTATTTTATTAAATCTAATTTTAGTTTTCATTTATTTATATTTTATTCTTTAATTATTTTATTAAGAACTAATACTCATTTTAATTTTCTTTTAGTGATTTAACTTTTTATTTATTATCTAAAATTGAAATTAAATCAGCTATTTTATCCCCTAATTCATCTATTGCTGGTTTTTTTATTTTATCGAATACTTAATCTTACAATTTATTTATTTTCGGATATTCTTTTTAAACAATCCTATTATATATTAAATATTAAGGTGTTTATATAGCTACATCTTATTTATTAGGTGTTAATTTATTAAATTTCCTTTAAAAAAACTAAATATATAAATAATTAACAATAAATACATATTTTATGGCAAAAGATCAGAATTGTAAACGTAATTTTATAAACATTATTTATTTAGCTCTTATCTTTAATTATTTTAATTAATAATAGTTTAATCCAATCCCATTTTTAGTTATTTAATTTTAAAAACAAGCCATAAAATATTTTATTTAATGTATTTTTTTTCTTAAGAACTAAATGCAATTTTATCAATAGAGTTACCCTAAATAAACTTATATAAATAATTAATTAAATAATATCCACAATCAGTTTATTCTGTGACTGAATAAAGAATGCCTTCGATATCAAAATTTTCTAAATCAACACCAAGAGTTTACAGCATAGTAGACTTAAATAAATCCATTAAATATTTTAAAGGCAATTTCTCATCATTATGTTTAAAATCTATAATAAAAGATTTCCTTTTAAACAACCAAACTATACATAAAACCCATTTATTTTTAATATACATTAACTAACAAATATATTAATGAAATTCAGGATTGAATTTTTACTCTTTTAAATAAATAGAATATTCTTCAAATAGATTATAATGTGACTTCTCAGTATCATAAAAACATAAAGGAAATATATATAATTAAGAACTCATATTTCCTCTGAGTTCTTTTTCATTATATAAATAATTAATCATAAAAATCATTAATGGAGGAGTTATATTATTATAATTCCTTATTTATTCTAAGTCGTAATAATTCAAATCTATATTAAAGTAATTAAAAAAAGTTTACTTTTCATCAAAAAGTAATATATTTTGACTTTATTTAAATGCATTGAATTAATTTAGAAATTTTTAATATTCCTCTTAATTGTATAGAAATAATTTTGGTAAATCAAAATATATTTAATTTATGTCTATTATTTGCTCATTTTAATCGATTTATTAATTAATGAGATTTTTCGAGTAATTGTTATATAAATTAGTATTTTACATTATTTTATGGATTTTTTTAATAGTTTTTATAAATAAATATATAAATTATAACTTTTTTTTTTAAGTTAATAAAGTATTTTATAATTTTTTTTTAAAAAAATATAAATAAAATGAACAGTCTAAAATCTTTATAGAGTCAAATTTAATAGAGTAATTGCATTTTATATAAAAAATATTTTTTATTATAATAAAAATTAAGATGATAAAATTTAAAGAATTTAAGATATTGAAAAAAAATTATAATTATTATAATAAGAAAAATCTAAATTGGATTAAATAATTTAAAATGATAATTATACAACTCTAAATCAAAATAGTTTAGAAAAATAAAAAATAGAGCATGATATTAATTAAAGTTTTAATAAAACATCATCTATAAAGATTATTTAAAGTAATTAAATAGATTAATTAATACTTGCTAATGAGAAATTACTCGATTAAAATAATAGCCTTAGATAATAAATAATAAATATACAAAATGAGTATTTTTTTGTTTTTTTATAAATTTAAACATAGTTTAATTAATATAAAATAAAAAAAAATAAAGACATGAATAGTAAATATAGAATTTATAAAAAGAACTCTAAAAAAATGCATATATAGACATTTAAAAAAAAGAAGAAATATATGAAATTTAAACTAAAAATATAGTATAAAAATATGAATAAGAAAAAAATTTGATACTTACAAAAAATTAATAGCAAACATTCGAATTAGAACAATAAATATAATATATGAAATAATCTGAATAATAACTAAAATAATAAATCTAATATTTAAAAGAATAAGCAAATGATTTATAATATAAAGCAGATAGACACTAACAAGAATAAACGGATAAAAACCTATTAATATAATAACTTCAAGATAAAATAATTAATTTAGAAAGAGAAAGCAATCTGTTAGAAAATCAATTAAAAAATTAAAAAATCCGTGAAATTTAACGAGAGTAAGAAATTTAATTAGATAAAGAAGAATTTGAACATATTTTACAATAAAACGAAATGCAAATGAATGAAAAATAATAAAAAATATAACAAATAGAATCATTAGAAAAAGAATTCGAAAATAAATTATAATAATAAAACTTATAATATTAATAAACATAAGAACAATATTATAATGAAAATAATATTCTTACTTAATAAATTTAATAGCTTTAAATAAACGAATAATAACTAAATTAACAACTATAATATGTTACTTAATAAAATTAGTAAAATGAAAATCATTACAAAAATATTATTAATGATCTTAGTTTAGAAATAGAATAAATGGCTTAAAAAGAATAATAATATATACAAAATTTTAATGAATAAAATATTAAAATTTAAGAATATTAAAATAAATTAGTTTAAGTTGAAAATACTCTTTTTTAAAAAGAATAATATTACAAAGAAATGAATAAAATAGCAAAAGAAAAAGAAAAGGATAAAAAAATAAAACTTGAAAACGAGCAAAATAACATTATTATTTAACTTAATTAAGAGAATTAGAATTTAAATTAAAATATACAATAATTATAGGAAGAAAATATATAACTAATTGAAAAAAATTAATAATTATATGAATAAATTAATGATTTGAATTCAAACTTTAATTAGTTTGAGGAAAAAAATGAAAAAATATATTAAGAATTAAATAAATAGAAAAAAGAAAATGTTATTTTGTAGGAAAACAATTAAATTTAAAACCAAAATATAACCAATTTAATAAATGAATAATAAAAATATTAAACTTTAATATAAAATTTAAACTTAAGAAATGAAAAATCGGAATAAAAAATTAATTAATTAACAGAAAATAATATTCTTTTGGAAAAAAATTAAGAAAAAAACTTTAAAAGAATACAAGAAAATGAAAAAATAATACAAGAAAATGAAAATTTAAAAAAATAAATAGAATAAACAGAATAAAGATATTTAAATAATTTATAAAAAATGTTAAAATAATATGATGAAGTATTAAAAACAAATTAAGTTTTAAAATTAGATTACAAAAAACTAACATTCTAAATTAATAAATTCCAGAAAAATGGAGTTAAATTACCTCAATATGAAAAATAAGAATAAGAAGAAAATTATGAAATTGAAGAAGATTTAAATAGTTTATAAAATAATATTGATAAAAATAGAAAAAAATAATAAATTGATAATTAAATATATTTTAATTAGAAACAATTAGAAACTATTAATAATAATATTGAAAATAATGAATTTAATTATTCGAAAATACTTAAATAATCAAGAACTTCTCCTTAAAGATTACCCAAAAATATTGAAAGAGTTTAATAAATTCAAAATTAAACAATTGATTTTGATTTAAATAGTGTACAAAATAATAATTCTTTTATTTAAATAAAATCTAAATAGTAACCTTTATTTTCAAATGCATAAAAAAGCTTAACTAGTCGAACCAATACTAATACTGTTAAAATACTTACATCAGGTTGAATAGAAAATATTTATGAAAATAATTATATATTTAAACTTAAATATCATTATTTTTTATTTTTAAAATAATTTTTTTATATAAATGATTAAATATATATATATATAGTTTTTTTATTTTTTAAATTGATATATGAAAAATAATAGCATAAATATAAAGAAAAATATAATAAAATGTTAATAATTTTTTTTATTATATAATGATATTTTATTAAAAAAATATAAATTATAAATTGATTTTATTATTAAAAGCTTTAAAAATTGCAATAAATTTTTTTATTTATAATATATGTTTTTAATAATTTTATTTATTAAATAAAATATATAATAATTATTGTTTAGTCTTTATTAATATTAATTTTAATATAATAAAAATTAGAAAATATAATTATGCTAATATGTAATTTATATAATAAATTATTTAAATAAAAATATATTAAAAAAAGTATATATTTAAATTAATAAATAAAAAAATATAAATATATTATTTAGATTAATACTATATAAAAATATTTTTTATTTATATTAATTATTATATATTTTTTATCTTTAATTATTATTTTATACCTTTTTTTTAAAATATAATTTTAGTTTTATTTATTTAATTTAATTTATTAAAAAAATGAATTTAGAAAACATTTTACTGACTTTAGGATTAATAATTTTATCAATATAAATAATTAAATGCATAAAAGATAAAAATTAAACTGAAAATAATTTGAAAAATTAAAAAAAATATACATTTTCAAATAATAAAATATTATCATATGGTAAAGTTCATATATTTTATGCAAGTTAATCTGGAACAGCAATAAAATATTCCAAAATTTTATAAAAGGAAGCCATTGAAAATAATTTTATTCCTAAAATAATTGATTTAAATTATTTTTCTTAAGATTTTTTTTTAGAAAGTCGTTTATGCATTTTCCTTATAGCTACCCACGGAGAAGGAGAACCAACAGATAACTCAAAACTATTTTATGACATGATAAGATAAAATAAAGAATAAAATTATTTAAAAAATATATAATATACAATATTTGGTTTAGGAAATAAATAATATGAGAAATTTAATTATATGGCAAAATAATTCAATTTTCATTTTTAACGTTTAGGAGGCTAAACGTAATTATTTATAAAAAAATAAAAACTATATAAATTATAATAATAATTATAAAGAATATATAAATATGAAGAAGGAGATGACAGTGTATGTTTAGAAGATGATTTTAATTAATGGAAATAAGATCTTTGGAATCAATTGAAATAAAATAGAAAAATGATTTACGTGGAAAAAAATAAGTTTAAAATGATGAAGGTTATTTAATATTAGAATATACAGATAAATCTGAAATTTAATTAGATTAATATTCAAATATTAATAGTTCTTAAGTTAAATATGAATTTCTAACTCAAAAATATATAAATGCTTAAACTTGTATTATTAAATAAATAAAAGAATTACGTCAAAATACTAATGAAGGTTCAACTCTTTTAGTTGATATTAAATTAAATAATAATTCTAGTTATTTAACTGCTTAAAATTTAGAAATATATCCTCAAAATGATCCACATTAAGTCAGTTAACTAGCTACATATTTAAATTTGGATTAAAACTAAAATGTACAATTTAAAAATTTTAATAAAGAAATTGAATATCCATTTCCAACTCCGATTTCTATAAGAAATATATTCGGTAAATTTTGTGATTTTTAAGGACAACTTATGAAAAAAACATTAATTGAATTATCTAAACTAACAAAAAATGAATAATATAAAAATTAGTAAGTTACAAAATAAGTATTATTATTTTTTTAATTATATAAAAAATCGATTTAGATTATTATTTTTAGCTGAAGATAAAGGCCAGTTTTAAATAGAAATTTTAAATAAAAGAAAAACATTATTTGATTTAATGAAAGAATATTAAATTGTACCTAATTTAGATTAGTTTATTTAATTATGTCCAAGAATATCTGTAAATATATAAATTTACAAAAAAGTTTTTAAAAATATATAAACTAGCCTAGAGCATTTACTATTGCATCTTCAAATTTAGATCATCCTGATATAATATAAATTGCAGATAGTTTAGTAATTGAAAAACTTTCAAATAATTAAATTAAATATGGTTTATGTAGTAAATATTTAATTAACTGCTTTAATAAATATAAAAATAAAATGACTGGAAACAGAATAAGAATAAGCATCAAAAATTCATCATTTATTTTATAAAATAATAATAAGCCAATTATTATGATAGGAACAGGGACTGGAGTAGCACCTTTTATAGCTTTTTGTTAAGAAAAATTAGTTTTAAGAAATAAAAGTTTTTAATTTATAAATTTAATTAATTTGTGTAAATATTAATATTTTTTTTTTTAAATAAAAAAAAGATATTTTTTTAGGAGATTTTAGTCTTTTCTTTGGATGTAGGTATTAAAATTAAGATTTTATTTTTAAAGAAGACATTCTTAAATTTAAAGAAGATTAAATTATAAATAATTTATTTGCAGCTTTTTCTAGAGATGATGCAGTTTTATTTTTTTATAAAACACACATTAATTAAACAAATTTATTTTTAGGAAAAAAAAGTTTATGTTTAAGATTTGATTATGTAAAATAAATAATTTGTATATGAAACATTATTTTTAAAAAATGGAAATATCTATATCTGTGGGTTATATTTTTATAAAAAAAAAAATATATATTTATTTATTTATTTTTATAGAAATACTTTTATGGGTTAAGATATTATGTAGTCATTAAATGAAATAGTTTAAATTTTTTAAAAAGTTGATAAAAAACAAGCAAGTAAACTAACACAAGAGCTTGAAAGTGAAAAAAGAATAGTAAAAGAGTTATGGTGATTTTAATTCAAAAAAAAAATTAAAAATATTAAATAAATTTATTTATTAATTTGCATATAATAATTAAAAAATAAATAATTTTAAATAATAATAAAATATAGAGAAAAAAAAAATTATAAAAATAAATAAAAATATATATATAAATATTTATTATTAAAAAAAAAAATGTATCCTTATAGATATTTGCATTAATTATTTGGTAAATTAATATTGAGCTACCATTTGCCAGATTATACAAGTTATATTCGTACATTAAAAACACCTTAACATCCGAAGGTAGTAATATTTGGTAACAGCGAAAGAGTTTATGAATTAATAAACAAGTAATATTTCTAAAAAATAGGAGAAACAAAATAATATAGCAAAAATAATAAATAGGTAATTTCTTGGATTTAAACATGTCAATGGCGTTGAATTTGAACATAAAGAGGATTTTGTAACATTAAATAATTATATTAATATATTAAATAATATAAATTAAAATTCTCTTAATTGGAAAAAAAAAAAAAGACTTCAGCTGGTGAAATAGCAAATAACCTTATCTAAGCTGAAAATGGTTACGACCTCGGATCTTTAGTTACTGATTATCCCACGAACTTAAAATAAGCCGAAAGGTATGTATTTTAATATATATAAATAGTTTAAAATAAAATAGACTTGATGTTTTAATTGATGGAGTGAATTTGGCATTATATCTTAAAGATCCGACTGATTAGGTTACTTAATAAAGGCATTAAGAAGCAATTTAATACTATTAAAAAACAGTAAATATTATTTTTACCCTTTATGATTTTCAAACTAAAAAAAAAACATACAATAAAAAGGGAGCTTTAGTTGAATTCTAAATTGACCCTTAAGAAAATTTAGAAGAATAAGCAAAAAAATTATAAATTTTAGTAACAAATGAATACAAGCATTGATTTATTAAATACGAAAAAAATTAGATTAAATAAAAAAAATATATATTTTATATAAGGAATAATTTTATTTAGAATAAAAAAATATGTTAAAATATTGTTTTATTAAGTTTTTATCATTAATTTAGATGTTTTATATTTAAATAAGAAATATTTTTGAAATAAAAAATAAAAATACTATCCAATGTTCTTAAATTTACTTTATTTTAAATATAATATTTTTTTTTTTTTTAAATAAAATAAAATAAAAAAGTTATTTTATTTAAAAAATTAATTATATAAAATATTAATTTCTTGAATAAAAAAAAGACTTATTTATATAAATTTTCTTTATTTAATAATTTTTATATGTAGATAATAAAAAGGAAGTCCAAAATATTTTTTTTTCATTTTTAATACGCTAATTAATAAGCTTATTCATAAGATAAAGTACAATTTTATTCTGGTAAATCTATAAATAATAAATAAAATAATAAATAAAGTTAATATTTTCAAATTAAACTTAAAATTACTTTTAGTTTATTTATAATCTGATTCATTCAATTATTTTTATCTTTATAAATTTCGATAAATTAAAAAAAAAAATATTAAAAGATTAATATATTACTATTATGGCGGTTTTATATAAGAACTCTTTTAAAAAAAATATAATAAACAAAAATTAAACTATTATTATTTATATTTACTTTGGGAAACTATTAAACAGGTTTGATTTAAGCATTTTTTGTATCTTTAAATTCTCCTTAAAACATAGATTAATATCTTTATTCGGATGGAAGATCAGATCCTTTATGTAATTATTATGTAACTGACATATGTGTTATTTTTCCATATGTTTTTCCAAATAAATTTTCACTTTTTATTCCAGGAACATATCCAGCATAGCCTTTTTTTATAATATAAAATTAATTAATATTTAATGCATTTCATGAAAAAATAAATAAAAAAATATTCTGAAATTAATTTTCCATAAATATATAATTTAATAATACCAGGTATATGAGATTAATATGGATTTAACTATTATTATAGATTATCTTAATTTTGCATACGACTTAATTTTATTTGAATAAAATAATAAATTCACAATTAAATAAATAAATTTAATTGATTATTTTTTTTATTTACTTTTCATAACCAGGAATATTGTTAACGTTTCTTTATTAAAAAAGCATTTCTTTTCTTTTATTTTATTTATTTAATTGAATATTAAAATAGTAAAAAAAAGCTAATAAAATAAATAAAAATTTTTACATAAAATAACAATAATAAAATTATATATATAAAAGAATAATATATATATATATTAATATTTATATATTAATATATATATAAAAAGATTATATATAAATTAAAATTTACACATATATATCTGATAATAATTTTTTATTTAATATTAAAATTATTACAATATATCAAAAATTAATGTTATTTTAATTAAAATCTTTTAGTTTCTTTACTAAAATTTTTAGAAATTAATTCTAAAGAATTTTTATATATGGAACAACATCTTTATTCATAAACCACTATATATATAAAAGGATATAAACAATATATTGTTAAACATAAAACAACAATGAAAATTTATAAAATAACCATATAATCCTAAACAAAAATTAATATTAGATTCTAAAATAAAAAAAACAAAAAAAACTTTCTTTTAATAGTAATAAAAGAAAATACAGAATAAAAACTCTAACAAGCCCTATAAATAAGTTCCATATTATAAAATACATTAAAAAAAACTAAAAATTATGATCTATAAACATATATAATATTAAAACAAACACTCGAAGAATAATAATCTGAATTCTGTAATAAAGAAAGAAGCCAAGTTTTATTCGATGAAGAAGATCAAATATAACAAATTCAATTATATTTAAAAACAGAAAAATTTAATGAATTCATAAGATTAAAACATAAAAACTTAATAAATAAAGAGGAAAAAATTTTCAAAATATCAAAATAAATATACAAATATATCCATCTATATCACCTTTTTCCATAAAAAAATAACTTAAGCGAACATATAAACTAAGAAAAAGAACTCGCGATTCTTCTTTAGAAATAATTTATGAAATTCAATTAAAATTTGATTATTTTTTACACTAAAAATGAGTAAGAAAAGTATTATTTTTTAAAGAAAATCTATAATACAATAAACTAATAAATGTTGCATTTAAAAAGTAAAATTATTATACTTGAAAATGACTAAATAGCTAAATAATTATGTTTTGAGGAAAATCAAATATATATATTGAAAAATGACATTGAATAAAAGTTTAAGAATTCTTTTTTTTCATAGGATGAATTTTAGAATATTAAATATATATAAAAAACTGAAATTTTAAATTTAAAAAATGAAAGTGATTTTTAACAAAAAAACTCTAAATTACTTTTTTTTGTAAATTAATTTGAAAATTATGAAAATTTTAAAAGATAAAAATAAAAAATGATTAAAAATATGGAAGAAATAATAAAGGAAAACTATCAAAATCTTCCTAAAAAATAAATATAGAAAAAAATTTAATAGAGTATATTTAATTTATATATTTCACCTAATATTACGATTTTAAAAAGTGCGAAAATATCTGAATTATCAGCTTTTTTTAGAAAATTAAATGTTTAAAGATTATAATATGTTTTTTGTTTAAAATTAAATAAGGGAGATCATTAAAATTAATATAGATTGGAACTTTTTAAGAAAATTTATGAAAAATATTAAAATGATTTTGTCTTTTTAATCGTTGATACTGATTTGTTAATTGATTTATTCCCTCATTTAGATAAAAATATGCCCTAATTTAGTATTTTTAATTTTTTTAATTAAGATTAAGGAAGTTCTATTGCAGGAAATTATTACAAAAGGCTTATTAATCCTATTGAAAAATACATATTGGAAGACAAAGAGAACTTTTATGAAAATTTCGATACTTTAGACAAATAAATAAAGACTATATTAGATGAAAAAGGAAAAATGTATTACAATACAAATAATTAAGATTTAATATAAAAAATAAATAGTAATATTTTTGATAATATAATAAAAAATAATGAAAATCCTTTTATTGTAAAAGTTTAGAATTAAAATAATTTCTCAAATAAAATTTTAGACTAATAATTATTTGAATTATTAAATTAAAAAATTATATAAAAATAAGTATTTTCTTTAGATTTTATTAATTAACATTAACTTATTAAAGGATTTAAACCAAATTCTTAATTGTTAATATATATAAATCCAATTTCTAAATAAATTCTATATTCGGTTCTCGAATAAAGTTTAATTAAATAAGATTTGAATTAATAAATTAATAAATTTATTGAATAAATATAAAAGTGAATATTTTTTATTTTTGAAATAAAATTTAAATTTTTTATATATATAAAAAAAAAAAAAAATTGTTATTTATTTTTTATTTATTTAAACAAAAAAAATTATTTTAGATTATATTTTATAAAAAAATTAAAATAAAGATATTTTATTTATAATAATATAAAAAAAAATATATATATTTTTTCATATTTATTTAATACTTTTTTAAATTTAACTTTCAAAAATTAATTTTACATTAATATAATTATTATCTATTTTATCAATAAATTTTTAAATATCCTATATCTACCCAGAAGTTAAATCATTAATATTATTCAATCTTTATATATTTTACTAAATCTTACAAACTTAACCAACTAAAGTATTTTTATTCCCTTCCTAAACTACCTTCGAGTATTTTATTTATAATTAATCCAAAAGATCTTCTAATTTTTTAACATCGCATAAGTATTTTTTCTTTGTACCTACAAACTGTTATTTTAAACTAAAAATTCTATCATCAATAAACCTTAACTCATAATTGAAATCTTCTTAATTTTTTTATTAAATATATTTCCTCCTTTCCTAAACTAATTAATTTCTTCATTTAATAAATTTATTTTAATATCCAAACCTTTAAATTCTTTACAGATTCTTTTATAATTAATATCAGCGAAATTTTCAAATTCTTAAAAATAAATATTCTATTCCAAGGCTATTATAAATAATTCTTTCTCAGATTCTTTTTCAGGTTTAAGCATTTTTAATTACTCAAAAACAAATTATTTTCTATTTTTATCGAATTAAACTTCAAGTTCACATTTAATAAAGCCAATTTCTCTATAAATATTTGTAATATCCAAGTTGATTTTATTTCTATTATTTTAGTTATCTAAAGAAAACGAAGCAAATTATTTCTAAAATTCATTATTTTCCTCAGGCATATAATTCTTAACTTAAAAAGAAGCTGAAAAATCTTCTTAAATATTTTTCTAGATTTTTAAATTAACTTAATTTTTAAATTCAGCTAAAAGCATATTAATATCTTAAATTTATTTCTTCATTTTTTTATCTATAGCTTCATTTAAAATTTCCTCATTAATATTATTTGAAGAGTGAATATTTAAATTCTAGCTTTCTATATTAATAATATCTTTTTTTAAACTTTAAATTTAATTTTGTGTTTATTTAAAATTTTTTCTATATTCCCTAATATATGTTAAAACCCTCCTTCTTTTTTCTCATTCTACTCTAACTCTTCAATCCTTCTTTCCAAATCAATTTATTTCTTACTTAATATTTTCATTGCATTTTCATTCTTTTATAATTAAGGAACGGCTTCTAATAATTATAAAAGAGGAGTTAAAGCATCATGTTAATTGCAAACTCTATTTAAATTATTTTAGATCATTTCTAATCTTTTTTCTATTTAGTCTTTATTTTTTTAAGGACTAAGATTTTATTTTGTATTTATTTTTAAGTTTGATTGAGAACTTTGACCCTGCATTAATTATTACTTTTATTCTATTTATAGTTGAGAAATTAATTGTTGTTATTCTTGGATTTACTTTTGTTATTAAATTAGTTGTTACTAATATTATTAAGTTTTTAAATCCGTTTAAGAGTTCCTAGGTTCATCATTGTTGTGAATTAATTATTTTAATTAATAAGTATCATGAAAATTGTAATTTTGATTATTAGGATTATTTATTTATAATTAAATATTTGAATCACTAAATTAATCTATTTGATTTTATAATATTTTACTATTTTATTGTTGGTTATATTTTATAAAATTACTCATTTTTTTATTTTATTATATATTTTTTTATTTTATTTTTAATAAAATAAATTAAAATTAAATTATTTTCAATAAAATAAATAAAATAGTTTTTAAATTTTTTTCTTTTATAAAAAAAATTAATTATATTATTAATAAATATAAGTTCTAAATACTATATTTTATTTATTTAAAATTTTAAAATTAGTTTTAAATTATATATATTTAAAATAAAAAAAAACCAATTTAAATATATTTTTTTTTAAAAAAAATAAAAATAAAAAAAAATATCATTTTTATTAATCTTTTACTTAAAAAAATATTTAAAATGTATCTTATTATCATTATTATAATTATTATTATTTCTAAACGTTATCACTATAATGTTTTTATTAAATATTCTAACATATACTTAAACAATCTTTAAGACAATCAGAATTTTTGTCTATTCTTGCCAAAATCTTTTTAAAGTTTTCTTCTAAAGTTTTCTATTATAAATTCTTTGTCCCATTAACACAAAAAATAACATAATTATATTCACTTAATTAACATACAGATTTAAAGCTATAAACGCCTTCAAAAATATTTACTAAATTTTACTAAATAAATTAATCTGCCTAATTTTCAAAAATCCCAATAAAATTTATCATAAGAATCCCTTATTCTTTATGGAGTAGTTTTTTAGCTTTTTCCAAAAATTAAACACTTTAAAATCCTTCAGGTGGAGAAGGTTAGTTTTCAAATCCAAATACATCAATAATAATAGTATTAAATTATTTAAAGCTTTTCGGTTAGTTTTATTTTTATTATTCCTATTATTAGAAATCTTCTTATACAGGTAAACTTTTTACATATTAAACTCCATTGTCTATAATTAATTTAAATCTAGGATCTTTAACAGGAACTTCAAAGAAGTTTTTTGCTGTTTCAATTACATTTTTAGATATATCAATATTAATCAATTTTACATGTTGAAGATAATTATAAATGAATTTACTTAAAGCACATAAACCACAACCAATGACTAGAATATTAAATTCTTTTTAAAAAAGTTAATCAAAATTAAATAATGAAAACCCAGCAAAAATAGCTCTAAATAAATTAAAAAAATAAATATATTAATACATATAGTTTTTTTTTTACTTATGACTCTCAAATTCTAAATGAGTATCATCTATTCCTACTAAAACATTTTTTTTTGGAGGTAAAATACTTTAAAACTATTTATTTATTTCTACTAATTGAGGTTTATTTTTATTTGAGAAATATATAATTTAAAATTAAGATTATATTTATTATATATTATTTTTAAATATTAATCTACGAATACATTTATTATTTTCATTCATTATTTCATCTATAATAAATTCATTATTTTCTAAAAGAGCATTTCTTTCTATTATTTTTTTTTTTTTCATAAATTAAAATAAAATTTATGATATTATTATTGATTTTTTATAATTATATACTTCCTATTTAATCTCCATCAGTTAAAAATGGTACAGGCTTGTTTTTGCAACCTTTTGGTGTTAAATTATCTACAGCTGGAGATAATTCGCCTTAAACTGCCTATAAATTTCCAAAAGAAAATCCAGGATTTAAAATTGCAATTATTAATCTAGAAAATCCTACTCTATTTTATTTATTTTTATATATATTTTAAATTAAAAAAATACTATTCTAAAAGTTAAAAATTTCCTTTTTCACTACTAAACAAGAAATCTTATTCTTTTCCTTATGGTGTAATGAAACATCCACATGTTTTCTTTATTTTTTAAAAAAATATAAAAAAATGTATTAATATATTAATTATTATTAATAAAATTGGATAATATAGATTTTTTAGACTTTTTTATTTTATTCATTTTTCTGAGTATTTTACATATATATTTAGATTATATTTTTATTATATATATAAAATATATTTTACATTATCTAGAATTTTTTTATTCAAAGAATCAACTACAGTAAGTGTATATTTCGGAATTTCAGAATTTTTATTATTTTTATTATCCCAAATTTCAATCTAAAATCTCTATCCAGGATGAAACACATTAACTTAATCTATATATCTATTTTATGTTTATATTTTTCTAATTTAAAATTTTAAGTCTTTAACCTAAAATTATTATTTTATTTTATTTCTCAATTGCAATTCAATTTTATTATTTTTATTTTTCGATTTTTATATATCAACCATAAATGGAAAAATCTTAGAATTTTCAATTAGAATTTCATATATAGTTATTTAATAATTTCTTGGTTGAAAAAATTCCAAAAGAATATTTAAAACATGACTTTGGAGTAAACTTATACATATATATCTAGATTAATACTCTTTATTTGTTAATATTTTGCAAAAATCATTAAATAAATTTGTTATTTTTTGATTATTTTCCTCATTTTCGACTGGATATATTGCATCGAGGAGTCCTTTGTCAATAATTATATCAAAAGATTCAGGCTAATAGGTCATATTGTAAACATCCATTACTTCATATTTCATAAATGGTCTAATATTTAAGCTTCTTTGAGACATTTCATTAATAATGTTTTCTGAAAAATCATTATTTATGATATTTTTAAAACCTGAATCATACATTTCTTCTGAAAATAAGGAATTACCGCATCCTATATTTAGTATTTTTTAATTTTTGTCTAAAAATTAATTTAAAACAGAATCATATTCTTTGAAGTTTCCATACCATTCAAAAAATTGATTGCTTTCGTCTTTTTATTCTTTTAGTTTTTAAAAGAATTAGTCCCAATATGTTTTTGTTTGAAAATCGCTATATTACTTTGGTAGAATATTCATTTATTTATTATATTTTGTAATTATAATTCTAATGTAATTGTAATTATAATACTTTATTATAAAATAATTTAATTATTAAATAAAATTAAATTTATATTTAATAATTTTATATTCATATATATATTATTATGTTGAAATAATGAAATAAATTTTAGTATAAGTAATATTAAATAAAAAAATGCTATATTTTTGCTTTTATTTTTATGGATATTATAATTTATATATTAAGTTAAAATATCTATATTTTATAAATAAATAAATATTAAATATATTAATTTCAAATTAAATAGATATAATATATATAAACTAAAATTTTTTATATAACAAAATTATTAAAAAAAATTTAAAGTTTATTTGTTTTTTATATATTTTTTTTTTCAATTACTTATATTTTTATTAATTTTTAAAATTCTAATATAATTATTATTTTAAATATTAATTTAATTTTACATTTAAATTTGACTTTATTTAATAATAAAAAAATTTATAAAAAATAAGAATTTTTTTTTAAAAGTAAATTATACAAAATGAAAAAAGACTTTTATCTTGAATATAATTAAAATAGTTTGTTACAAAATGACTATAAAAACAGGTTTTTAATTTTTTTATTAAATTTAAATAAAATTAATTTAAAAAAAAAACAAATTAAAAATAAGAATAAAGAGTACACAATCTAATACATAATTTTCGAAGAACGTTCCCAATAGTTAAAAAGTAAGTATAGATTATAATAATTAAATTTAAGAATTTCCCCAAATTGAAACTAATTCAATGCAAAATATAATAACCTAGAGTACATTTCATTTTTATTTAAATAATAAAAAATAAAAATAAAAAAAGATTAAAATAATTCTGTATTTTCTAATTAAATTGAAAATTATATAAATAATTCAGAAACATGGAATCTTTAGGAACCTAAATCTTAAAATATAATATATTCTCCTAGAAGTAGTAACCCAAATAGTCAAAATTTAACTTGTTAAAATATTTAAATTGAGCAACTGCGTTAATAAATATAAGTAAAAAATAAAAAAGAAAATAAATATGTTATAGATCGTTCTAAAAGCAGAAGCACATAAAATCAATCATAAAAATTAAATATTCCAAATACTATTTAAAAAGAAAAAACAATCAATCAATCAAAACAAATAAAATAGGATAAAACTTAATAAAATATTGTAAATTTATTAAAAAAAATATAATATCAAATAAAATAAATAGATCTAAAATGAAAAATAACCAATATCAAATAATTTATCAAAAAGTCCCTCAAATACAATTTTATAATAGGCCTTATAAAATAACGAAAGATGTATAAATACTAAAGTGTTTGCCCGTTTTAGGCCTTTTAATAAAATGGAAATTGAATTAAGTAAAAATTCTTTAGGTTAGGATTGTTGTTTACATCCAGATAATAAGACAGTTGTTTTATTACCTGATTAAACTGTATTTACTATGGATTTTGTATTTGATTATAACACTACATAACATAAAGTATATGAACATGTAGGAAAAGAAACAATTAATGATATAATGAATGGTTATAATGGGACTATCTTTGCTTACGGATAAACTGGATCAGGAAAACATATAGTATGTTTGGAGATATTTACAATAAAACCTTAAAAGGAATAATTCCAAGATCTATGTATATAATAATAAAAAAATAAATATAAATAATTTATATATATTTTTTCATTTATAGTGAACATATATTTAAAACTATTAATACGTGTTAATTTGATATCGAATTTATATTAACATGTTCTATGCTTGAAATTTATAAGGAAACATTATATGATTTATTATCGGTTTAAAAATAGGATTTAAAAATTAAAGAATCAACAACTCGAGGCATTTATGTTGAAGGATTAACTTAATTAGTAAAAACAAAAAAAAAAAATTAAAAAAAAAAAAATTATAAATAAATAAATTAATTATAAAAGTCAGTAGGAGCATAAAATGAACTTTTAACAATATTAGAATTAGGCGAATAAGCCAGAAAAGTTTCAGCTACTCGAATAAATTAATACAGTTCACGTTCCCATACAATATTTATGTTAGAAATAAAGCAAAGATATCCCAATGACACTGAAAAAAAAGGAAAACTAAACCTTGTGGACTTAGCTGGAAGTGAAAAAGTTGGAAAAACAGGTGCTGTTGGTGACATATTAGAAGAAGCTAAAAAAATTAACTTATCTTTAAGTTGTTTAGGTAATGTGATTCATTCACTTACATCAAATAGTGATCATATTCCATACAGAGATTCAAAATTAACTAGAATACTATAAGAGAGTTTAGGAGGAAATTTCAAAACTTCACTTATTGTAACATGTTCAAGCCATTCAAGTAGTTTAGAGGAAACTTTGTCCACCTTAAAGTTTGCTACTAGAGCTAAATTTATAAAAAATCATTTTAAAATGAATATAAAGAATTCACCTGATGCATTGTAGAAAATTATTTAATAACTTAAAAGAGAACTTTTAGATGCTTAAATTGAAATTCAGAAAATTAAGTAAAATTAGGAAAACAATATACCGAATGAGGATGCTATTTAAAAAATACCTTCAAATTATGATTCGAGTTTAAATATTAATAATGGAAAATAAATTGTAAAAAACTTTGATGGGAATTCTAATAATATTTATAGTAATGAAAATAATAATAATATCAGTAATTCAGATGATTATGTTATTATTTAAAAGAATATATTACTTAATGTAAAAATTAATATATAAATAAATAAAATAAATAAATATATATAAATATATATATATATATATATATATATATATATATATATATATATTTTTAAGTAAAAATTAGAATAATGTGCTGATGAAATTTGTAATTACAAGAGTTAATTTTAAGATATGGAGACTACAATTGAAAAATAATAAATTTATATTCGATAAGTAATATTAAAAATAATATCTTTTTTATTTTCTAAAAAAAAAAACAGCTTGAAAAAGAAAATTTAGAAATGAGAGATAAATTACTTAATTACTGTGAAGATAAAGAATAGCAATTAAAAATTCAAATTTAAAATTAAAATAATATATCTATTTAAGATTATGAATAAATAAAAAGATAAATATGTTTACTTGAAAAAGCATTAAAATAATCAGAAGGAAAAGTATAAAAATACAAAATATATTGATTTTTAAAAAATAAAAAATATAGAATATTTTATATTTATAAGAAAAAACAGAAATATAAAATAAAATGTTTTTAGAATTGTATTTATAAGATAAAAGCATTAACTAAATTGAATCTAAAACTTTTTTAGAAAATCAAGTTGAATAATTAAATATAAAAAATAATGTTAAATTTTATGTAAAAGAAATAAGAAAAGTTATAAATTAAAATTATATTTCGTAATAAAGATTTTAAGAAGTTATTAAAGACTTAGAGGCTTAATTTAATTAAAGTAAATATATTAATTTTTTAATATTAAATAAATTATTTCTTTATTTAAAAAAAGATCTATTTCAATTAAATTTAAGCGAAAGTTAATAAAATGTAAATATAGCTTTATTACGATATGAAATATTAAGATTAAATACATTAAATTAAAGCTTAGAATATGTACTTAATTCTTTATAACTTACTGAAAGTATAAATTATTAAAAATAAAAAATAACTAAGAAAAAACTAAAGTAAGAAAGTTAATTAACTAATTATTTTGGTATAATATTAGAAAAAGTAAAAAAATAAAAAAATTAAATAAAATATTTATAAAAGGCTAAAAAAACACATGAAATACTAAGACAAAGAATCGATAAAGCAGAGGAAGAATAAATGAAAAATAATAATACTTAATAATGTTAAGTCCTTTTTGATTAAAATTAACATTAAACTAAAGGAAAAATTGTATAAACGATTGCTTCTAATAATAATTACGAACATATTGCAAATAATCTATTTTAAGATCCTTAAAATAATTTGCTTGATACTTTTAAACAAATTATTTTACAGGAAATCAAATTTTAATAACCTTATGTTCAAAATATTGATTAGTTAGTTATTTAAATTTAATAAAATTAATTAAAAACTTAAGAAACAATAAAATAATAGTTAACGAATTTACTATAAGATTATGTAATTAATTTTATTTATAAATACAATATTTGAAAAATAATTATCGTTTTAATATATTAAAGGAAGAAGTAAAAATAGATAATAAAATTAAAGGAGAATATTTATATATAAACTAAAACATCTATATAAGTGAAAATAAAAGATTATAAGATAAAGTTTTAAATTTAGTTTAAGAATTAGAATTAGCAAATAATAAAGAAAAGCTTTTAGAAACAGTTAATATAAAATAAATATAATAGCAAAATTTATATTTTTATAAAAAATTAGTAAATGTTAAAATTTAAAGATGAAAATGAGTAAAAAGAGAAATAACTTAATATATAATATGAATAAAGCTAAAAGTTTTTGAAAAAAGAATACATTTAACTAAAAAAATATATAGATGAAATAAATGTAATATGAAAAAAATAATTTTTATTTATAAAAATATTATATAATAGAAACCTATATGTAAAGAAATATTAGATATTTTAAAAAAGCAAAATGATTAATTTGAAATAAAAACATAGAAAACATAAAATAATCATGTATAAATATTAGATAAAAATTAAAAATAAAATAGCGATGCGAGCTTATAAGTATAAAATATTTTAAATGAGAAAAAACAAGAAATAGTAATTAAAAATGAAACTAATGGATTGAAATTATTTCATAAATAAGATAAGGTTATAATATTTATAATATATTTAATAATAAAAAAAAAAGGTAAGAGGATTAACTTTTAATAGGTACGAAAATTTATATGAAAATAATATTAATAAAGAAATAAATTAAAATAATAAGAATTTATAAGATAATTAATAAAATTAGCTTTAAAATTAAAAAAAATTCGATAAAATATAAAATATGAATGCGAATAATAAAGAAATAAATAAAATTTAAAGTAATACAGATGTCTAAAAAAATACAGAAAAATAAAATGATAATAAATATAAATTTAATTTATTGTTTAATTATTATTGAAAATTAAAAGAGAAAAAATTATTATATAAATATTAAATAAATATAAATGATATAATTAGAAAATTTATATACTTAAAATAATTAATTTTATTTTGTAATTTTATAATAATATATACATAATAAGCAAATATAAAATAGTAAATAATAAAAATAAATATTTTATTTAAAATAAATTAATTTATTTTATAATATATATATAGGAAAAATATAATAAATATAAAATTATATCATAAATATATATATATATAAATATATAAATGTATAAATATATTTAATATAAATATAAATAAATATATTTTTTATATTTTTTACTATAATTTTTATATATTGTATTAAATTTATGTTATAATAAATATATTTTATTAATTTATCTTAATATAATATCTATTAAAATGCTATACATTTTATTTATATTTTATATAAATATTATTATACATTTATTATTTTTTTAATATATTTAAATTTATATTTTAAACATTTTTTTATTTATTTATTTTATTTTCTTATTCATTTAAATATTTTTTTATTTAAATAAAATAATTAAATTAAATATATTTTTTAAAAAAATTAAATATTAATATATAAATAATTTAAAAATATTTAAATATTTATATAAATATTTGTAATTATATATATTTTTTTTTATATATATATATAAAATTATCTTTATTTTTAAATAAATAATAATATATTTATATTAATATATAAATTATTAATATTTAATTTTAATTTTAAAAATTTTTAAAATAAAAAAACTTAAAACAAAATATAATACTAATTATTATTAATTTATTTTATAATATCTTCAACCATCTCTAGCATCACCAAACTAATTATTATAAATATATATAAAAAAATTTAAATATTTTAAATAATTACAGTTTCTTCAGGGACAGCTTAACCATCAGCACCAGTAACTGTAGCAGCCCCTTTAGAATTTTTTTATTTCGACAAACCAGAAACAACATCATCAATTCTTAATAACATACATGCTGATTCAATAGCAGTTTTGTAAACTTAAAGTTTAACAGCTATTGGTTCCCAGACATTACATCTATCCATTTCTTAAATTTTTCCAGTAGTTCCTTCAATACCAATAAATTTGTTGCCTTCTTAATTATGTTTAGATCTTAATTCAGTGATAGTTCTAACCACATCTACACCACAATTTTAGGCTAGAGTTTTAGGTATAACTTCCAAAGCATAAGCAACTTTTTTTAAAAAATATACATAAAAATATTAAAAAATAAAAATACCTGCCCTGAATGGTAATTAATATAAACCTTCAACTTAAGAAGATATTTTTTCTAAATGAGAAGCTACTTCCATTTCTATAGCTCCACCTCCTGGTACTAATTTAGGATAAACAAAAATATTTTTAGCAACAGCAAGACAATCATGTAAGTTTCTTTCCATTTCATTCAATACATCTTTAGAAGCTCCTCTTAAAATAATTGAACAGGCTTCGGGATTTTAACATTCGGTCATAAAAGTGAAATATTCATCTCCGATTTTCTTAACTTCGAAAAGTCCGCATTTTTTTCCTACATCAGATTCTTATAATTCTTCTGGTCTATTAACTATAGTCGCACCTGTAACTCTTGAAATTCTATTATTATCGGTTTTTCTAACTCTTCTTATTACTGTTACATTTTATTTCAATAAGTAATGTTATGCTAAATCACTTACTCCTTTTTCAGTTATTACTACATCAGGATTATGTTTGAGAATATCACTACACATTAAAGCTAATTCTTCCATTTCTTATTAAAGAGCATCAGTCCTTATTTTTATTTTTTATTTTATATAATATAATATAAATTAATTTTTTTTATTTTAATTAGATATATATTTTCTGTTTTTACATATCACTTTCTTTCATCATTTCTAAATTAGTCATTGATTCACCTTTCTTATATTCTAAAGGACAATCAAGAAGTATTACTCTTGGATTCTTTATATATCTTCTCATTTTAGGATGAGTTATATCTTTATTAAACATAACACCATCTAATACACAACTATCTTCAAGTAATCCTCCAGGAATCTAATTAATAAATTAAAATTATTTTTTTATTTGAAAAAAAAAGTATTTACCTTTTCAACTTTAGCATATCTTTTGATTTCTAAGTTAAGCTTTTATACTTAACCTCCTCTCATAATAGTTCTAACTGCTTTAAGTGATAGATCAGTAATAAGCTTTCCCCATCTTGATGTAAATTTTGTTCCAATACATGAAGCTAAAGCCTTTTTATATTATTTTTTTTAAAAAATTATTTTTTTGTTTACTTTGTTAATATCATCATCATTATCAACGTTAATTGATACTCCTAATTCTTCGATTTTTTTAGTTGCTTCTTATAAAGCTTTATAGTAAGCTTAAACAATAATAGTAGGATGGATATTTCTTTCAATGAATGGTCTAGCAGCAAGCATCATTTCACCAGCTAAAATAATAACTGATGTGGTACCATCACCAACTTCTTCATCTTAAACTCTTGCTAGTTCAATCATTGATTTTGCAGCTGGGTGATTTACATCAATTTCTCTTAAAATAGCATTGCCATCATTAGTCATAACTATACCTCCCTTTTTATATTTTAATAATAATTATTATAATATTATAAATTTAAGCTTTATAAATAAATTTACCATTGGGTCTAAAAGCATTTTAAGCATAGAACGAGGTCCTAAAGTTGATGTGACAATATCAGCTACAGCCTTTTTTTAATAAATAAGTTTTTTTGTTTTAAATAACATTATTATATAATTACTTTTGATGCTGCAATGTTAGCTAATTAAGCTTTTTTACCACTTTCTCTTTTTGTATTGGTGTTTAATACCATTATAGGTTAGTGTCCTCCTTGCATTTTTTTTAAATATTTTTTTAATAATTAATAATTTTATTATATATGATTTTTTTTTTTTTTTATTTTTTTATTTAGATATTTAGAAATTAAATTATTTAATATTTATATTTTTAAATATTTTTAAAAAAAATTAAATATAAATTTTTTTTTTTAATATAAATTTATATATATAAATATTTATATATATATATATATATATTTATATATATATTTATTTTTAATTTTTTTTATTATAATTTTAATTTATATTTAATTTTTATATAGATATACACATAATTATAAAAAAAGTATATAAAATAAATTATATTAATATATATTTAATATTATAAATTATAATTATTATATTCACATATTAAAATTAAATTATATATAATTAATTTTTTTTAATTTAGTATTTAATTTTTTTAATAAACTATTTTAAATATTTTTATAGCATTGTTTTTAAAGTAATATTTGTTAAAAAGTTTTGTTTTAATACTAATATATTTTATTATATCATTTACATTATATATTTTTTTTTTAATTTTATATCTATTAAATTATTAAATAATTTTAGTAAAAAATAAAAATTTTAATATTAATTTAAGAATTATATTTTATTCGTAAAAATAAATTAAACTGATATTTATTATTATTATAAAAGTAAATTTTAATAAATAAAAATTAAATAATTTATAAAAATAAAAATATGTTATTGAGTATTCTTTCAAATACTTAAAATATTATATAACAAAAAATAAATCCTTTATAATCAAATTTTGCTGATGAAGTATTTAACTTAGAACTTGATATTGAGTCATAAAACGTTCAAATAAGTTAAATAAATAGATTATTAGAATTATATGCCTTAGCAATTGAATATTATGAAAGTATTAAAGATTAAAAATATTTGATTTTTAAAAACAAAACAAAATAAATATTATTAAAATAAACAGTTATAGAAGCTCTAGATAAAGAATAATAAAAAAAAGTAATATTTTTAACATTTAAAAAATAAAATATAAAAAAGAATTTTAATAACAGTAATTTTGATTAAAAATAAAAAGAAATCGAATTAAAAATTAAATATAAAGTTTAATAAAATACACAAGAATCAGTAAAAAATTTATTAAATTCTCATAATTAAGATCTTTAATATGCCCTTAAAAAATTTAAGATGACACAAACTTTTAAAAAAACGCTATTTTATAAAGATTATAGCAAAGGAAATCTAAAAAAGTTGCAAATAGCACAAAAAATAAAGATAATATAAGTTATTTATAAATAGAAACTGATATAGTAGATATTTCTAATAATTTATTAACAAGTCCTAATTAAAATATTTAAATAAAATACGAAGAAAATAATATCCCTTATGGTTTATAAATGGAATTTAATAACGATATTAAAAAAAGAGAATCTCTATCTCCATAAAAGCTAATAAAATAAAAAAATAAAAAAAATTTAAAAATAATAGAAATAAAGTTTTTAAAATAACATGAACATTAATTAATACCATTTTGATAATAATATATAAAAAATAAATATATAAACTAATATATATATATAAAATTTTACTTATATATCTAGAAATCATAGAAGAAATATGATATAATAATAAAAACTATTAAAATATAAAAAATATTATTGTATAATATATTCTTATACTAAAAAATGTAAAAATTTATATGAATTTTCTATATAAGACTTATAAAGTATTATGTGAAAAATAAATATTATTAGTTTTATATTTATTTAACATATAAATCAAAAGAATATTTTTTTATTTTATATAGATTATAAAAATATTATTTGTTAGTTTATTATAATTATAATAAAATATTTAACATTTTATATTTTTAATTTTAAATTATATATATATAATAACGTTTTTATCAATATTTAAATATATAGATTATATTTATATATATATATAAATATATATATATATATATATATTTATTTTATTATTTATTGACATAATTTTTTTAATGTATAATAAAAATTATTAATATTATTAAGCTTTATTATTCATTTATACATTTTTTTTTTATTTTATTTTTAATAAGTCATTTTTTAAAATTTTTTTATAATTATAATAAATATTGAATTATAATAATTATTAAACTTTTATTTTATAATTTTTTTTTTTATATTTTTTCATTTTTTTCTTTTTTTTTAATTAATATGATAAACACAAAAATATAGCATAGCTTTTATTCATTTTTTCATTTCGTTTTTCTATTTACAATATTTTATTAAAATCAAAATTTGAAAACATTATATTAATTATTATATAAATTTTTTATTTTTTTTATAAATATATTACATTTTTTAATTTATTATTTAATTATTAAGATTTACATATAAATATTTGTTTTATTATAATTTTTATATGAAATATATTTTTATTGAAAATTTTAAGATAATTTTATTAAAATAATATTTTTATATATTAAATTTTTTATTGTTATTAATATATAATAAAGAATAATATTCAATTGGCTTATTATGCCATTTATTATTTTAAAAAAATTATTTATTTATCTATTGATTGTATTTATTTTATTTATTACTACAAATGTAAACTTGTTCTTGATATATTTATATTATTATTATTTTTATTTAAAATCTTTATATTAAATAAAATATATAATAATAAAAAATATAAGTTTTACTTTATATTTTTCGATTTCCAACTCAGCAAGTTATTAATTTAATTTTTTTAGATTTTCTCCTTTTAAACTTTGTAAAGTGCTACTACTTCCAATTTAAAATTATTATTTATGTGACGATCTCTAAAAAGATTCTCCTTAAAGTTTTTATTATTTTAAAGTATTTTAATGCGACTTTTATTAATATGCACTATAAAAATATTTTTTATTATAATGACTAGAATTTTAATTATTATTAGTTAACAAATTATCTTAAATATCTTATATAAGGAAAACGTTATCCTAACTTCTTGAATTGTATAACTTATTTTAGCTATCTAAATTAATATTATTATTACTTTTATTATATTTAAGTTGGTATGAACTATTATTTTATTATTAAAATTATTAGAGTTATTGTTGTTATTATATTTATTATTATTAATACTATTACTAACATTATTATTAATTATAAGTAAAGTAATTTTCCTAAATTTCAGGATGTGGATGTGAAGGTTTAAAAAAAATATCATTTTTCTATTATTAATTTTCATAAATTATTTAATTATTATTATTTCCACCTAAAGAAAACTAATTTCTTTATTACTATAATTATTTTAAATTATTTATACTTTATTTATTAATTTATTATTACTTTTATTAAACACTTATAATATTATTATTATTTTATTATTATTATTATTATTTATTATTATTATTATTATTATTTTATTATTATTATTATTATTTTTCTTATATGATTATCACTTATTTTATCATAAGAATTTATTTCTTATTAATTAATTTTTTCTTATGAATTAAAATAATTTTGAGAAAAATCACTTTAATTAAATTCAGGTTTGAATTTTTCAAAATTTTTATATTCACTATTTTCGTTTAAATTCAAAGCACTTTTATTATATTTACTTATAGGTATTTTTTAATTTAGTATGTTTTCGCTTATATTTTCTACTTCATTTACTTTTTCACTTAATTGCTAATTTTTTAGCTTTGTTTACTATACTTATTAAAACATTATTTGTTTTTATTTATTTTTAATTTTTTTTTTTATTATAAAATATAAAATATAAAATATAAAAATATTTATCTTTACCAATAATAATTAATCAGTTGTATTTAAAGAATTCTTTAATTAAGTAATTTCATTATTTAATAATTAAGAACTAATTTTATATTAATTAAAATCATTTGTAGTATTTTATAATTAATTTCCATTTCTGCAATTAGATGATTTAACACTCAAATTTTATATTTCAGAATAACTATTTTTTTTAATTTTGATTTAAAAGCGGCATTATTTTCTGAATAATAACTATTTTTTCGATTTAATAATTCGTTATTATTTTCTATCAAATTTTCACTTATTAAAATTTATAATTTTTAAAAATATTTTATATTACTTTTGTGTTTATATTTATGGATTTTAATAGAGTTTCTTTATTTCTTAATTTTTCTCTTTTATAATATTTTCTTTTGTATTTAAAAATATTTAAAGTTCTTATATTTAAATATCCTTTTATTTTGATAAATTTACAGCTTCAGTTGCTATATTCATTTATTATATTATCTATTAACGAAGTTCTGTTATTTCTTACTTTAATTTTTCTTGTTTTTTTTATTCTTTTTCATAAAGATCTTTCCATTTGTTGTTTTAACTATCATTTTCGAGTTGATTTGTTAAAAAACTTATCTGTTATTTTAATTATTCAAGAGTTTTTTAATATTTCTATTTTTAAATATATTATATTTTTGTTTTATTTTTAAAATTTAAATATAATTTACATTTTCTTAATTTGAAAATTTTTAATTTATATTATTTAACATTTATTTTAAAAAATTATTTTCTTTTAAAACATTTTGAATATCATATTAATTTACATTTTATTATTAACTTTCATCAATCATAGAAACACTAGATAGCAATTAGGTATCATTCAAATTTTCTCCTTATAAATATTTCAAAAAATATTTTGAAACTTTTTCTTTATTATTAAAATCATTATTATTTTATTCATTTTAATCTTTTTTTTATAATTAGTTATAATATATTTTTATTTATTTTTTACAAAAAATCAAAAAAAATAATACCATTTTAATTTTATGATGAAATACTTTTAATTTCCAATAATTATTTTTTCAAATTAGGATTTGTTATATATTTTGATATATTTTATATATTTTCGTCTTAATTTTTTTAAGAAGTTTACAGTAACATATTATCAATAATTGAAGATGTCATACCTTCAAAATCACTATTTTAGAAAATTTTATCTTCTTCATAAATTTTACTCATTTGATTTTTATTTTTATTAAATTCTTATTAATGTTTATTTATAAACATTTTTTTATTTTATATTAATTATAATAATATATATATATATATATGTAATAAACAAAAATAATTTAAATTTAAATTTATTTTATTTTTAAACATTAAAAAAAATAAAAGAAAAATATAAATAAAATATAAAATCACATTTATGTAAAAAACCTTTATTAACTATTCATTTTTACAACTTTACTATACATACTAAAATCAATATTCTGTTTTACTTCTAATGCTACTTTTTATATTTATTTATCATGTTTTTCTTATATTAATTTAGCAAAATTATTAAAACCTATTAAAATAACACTAATATTATCAATACTATTTTTTCCTAAAGTAAATTTAAATAAATTATCTATAGCTATTTTTGTATAATCCTTAAAAGAAAGATAATCAGTTTATTAAGAATTCCAAACACAATTTATAATATCTTAATTATTTAATTTATCATAAACTCCATCACCTTTTTTATAATATAATTTAATCTTATTTTATATTTAAAAAATACTTCCTATTATAATAAAATCACAATTTTTATCAATTTTAAATTATTAAATTTCTGGTATTGCAATTATAACATTTTAATTACCTCCAAGTTTACTTAATTTAGCTTCTACATCACCAAATGCTCTTGTAACCTATTTTATAAATATTATATTAATATTTATTTTCATTTACAGATAAACGGCCTGGTAATACCCTATAAGGTCCATACTATTTATTAAACTAACTCCTATATTTTTATATTATATATTAAAATAAAAATGAATTTTTATTTTTATTTCACAAAAATATAAAACAAAAAAAATTACTAATATATTTAACCTCCGTTTTCTTTTATTCTTTTAAACTCATTTTAATTTAAAGGTTTATGATCTTATGATAATTCATAAATTTATTTTCCTTTATTATAGCTCATAATAGCTCTAGAATCTCCTACATTAGCTACATAACAAACATCGTCTTTAATATTTTTTTATAAATATAAAAATAATTAAATGTAAACAAAATACCTACAATAAATACCACTATTGCACAAGATCCTGATCTATCCACAACAATTTCGTTTTTATAAGCTTTTATAAGAAAATTTTTTTCTGCTTATTAAAAACCATTCTAAATTGCTTAATTAATATTATTAGGAAAATTAGAATCATTAATGACATAATTATGTAAATTTTCTTTTAAAAAATCAGCACATGAAAATCCTCCATGTCCATCATAAATTCCAAAAAAGGAACATTTTGGCCAATTATCAATTTCAGTATTTATTGATGGTTTTTTCATATTTAAAATTATCGTAATTCTGTCTTCATTATAATTTCTGATTAAACCTTAGTTAGTATTTGCAGCATAACAAGAAATAATTCCATTTTATTTTATTGAATATTGGGTTTAATTATAGTTTGGAATAATAGTTTAATTAATTAGTATTTATTAAGAAATACTTAATTCTTAATTATTTTAAGTTTCTGGTTTTAAAATATCCTCTATTTTATTCACACAGGGTGTTGTATATGATGCACTTATTTTATTTAAGTGTTATTTTTAGATATTATTCGAAACTGACATTTTTAAAAAAAATTAACTATTTTTGTAAAACATTTCTTATTTTTATAATTCTGTTTAAGATTGTCCAGAATCATTATTTGCTTGCATTGAAATATTTTTCTTTTTTTCATCATTATTATTGGTTAGTGGTTTTCGAATTGATAGTAGAGTATTATTGTTTTGATATGTGTAAAAATTATTTTTTATAAATTACTTATTGTTTTTTTTTTCATTTAATAATGTAAAAGTTTAATTAGAGTTTTACTTTAATTATCAGTTTGATTTAATGTTTGCTTATTAAATTAATAAATAATTTTAGTTAGAGCTTGGAACAAATTAATTTTTAAACTCTTTTTATAAAAATTATTTATTTTCAAATTGAAAATATTATTAGTTTGATTAAACATTATTAAGACTTTATCTTTAATATTTTGATATTTCATTTATTTAAGTTTTTTATATAATTTCTTTATATATAAATATTAATATATGTATTCTTTCTTAATATTTTCTTTACATTTTTAGTTTTAGTTTTAGTTTTAGTTTTCTTTATTTTTCATTTTTTTATCTTTTTAAAAATTTATTATTTATGTCTTAATAATTTATTTTATTTAAATATATTAGATAATATTTACCTAAAGATTTTAAGATAATACAAAATTATTAAAAATTATGCATACATTTTTTATTACATAAAAAATTTTGTTTAGAATAAAATTAAAAATTATATAGACAAAGAAACAATAAAATTTAAAAAAATAAAATTATATTAATAAAAATAAATTATATTAATATAATCAATTTTTATTTAAAAATTATTAAAAAAATGCATTTTTTTAATCTTATATTAAAAATATATAAATTAATACTAATATTAAATTATAAAAATAAACTTTATATTATTTTTTCATTTATATATATTCTTTATTTCTATTTTATTTTAGTAGAAAATTTATAGTTATTTACATAATAACTTTATATGATATTTTGTTAGCTTAAATATAACTAACCATTCTATAACTCGGTTTAGTTTAACTTTAAATAAATTATTATATATATAAATATAAAAACAAAATTAAGTATTAATAAATTAATAATTATTAGCTATGACTACATCATGAACAAAATTATCTTATTTCACTATATTATAAAATATAATATCTCCTAACATATTTCCCTTTTATATTAAAAATATTATATATTTTATAATCGAAAATCATAAAGTTCAAATTTATAATTACAAAAGACTTTTTATAATATTCTTATTACTTAATTGCTTTTTTCATTTAAGTATCAATAAAAAGTCTCGTTTATAATAATTTCACATATTTAATATTCACTTTTTTAGCGCTTGAAATATGTTTAATTTGGAAAAAATAACGTAGTTTAAATTTGATAAATTCTATAGTTAATCTAGCTTATATATTGATAATTTTATTCTTTTATTATCATATTTCTTTTATAGTCCGCATTTAAATAGAATAAAGATAAAAATAAAATGGATTAAAGTCAAACATGAATATTATATAAATAAAAAATAAATTAATTATATCACTTTATATAGCAAAATATTTTGAATTTCTTCAGAGATAGTTATTACTCTTATATATAATTTACAATTATTGTTTTTTTTTTTTCTTATTATACAAAATAAGTATTATTATTAGAATAATATTGATTAAATATTAAAATATATTTTGCTTTTTATTAAAATTTATTTTATTCTTATAACATTATAAATATTGTTATCATATCTATATATTTTATAATACTTCTTTTTAAATAAAATTAATATAAATTATATTTATTTATTTTGAGCAATTTATATTTTTAAATATATATTCTTCAAACCTTCTTTTATTACTATATATTATATAATATTTAAATATTTTAATTTTTAAAAACAATTTAATATTTATTTCGACTTTTTCTTTATTTTTACGAATTATTTTATTATTATTTTTTATTAATTTTAATATTTTTTATATATATGTCTGATTCTATTTCTATTTTATTTGATTTATTATACTTGAGATTATGTTTATATCGTATATTTTTTTAATATTACTTTGTTTTTATGTTATATTTTTTTCGGATAATTTAAACTTAATAATAAAAAAAAAAAGCTAAATAAAAAATTGATTAAGTCTTTTTTTTTATGATAGAAATATTAAAATAAAAAAATAAAATAAAATAAATTAAAATCAAATTTTTTCAAATTCCTAATTTAACTTAATCTATGTTTAAAAATCAGAAGTTAGTTTAGTCGCTTCCCTAATAAGCATAGTAGCATAGCTGCCTTTTTATAATATAAACCTCATACAAAGGGCCGTATATTTTCCATTTTCATCATTTAAATCCTATTTATGATTATAAAAAGGGGTTAAAATATCTTCAGTTTTTACATTAAATTTATTCAATGTATACTCGAAATTCTCTGTTTATTAAATTAAATACCTATATCCTCCTTCAACAAAGAATTCTTGGTTTATTTATTCGAAGTTTTTTAATGTCAAATCATCAAGTATTTATTAAAGTTCGTTTTTCAAATTAAATTACTCTATAGGGAAGTTAATTTTGGCACCAAAAATAGGAATAACAATATCATTAATACTGAATTAATCTATATTATTTTAATCTACAATACATATATTAAAATCATTAATTCCTTAATATTCAAAATAATCATCTTCTATTATTTATTCTTCATCTTCTCTCTATTATTAATCATCTTAGTTTTTTTCTTAATTAATGCTATTTGTGAAAAATTCTTTCCTTTTGGCCACAATGTCCCCTAAAATTATTTTTTTGCCATATTTTTCTATACGGATAGAAGCTAATTAATTCCATAAATAACTTTAATAAGCATGACAATATAAAGCCCTAGTACTTCTATTTAATTAGCAAATAGCTTACATATAGTTTCCATTCATTCCGCATTTTTCATATCCTTATATAACTGTACGCTCTATTTTGTATTTAAAAGAAATGTTTTTTAATGCTTCTTTTACTTTAGTTTTATCTTCTAAAAATTTCCTTTTATATTCATTTACTTAATTATCATTTTAAACATTTTAACCTACAATTAATTCAAAAGCTTATTCCCATTATTTTTATAATAAAAGTTTTCCTATATACATATAAAATATATTAAAAAAATTAATAAAATAATATATAGATACATATATTGAATATAAACCTATAACGTGTGTTTAAGAATCTGGATTATTTCCGAATCTTTACATTCCAAAATAATTAATAAATCCATATTTGATGAGATTTTGTATATTTATATGAACATCTTCTTCTTTAAAATCTATAAGCCTGATAGCTACTGAGAATTGATTTCCATATAAATCACCCATTTTAATAGGTTTAATTACTTCTTTTATATTTTATAATTTCATATTATACCATTTAGCATTTTTTATTCTACTTTTGAATTATTCTTCATTAGTATTATGCATGGAAATACTTATTGCTTAAGTAGTAATTCCTCTTTTATCTTTTAAACCTGCTGATCCAATATTTCTGGTAGAAACTTTTAAGAATCTGCAAATATTTTAAATAGCATTAAATGTATCTTACCCTGTTTTAAAAAGAGTAGCTTAAAAAATAATTTTTTTCCTATTATTGTTATTGTTATCATTATTATTTCTTTAAAATCTTTTAGATTTATTTTTTGTATAAAAAATTCTTATAACCTAATCTTATGTCTCAGAATCAAAATTAGGAAGATTTTCTCTAACAAACTAATGTATTTCTAATCTTTTTTCTTTTTCTTAAGGACAATTTACATTGAACTCGAATTCGCTTTAATTTGGATTCAAACCATTGTATATATCAGACAATGCTTTTTATAATTTTTCACCTATTTCAGGAGTTAATAAATCATTCATTTTTTAAATTTGGTCTTTTGAAAGTTCTTCTTTTTGAATAACTTCTTTCTTTTTTTAAATAAGCTCTTTTTATACTTATTATTTGATTTATTATTATTATTATCCTTCATCTTATACCTAAGTTTAGGTTTCTTGTGGATATAATATTTCTTTTTGCGGAGTGACTTCGTTTACTATAAAATCTGATATTCGACTTTTTGTTATACCTTTGATAACGTTTCCTTCATTTAGGAATGCGGTAATTCCTACATCTCTTTCTTATAAAGACTATCTTTCTTTTTGAATTGATTAAAATTCTTAATTATCCATTAAAATTAACTCTGTAATTATTTTTAAATATATAATTATATTAATTTTAGTTTTATATTTGATTAATTTTAACTAAAAGTTGAAAATTTAAAAAAACTAATTTACTTGTAATTTGATAAATACTAATAAAAAGATAGAAATATTTGTAAAATAAATAATATACAAATATAATTTTTAATATTTGTTTTATTTCAGAAATATTAATTTATTTCATTAGGTATTTTAAATACAATTCATAATAATATTTAATTATATATTTATAGCATTTAACTCTTTTCTTTTATTTCTTATTATTATATATCATATAATTTAATGTTCTTAAAAAAAAAAAAATAATAAAGAAAATTATATTAAATTAATTTTTTTTTTTAAAAAAAAAAATAATTGTATAAACAATTTTAGTATTTATAATTATAATAATATATTTAAATATTAAATTTTGGATATTTTTTATTTTTTTATTATTATATGCAAAAAAAAAAAAAAGTAAATGCAAAGATATAATTATATATAATTAAAATTTTTAAAAATATAAACAGATAGAAGATTATAATAATCTTATTATGAATTCTAAATTTTAAAAATATTAGTTTAATAAATGTACATTTAGAAAATAATTAATTATAAATTGAAACTAATAATAAGAAAGATCTACTAATTATAAAAATAAAACCAAAGCATATATAAAAAATATTTATAAAAAAGTAATTAAAACATATTTCAATAATAAATAAATTATTATTTATTTAAAAAAATATATAAAAAAAAAAATTAATTTTAAAAGAGAATATATTTAACAAAAATAAAAAAAAATATATATAATATAAATTAATATTATTAATTTGATATGTTAATACAATTTAATAAAAAAATAAAAAAAGAAATAAATTAATGATTAAATAATATATAAATTAAAATAAAAAATATTGTTTATTATTTATATATATATTTTATTAGAAAAACTCAATAAAAAAAAAGGACAAAAAAAAAATTAAGATTTTTTAAAATTAAAAATTAAAAAAATTAAATAAAAAAAAATAATAGTATATAAAATAAAAAAATAATATATTTATGTATATATAAAAAATAATTTATATATATAAATATAAATATTTATATTTTAAAATATTTTTATATATATAAAAAAAAATTAATATTTTTTATATATATATATATATATATATATTTATAATATATATAATAATAATAATAATAATAATAATAATAAAAATAATAACAATAATAATAATAATAATTTCTTTTGAAAATTTTGATATGAAACTATAAGATTTTTATAAATATCAATATAATAATAAATAAAAATTTTAATAAATTAATTTTAATAATTTATAATGAGATAAAATAAAAATTAAAATTATTTATATTTTGTTATAAATACTTCCAAATGTGAAATTTAATTATATAATAATTATAATATTTGAATCAAAATAAATAACATAATAAAATTAATTATATTAATATTTTATTTATTTTTTTCTATACCTATTATTTAAATATAAGGTTATACTAACTTAAAAAAAAAAATGTTTATATTATTGATCAATAAACATTAAATTATATTTTTTTTACTTTTTTTGCTTAGTTTTATTCTTCGAATTAATTGATTTAATATACAGATAGTAGCCCTTATTATAATATTCTAACTATGATAATATATGAAATTTATTAATATAAGAAATTATATTATTTTTTTAAATATTTTACTAATAAAAATAATTTTTTAAAATATCTAATAAATATTATAATTTTACAATAATTTATTTCTAAATAAATATTTTTATATTATTTATTTTTATTTAAATTTTTACTATTATAATTTTTATATTATATAACAAAATAAAATGCCTAAATTGAATAAAATTAAATATAAATTTACATATATATAAAATAAATATATTTATTATAAATTATAAAATATGTATATACAATCAATAAATTTTTTTAAAAATGTTTAAAAAGTATTCATATAATGTTATCATAGAACTACAAGCAACAATAGTTTTTATAATTCTTGGACTAATTCCTACATACAATCCCAAAATCCCTTCTTTATTTATAATATGTTACATAATCTTGATTGTATTATGCTTCTAATACTCAGAATCCAACTACCTTCTTGTTTTAATCACATCCAAAGGCTAAGTAAGAATAGCCGTAAAACTCCCTGAAACTGATGCCGAAACCAAATTACAAAATATAATAATTCCAGAAGAATTATTTTAATTAAAAAACTAAAAAGAATAACCTCTAATATTCTCCACTAGAATCCAATAAACTGCACTAAATAAAATATCTCTTTAAAAAGTAGTCATAAATCCAACAAAATATTTTACATTTTACTTCTATTTTAAAATTTCTTAATTTTATTCGCTAAAAATTTAACCAAAGTTTTTCTAATTTACTTAAGCTTATTAAATGGTCCTTAAATAATCTAAGGGATAAAACACAAAAGTAGTTATAGATCTCGAACATATAGAAGATAATAAAGGCGTATATAAATTCGAATTTATATAATCGCGTTATATTATTTTCGAAAAGGTCTCATATAAATAAAAAAAAGAAACAGTTGATAATGTATTTGAGTATAAAGAAACTTTTAAACCACTAAAAAATGTTTTAAGTCCTTCTCTTTATTTTATTTATTTAATTGAATTTATTAATGTTTTTTTATCCAAGCATAGACATTCGTTTATTCTTGTTATTACGTTGAATTTTTTTAATTATGATGTTTGATATTGGTTGTGGATTTAACATTAATTTACTTTTTACTGTTTTACTTTAAGAACATCTAATGGGTTTAAAATAATTGTTGTTATAATTGAAGATAATAAAGATGAGGGAAGTATATGAGAATGTTTTCTTTATTGTTTGTCTATCATTTTTTAAATATAATTATTTTTAAAACTTTATTCTAATAATTTTTTTTCATTATATATAATATAATCTTTAATATTTTTTAATTTTATTTTTTATATATAAACAATAATTTTTTTTAAATAATTAATTAAATAAGATAAAAAAATAATAATTTAATAAAATAAAATATAAATATATATATATATATATATATATATATATATATATATATACATATAAATTCTTATTTATATATATTTAATTTTTTTTGTTTATTATATATAAAAAAAACATAATACATTTTATTTTTATAATATACAAAATTTAAAGTATAATATATATATGTATATATATTATATTTACTAAATAGTTTTTATTTATTATAATATTTTATATTAATATATATTATATACTATTTTTAATAATTCACATTTTTTTACCTGTTTATGAAAACGATTAATTTATTGGCGATTAATATTTTGTTCCAACGTCATCTTATATTCCTTAAATTAATTATATTCCAGTTATATTATTCTAATTTATTTTAAATAACTCATCATATTAATTAACTGAAACTCGATTAATTGAAATATGGTTTAATTTATATTGAATTTCATCTTATTAATTAACTCCATTATTCTTGTTCTTTGTATTATATTAAAGATTTTAATTTTTATTATCAATAGAATTATAAACTTTTAAAGCATTTTACATATTAGATGCATACATTATATTTTCTTCATCTTTTATAAATTCTATATCTTTTAAAGATTTATTTTTTTTATTTTACTCTTTATTTCCATTAATTCCATTAGCACATTGATTTAATTACTAAGACTTTAACTAAAAAAATGATTTAAAAAGACTTTCTTTTTCTATCCAAGAAGGTTTCTTTTCGAATTTTATTTAAGCGTTTTTCATAAATCTTTTTATTCTAATTATTTATTGATGCTTTATAAATTATTCATATATAACTAATAGAACGTCAAATGCAAATATCACTCCAACTGAAAAAATCATTATTAAATAAAAATGTACAGCCTAAAATAATAGATAAGGAGTCAAATAAACTTAACTAAATTCTAGGTTTTGGCTTGCGAATAAAAATCCGAAATAAACAACTATACTAGTTCCAAAAAATGCAAAAATATTAAAGCATGTCCAATATCTTGTATATACTGCTACTTTTATATCTGCAACCTATATTTTTTATTATATATTATTTAAATTTTTTATTTTTTTATAAATACTAATATTATTGATGAGAAATTTATTAATGAAAATTACCATAAATCACTTTAAAAGCCTTTTTTATAAAAAGTACTTGTATTAAAAGCAAAATAGCAGATAAAAAAGATAAACACACTATGTATAATACCTTAAATTAACCAATTAAGAAAATTAAGGTCTGTAAAAATAGTTCTTCGTTATCCTATATAATAAAAGCTAGGAATTTTACTAGCTGCGTAAACCTCTTTTTAGATATTAATTTTATTTATTTCATTGTTTTTCTATCCTTTAATAATTTAATCAACATTAACTTTATAATTAACATCTTAATCGAAAACTGCTCTAGCAATTAATGGTAAGGCTGTAAAACTTAAATTATATAAAGTAATATAAACATCGTCGAATATAGTTTAACCGGAAAATCCACTAAAAAACGCAAAATACATTTATGGTATTGTAAAAAGCCTAAAATTATTAAATACAAAAAAAAATTAAATAAATATATAAAATTTTATTTACATACATATTCTTATAAAAAAAATATAAAATCATCTCAGATATTCTAATATAAGACCATCTACCATGTACCAAAATTAATCTCCAAAGACATTTAAATTCTCCGAAAGCGAAATCAGAACTTTAAGCAGCTTACATTCCCTCATTTCCAAATATACCACATCCTTATAAATATATATATATTAATAATTATATATATATATATATATATATATATATATATATATATAATATATATTTATTTTTATATATTTTATTCATATTTATTTATATTTTAATTTTATATATAGTTTTAATTTTATAATATATTTATTTATTTATTTTTAATTTAAAAAATAATTTATAAATATTACCTATATGTGCTTCTTAAATCATATTTACATCGTTTGCTCCATCACCTATTGCAAGTGTAATTTTTTTAATACCATCCTTTATTAAACGCACAATTAAAGCCTTTTATTTCGGTGTAACCCTACAACATACAACAGATTCACAATCTTATGAAATTTTCAAAAATGCCTGTTTAAGTGTTTCGTCATCAAGAATAATTGCCAATGATTCCCCTTCAACTAGAAGACTTTTTTGAATTTTACTTTACATGCATTCTTAGAATTATTACATCGCGTTTCCTAAAATGTTATTTTTGAGGTCTATTTCATTTTATTCTGATATCTAAATTACTTTCATCTAACTTTATATTAATTTGCAACTTTTAGCGATATTTTCTGCTGTTTCTAATTTATCCCCTGTTAACATCCATACTTTTATATCTTTAAAAAGAAAAAAATTATAAATAATAAATATATTTCTATATAAATAAACAATATTATATATATAGAAATAAAAATACTAGCTTTTATCATATCATATATGGTTTCTGTGACTCTATCTTATAATTTATCTTCTACAGCAGTCGCACCAATTAAAATAAGATCATTTTCAATTTCATCAGCTAATTTTTTCACATCCTCTTCTCTATTTTTACTATCTGCAAATGAATTATATTTTGATTTAAATGATAGATATTCATCTTCACTTATAATTTTCATCGCCATCATTAATGTCCTAAGCCCTACGATGCTAAATTTGGATAAATGATTTTCGATAGTTTTCAAAAAAGGTTACGGTTTTTAACCACTTAGTCGCTTTTTGATAATATTATCAGCCCCTTTAATATACATTTTATATAAATTTCCATCTTTAATAATTACAGACATTCTTTTTCTCGTACTATCAAACTCGAAAGTATTCAAAAGTTAAAAAGTGCATTTGTTTTCATTTATATTCACATCAATAGTATCACTAGAAGCTCCAGTAAACTTAAATCCCATATGTCTAGCTGCATCCACTAAAGTTATTTCATCAGGAGAAGGTCCTTAATAATCTATATCTCCAGTTTCTTTATTTTCACTAATAATACATTCATGAGCACACGAGAGTAACTTCCAATACTCAAAAGCCAAATCTTTTTAACTTTTTATTGTAAATTTGACCTTATTATCATTAGAAACTAAATTCAAATTTACATCATAGTTATTATGCGGATTATTTAATTTTAAAAGATTAGACAAAGACTGACTATGGAATTTAAATTTAACATTCATTTTTTCAATTTACCCTTAATATAATTCTGTCCCAATCACACTTTTATTAAACTCCATTTCATTACAGGTTAAAGTTCCAGTTTTATCGGAAAAAACATACTCTATTTGTCCCAATTCTTCATTTATAGTAGTTGTCATTACTTAAGGCCATATATCTTTCTATTTACAGTACATTTCTTTATCTTTTTATATAAAATATCCTTGAGTTACTTTTACCATTTCAAGTGATACAATAAGGGATATAGGAATCATAGTATTATATAATAAAAAGTAAGTAAAAAACTTCAATAAACAATCTAAAACATAAGAACTTGTAAAATTTAAATACAATTAATCATCCATATAATTACAATTCGAAAAATAACTTAAAATAGCAGTAAAAAAAGAACTTATTAATTAAAAAATTAAAATTCCAAGTATATATGTATTCATAGTTTTTTCCATGTCAGATATTTTATTTTTTGGCAATTCAGAATTTCTCATTATTTTTGTATCTTTTCCTGTATATACTACAACTCCTAAAATATAGTCTGTATTTCTTAAAAAAGCTCCTCTTAATAATAATTGCTTTGTTGATGCTAATACTTTTATTGTTACTTATTATTTAAGTTGATTATTTCCCATATTTAATTTTAATACACTATTTGTTTGATTTGATAGTTATTAAGGAGGACTGTAATTAACATTATTACTGTTTTTTATTTTTTGTTATTAAATTATTTTATTTTCGTTATTTATATCAGTTTACTTTTTTTTTATTTATAAAAATATAATTTTTTTATATATATGTATGTATAAAAAATAATTATTAACTATAAATTTTATTTATTTTTTACAAATAACCCTTCATAATAACCTTCAAATTTATATAAATTTTAATTTGGAGGTTCTGCATTAATTTATATATTTTTAATCTAGTCCACTAAATCATTTTTAAATAATGCATAAGTCTCTCTTAATGCACTTTTCGGTTTCATGTTTTTTTCCCCATCTAGTGCCCCTGTCTCTACGTAACAAATTCCATTTTTATAACTTGTGTCTAATAATAATAAATCTGCTGGAAAACATTAATCGTTATAAATTTTTAAAATCTAACCTACTTAAACATTTGCCCATTTTATTTTTTATTCTACAAAAATATTTTCTTTTAAAAATAATTAATTTGTTTAATTTGAATTTATTTTTATATCGCTTTTATATCTGTAATAGTCTTCTGCACCTTCTCGCATCATTGAAAGTCCCAATACAAATACTAAAGGTGCTATAGCTGATATTGGGTTTAAAGGAGAAATACTTGGAATTGATTAAAATACTGCTACTATTAAAAAATATATATTTGCATATCTTTTAAATTAAAGAAAAAAAGATAAAGGTAAAAAATTAATTAAAGTATAATGAGATGATATTATAAAATTCGAAGGATATTTTAAATTCACTAAATCTATCTGATTTTCTTCTATTGTTAAAGAAAATTCACGAGTTTAATTATGAATTAAAGGTCTTCTTTTTTTACACATAAATTTTCTATTTTATTTTCTTTTATTTTTTAAATTGCTAATATTTGTAATTAAAAATAATTATATAAAATTTAAATTAAAATAAAATAATAATTATATTTTTTTTTATATATATTATCATATGCTTCAAAATATTTTTTTAGGTTATAAATTTAGGTTTTTATTTACATATTTATAATTTATATTTATTAAAAATAAATATTTTTTTTTTTTTAAATTTAAATATAGATTTTAAAATATTATGTTAAATTAAAAAATAAAATCTCTTAAAATTATAATTAGTTTTTATTAATTATATATTTATTTAAGATATAAAGAAAACAATTTTTATTAAAATATTTCGATATTTTATTATTTAAAATTAAATTTTATATAATAAGAATATTTATAAAAAAAATGATTCATTTATATATTTTTTTTATAAGTTAAACTTTATTTCTAAATTTATACTTAAGAATAAATAATTTTTTTATTTTTAAATTATTTATTATAATTTTTAAAATCAAAAATAAATTTCTTAGTAAAAAATATTTTAATTTAATGTTAATAAAACAAATTAAATATTTAAAATACCAATTAACTTCGGTACAAACAAACAAAAAATAAAAGATTATAAAAAATCCAAAAATATAAAAATATATTATTATAAAAAAATTTTCCGAAAAATTTTATAAATTAAAAAAAAAAAAAATATTCATATATTTATGTTTTTATAATATATATTTATATTTGATCTTTTTATTTAATTTATTATAATATTTTATTCGTATAAAAATTATTATTTATATTGAAATATAAATTATAAAAAGATATTTTTTGATTTAAATATAATTATATTAAATAATTAAAAAATATTATTTTTTTTCGTTGGAGTTATAATTTTATATTTATGTGATTTACATTAAACAAAAAATAAACATATTTAAAAAAAAAAACATATAAAAAAATGTAATTAGGACAATAATTTAAAGTAGAAACTATAACCCCTGGAGATGGAAAAACTTACCCCAAGCAAGGTTAAAAAGTAACTGTTCACTATGTTGGAACATTTCCTGATGGAAAAACATTCGACTCTTCAAGAGATAAAAAAAACCTTTCTAATTTGTTTTAGGTGCTGGCTAAGTTATAAAAGGATGGGATGAAGGAGTTGCATAGATTTCTTTAGGTGAAAGAGCTACTATTACATGCCCTTATTAATATGCTTATGGTGAATAAGGATATCCAGGAGTTATTCCACCAAAAGCTACATTAATCTTCGATGTTGAATTATTATAAATAAATTGAAATTAATCAAATTTCCTTATTTTCTTATATTTAACAAAATGAAACGAAAGAAAAAATAGCATTAAATATATATATAAAAATTAATATGAATTTTTATATGATCTTTATTATTTTTATTGATATAATATAAAATAAATTTTTATATATTTTTTAATTTTTTATTATTTTTCATTTATATTTTTTTTTCTTTTATAATAATTAGCCTAATTTTGTATATAAAAATTTATGAAGAAGTATTTAATTACTATAAGATTAAATATTATTAATAAACTATTTTTTTTTTTATTATTCATTAAATATTAAAAATAATAAAAATGTCATCTTTCTAAATTAATTAAATAATACAAGTAAAGTAATTTATATAAAAGCAATTAAAATTTATTTAAAAAAATACAAAAAATAAATTATAATAAAAAAGATTTTAAGTAAACCATAAAATTAAAGAAAATAAATAGAAATATAGTTTTTAGTTGAACAAACTAAAATTATTCCTTTATTTTAATAATATGGTAATAATGTATAATAACTTTGTTGTTCATGCATGCTTCTAAAATAATATAAAAAAAATTAATTTATATTTCATTAAGGTTATTAAAAAACTAAAAATTATTTTAGCTAATAAATGAAAAAAATAAATAAAAAAATATTCTATTTAAGGTGATATCGGTAATGAATTTTATATTATTTTAAATGGAATAGTGGGAATTACATAAGGAAATTAAGATAAAAGATTATCACTTATTAGTTGTTAAGAAATAAATAATAAACAATAGAAACTTTAAATTGTGAAATAATTAAAATAATTTGATAACTTTGGGGAACTATCTTTAATAAATAATAAACCAAGGACCGTATCTATTATTTGTTTAGAAGATTGTGATTTAGGAATTATTTCAAAAGAAAATTTTAATAATATTTTTGGTCGATAAAAATAAGAAGAAATATTAAATATTATAAATGAAATTCTTTAATTTTCAATTTTTTAATTTTGGAATTTGAATGAAGTTTATAATTTATATTCAAAGTCTTTAATTATTAGCTATTAAAAGGATGAATATGTATATAAGGAAAACTAATAAAATTTTTAATTTTATATTATCTTAAATGGCGATTTTATTGTATATTAGTTAATTTAACTTTTTATTTAATTTAAATATATTTTGTTGTATTTAGGTTGAAAAATAGATATTTTAATAACACAATGAATTGGAAGAAAACTAAATTTAATTATAACAAGTAGATTGTTTCTAATATAATATATTATCTTAAAAACGTTATTCAACATTAGGCAAAGTTTAAAAAAAAACAAAAATATTTTAAAATATATATGACTTTAAAAAATATAATATATAATTAACAAAAAAAGATGTTTATATTGACAAAAGGATTTTATTTTGGAGAAGAGGAGATTATATAAAAATAAAATAGAAAATTTAGTGTCAAATGTATTAGTGGTTAAGGAGGTTTAGTAATGATGTTGAACGAAAATCAATTTTAGGATAATTTCATGTACAAAGGAATAACACGCGATTTAATAATTCAAGGATTAAATACGAAAAAAAAAAATTAATAATAAAGATTATATTTAATTAATTTAAATATAAATAACAACAAAAGGATATATTTTACTAGGGATTAATAATTTAATAGACTGTAAATTAAATCTTAATATTAAGAAAAAAAGGTTAAATAAAAATTTGAAAATAAATTTTATACAAAATAATAAAAATAATAATATACATAACATAGCGAAACTAAATAAAAAAATTAAAATATAAATTATTAATCATAAAAAAAATAATAGAAATAAAATACTTTTTACAATGTATCTTAAATCTAAAATTAAAATCTTAATTAATATTAAAGTATATTTAAAAATTAAATAATTATAGATAATCAAATAAAAAGTGAAAAATTATAATTTAATGATTAAAAAAAGATAAAACATGAATAGTAAATAACAGAAAACGATAAAGAAAAAAATAATAACAATGATAAAATTAATAATAATAACAATGATATTATTAATAATAATAATAATAATAATAATAATAATAATAATAATAAATTTATTATATTTGATTACAAATAAAATAAAACTATTCTTTATAATACAAATAATTAAATTATATAAAATACAAATGAAGATAATATTTATCCAGCTTAATCTTTTTAAACGCCAATAAAAAATAATTTTATTTCTCTTTAAATAGAAAATTTAACTTAAGAAAAATAATTTGTTGTAAAAAGTAGTAATAAATTTGAACATGAAGAAAGAGTTAATCTTAAAAATAAATAATTAACTTCAATTTTAAAAAATAATAAATGCAAAAGTCATTCAACTAATGTTAAAATAAATGTAAAATCAGTACATAGTTAAACGGAATTCATGAATAGAAAAACATAAAAGTCTCCATATTAAAAAAAGAAGACCTTTTTACAAAATAATTTCATTAAAAATTAAAGCGTTAATTTTAAAGTAAGTTTAAAAATGGAGATATAGAACATCTTAAAGGTCATATTGATGTTGATGTTATTTAAAATATAAAAAAAGTTATTTAAACTTAACCCGTTTTAGGCTATTACTCTAATAAATTAAATTAGTCTAAATAAATTTAATAGTTTATGAAAAATAACTTTAATTCATAAAAAAATAACTTTTTAAAATATAATATATTCAAATAATATAATTTTATTAATTTTAATTAATTACTATAAAATAGTAAGTAATATTTTTAAAGGAATCAAAGTTTTTATACTAAATATAATATAAAATCTTATTTAACTCAAGAATAAAATATTACTTCGGATTTTTAATAAATATTGTTAAAAAATAATAATATTTAAAAAAACTATAAATATTATAAGTTGTAAATGCTTTTCAATGAAGAAAATCAGAAATTATATAATAATAAATAAAATAAAATATTTAATTAATTTATAAATAATATTTCCTGTAAAAATTATACTTAGGAAAACATTAATTTAAAAAAATGATTAGAAAATAGTTTTTATATTTTTATAGTTTTGTATTTTTATATTTTAAAAATTTTTATTATATATTGATGAAAAATTAAAAATAATATTAGATTAAATGTTGAACTAAAGATGTATATATATATATATATATATATATATATATATTAAAATAAAAAAAATACAGAAATAATTACAATTTATATAATTTTAATATTTTTATCGAATTTAATACTTTTTTTTTTTATTTATTTATATGTATTTATTTATTATCTTACTTTATTTTTTAAATTTGACAGAAACATAGGTGTTCTTAATTTCTTAAAAAAAAAAATTCTCTATTTTAATTTCATTAAAAAAAATTTAAAAAGCAGCAGACGCGATTCTACAGAGAGAGCCAATAATAATAGTCTATGGATCAAATACTTCCGAAATTCCTCCTCTAAAAAGATTGCGCGAGCATCAGAGGAAAAAGCATCCTCTTATTTAGATAGATAGATACAATGTTCAAAAAAGACTTCAATAGCATACTATGAGATGTAGGACTTCTATAATCAGCATACGTAAAAACTTAATCTATGCCTAATTAAAGGCAAAATACAATATTTATTCTTTGATAATAAGCTAATGCGCTATGATACGTCTGGTGTGGAATGTGTTTCAGAGGTCTAATGTTTAAATGAACAGCGTAAGCAATTTTTTCAAGATACTGCCTGGAATTAAGAGAACTTATTAGGAAGAAGCACATTATTTCAGGAATCAGTCCAAAAAGACTACTTTCCTTTGTGCATTTTTTTTAAAAAAATAAATAAATATAATATTTTAGATTAGTATTTTTTTTTAATTTTTTTTAATTTTTATTATATATATAAAATAAATAAAAAAATTAAAAAAAATGTTCGATAAAGTAAAAAAATATTTTGACACTGAAAACATATAAATAAACCTGCAAAATTAATATACAGTTCCTTTATTAAATGCAAATCATGTAATAATAGATTAAAAAGTGCATTATAAAGAATTACTATTGTGTTGTAATTAAGAAAACTAATATAATATATATGAAACAGACTCGAATTATTAGTTTTCTAAATTCCCTACTGCTCCAAAGCAATTAGGTTATTTCAAAGAACATTCGCATTTTTGTTTCCGATAATTAGCACGAAGTGGTCGAGAATTCAATGGAATACTAGTAACATCAAATAATTAAAAATTAGCCACAACATATTCCGAATATAAATGTCATTTTCCTTTATTTAATTGTATTACTTGTCCTTGTGACAGACCTAATATGATAATAGCGGACTCTTAGGGTAAATTATTAGGAAGAATACAAGTACCATGTTACGGTCCTATTTTTTGCCCTAAAAACAAAAATTACTGTCCACTAGTGGAATTAGAAATTGTAGATAAAGACGAAAATGTGAAGTTTAGAATTAGTAGTAAATATTTTCAAAATGGGATGTGTTTTCCTTTCTAAAAATTAGGATGCGAAAAAATTAATTATATTATTTAAGATGCTTAATATTTTAATACTGGAGGGTCTATAGATAATGTTTATACGAATTCCATTTAGGAAGTTTTTACGTCAGCTGATAGATTTGGCATCACTTTTCCAAATTAGTGTACCTATGATGATAAAATACTACTTATATAAACTGCTATTTTTTTGGATTATTTATAGTATAGGGCTTGAAATTATATTTTTTTGTTTTTGTAATTTTATTAATGTTTTTAGACATTAAAATATTTTAAATATAAAAAAATAATAAAAATTATAGCGATAATAATAAAAATTCTTAATTTTTTTTAAAAAAATAATTAATTTACTATACTTTTTATAAAACTAATATAATAAAAATTAAGACATGTTAAATATATGCTTTTAATAAAAAAAAACGTAAATAAAAAAATATACAAAATACAAAAAATGTTTAAGAAAAAGTTTCTTTTGACTTTATTTTTTATAATAAAAGTAATAAATTGCATGTAATATTAAACATAATAACCTATTCAAGAAGTAAATTTCGAAAAATATAATTCAAATGACAATTAAAATTAAAAATAATAGTTAATTTAAAAATTAATGGAATAAAACAAAATCATATTTTTAGTCTAAAAATAATATAATATAATGAAAACCATGTATTTCAATTATTATAATAGATTAACTATTCATATAAATAGCAAAAATGATATTTATATAATAAATTTTATAATCATAAGTTTAGTTGTATTTGTTACAATTTTAATTATTAAATATAAATAAGATAATTTTATAAAGAATTTTTATAAAAATATTTATAAAAAGAGTACTAAATAAAATGAAAATATGTAAAAAATAAACGAAGATATAGAATAATTAAACAGCAGGTTTATTTATTATATTATTTTATATAAAAAAATATAAAAGTAATAGTTAAAAACAATATTTTAACAGTGATGATGAATCTAATTTAAGCTAAAGTGATTTAAAGCTTAATAAAAACTAACATTAAAATAATATTTGTGTTGAATGGAAAGAAAGAATTTGAAAATATTATATATATATATATATATATATATATATATATATATATATATATTTATATTTATTTTTATTAAATATTTATAAATATAATATTTTTAAGAATATTTTGAAATATAATAAATACGCAATTATTTTAAATAATTATTTTATTTTAAAATTATTCATATTTATATATTATTATTTATCTAACTTTTTTATAAATAAAATTTAAATATATTCGCATTTTCAATTCATTATTTTTTATAAATTTTTAATTGATAATTAAAAATATATATTTATATATAACATATATATACAAATAAATTACTTAAATAAATATGGAAGGAAACATGAATAATTATAAAGGTGTAATGCTTTGTAGTCGTCCAAACGAATAATTAAAGGCTCCTACTGAAAAGTTAAAATATTTAAAAAAAATAAAATTTAAAAAAAATAAAAGACCATTTTGTTCAAGAGTCGAAGGAGCTTCTTGCTTAGGTTTTTGTCCTGTTAAAAAAGAGAATTTATTTATAAATAAAAAAAAAAAAAGTACAATTTAATATAATTATGGTTTATATAATATTTTAAATAAAAATAGAATTAAATCCTGCTTTATAAAGACATAAAGATTGGTTGAATATGTTTAAGTTAAAAATGATAATAAAAAAGGAAGATATAGAGGAAAATAAATAAAAATAAAATGAAAAATTTGAAAAAGTGAAAGAATTAGCATAAAAAGATAGAATAAGAACTAAAAAAATGAAAAGTGACTTCGATAAATTGAATTAAAATATAGATAATATATTAAGAAAAGATAACGACGAAGAAAAAAATGCTTAATAATAAAAAGAATAAAAACCTTTTAAATTAACAGAAGATAATATAAACGAATTTAAATAATAAAATATTGAAAATGATAAAAAAATAATAGAAAATGATAAATAATAAGTTAAAGAAGATAAATAATCATTAAAAAAACCCAAATGGGCTTTAACTTAAGAAGTTAAATAATAATAAAAAAAACAAAAAAACAAAAAATCAAAAAAAAATAGGAATAAGATAATAATTAAGATAAAGAATGTGATGAATTACTTGATTTTGTAAATGGTTTAGATTATGATTAATTTATTAATGATTTAGAAGTATAATCTATGATAAAAGCATTAAAAAGTCGCATATCGAAGTTATAAGAAAAGAAAAACTGGAAAGAAAATGCAATTGAAAATTATAAAAATAAAAATATATTATAAAATAAAGTAAATAATTAATAAGAAGATTTAAAATCTAACTTTTCTTAAAATTCTGAATGTCATTCTATTTAATCTGAAAAAACATAATAGGCAATAAATACATTAAAATAATAATTAATTTAAGAAAAAAAAGATTGGGATAAATCTGTTTAAATTTTTTAATTTTCTTATTTATTTATTATTTATAAAAAATAAAATAAAAGGTTAGTGGAGATAAAAGTATAGTTAGTACTATGGAAGAAAAAATAGCTAAACATGTAGCTGATGAAGTTTTAAGAAATTATAAAGTATTATTTTTTTTTTTATTAATTATTTTATTTTTTTAAATAAAAGCATTTAGGTAATGTACATTCTAATTAATCAATTAGAAAGCTATTGGAAAGAGAAGCATCAAACTATATTAATAAAGGATTTATTAGTCCTCCTTTAATTACAATTAATAAAGAAACTACTTTAAGAAAAAATGAAATCGATCCTAATAATTTACCTTATTTACATAGAAATCCTGCTGTTTGATTTTTATTTTTTTTATAAAATTCTAAATATTATATCTTAAATATTAAATTATTTTTTTTGTTTTATTTTATTTTTATTTTATTTTATAATTTTTTTATATTTTCTTAAATAAAACAAAAATTATATTAAAAGAAAAAAAAATTATTACAAAAAGATATATTTATTATTAATAAAAAAATTCATTACTATTATTATTAATTTTTAGCCGAACTTCCTTAATCGAGTTCATTTTAACTAACCAAACTATTTTATTTATTAATTTTTTATTATTTAATATTGTTATAAATATCCTAAACATCCGCCACACTCTACCCAATATAAATTTTATCTGTCTAAAATCCTTTGTAATGTGGTAATTCCTTAATCAATTAATTTTTAAATGACGAATATTTTTTCGTATATAAATAAAAGCATTTCTTCATCGTCTAAAATTCCGCTTCTTTAATTTTTGTAATATCCTCCTCTATATAAAGAAATGGATTAGCAATGTATTTTTCGCCCCAGACTCTTGTGCTTAAAATAACATCCATAATAGCCTATTTTCAATCAAAACTTCATCGGTTTCTCCCCTTATCCTTTCTGGAATTCTTGTAGCTTCGCTAAAATTAATTCCCGAGGGAGCCCCTTCCCAATACTATATCATAGGATTCATATGATGTATCCCTACAACAGCTACAATCTACTAACAAGCTTAAAAAGCTTCTTTTAAAATCGCGGTCATATATAAGTCTCTTGGTAAATTAAATACATGAGGTAAAAAATTATAAGCTGCATCTCTCATAGAAATTGGCTATTTAAGTTCCTTCATTTTTAAAAGCAAAAACTTAAATAAATCTCTCATTTCTTAAATATCCACTGTGTTTCCTAGAATCAATCTCAATAACTATTCTGGCATATCACCTAGAAGCACTTTTTATTTTCCCATTAATCCAGTAAATAAAGTCTTATTAATATCAGGGTATTGGGAGTAATTTTTATATATAATATGCTCGTTTATTGCATTTATAAAAGGTTTGGATAATTTTTTATGGCTTTTTTAGGCGTCTTCTTATAAATAAGGATATGAAAAAGTATTAAATGTATCTATATATTTAAACTCTGTATGTGCTTAATTCCTTTATAACATATCTAAAATAGTCAAATTAATCACGCATTCTTCCCAATCTAATGGCTTAGTAGGATCTATTATATGCACAGCGTTTTACTCATAATCTTCAACTTCTTTCAAGGCACATTTATGGGCTAGAAAACGCTAACGGGCTACATAGGGGGCTGGGTCCATTTATACAAAAATCAAATCTGGCTGGTTTATTTCTAATAAAGGAGATATCGAATCATATTATGTCGGATTGGTTTGATGTTTTGTTAATGGAACGCCTAATAAATGAACTTCGTCGGATGAACCTTCGGTGTGGTTGCAACCGTGAAGGGGTTTTAGAACGGCTGTTCGCGATTTTTTTTATAAATTGGAATCTCTTTGGTTGAATAAATAACTTTCTGCAGATAAAGTTTTGTAAGTATATTTAGGGATTAAATTTCTAAAAAACATATTTTTTGTTGGAAATTATAAAGAGTATTCTTTTTTTATAATATTAAAATTATTTATTTATATATACTTTTAATAAAAAAATTAAAAATATATGTTTAAATTTATTTAATATTTTCTTTAAATATTTATTTATCTTAATAAAAATATATTATTTTATTTCATTCACTATAAATATCTGTCATATCAATTTTTCTATTTGCTACATTTCTAACATCTTCCATTTCAAAATGTAATTAATTCTTAACTTTTTTATATTTAAAAATAAGCAAGAAAACTATGCCAATTAAAAAGCAGCTAGTAAATATAAGCAATATAGTATAAAAATTACTTTTTTAAGAAGAGTTTTCTTCATTTAACTTTACCTTTTCAAATGTCTATTCATATACAAAAGGGATAGTATTTTATTTATAAATAAACTAAAAGGTTTAATTTTCTCCATTTTTTTATAAGATTTCTATATTTGCGACTATATTAATATTTATTGAATCTATTTTTTTAGGGATTAGGATTGTTTAAAAAGCTATTTCTAAAATTTCTCCTTATGTATTAATTTTAAAGTCTTTTAAAATAGATTTATCTTATTCCATAAAAAAGGCATCATCAATTTCTTTAATTCCACAAAATGCTATTTTTTAAATATTTTATGTATTTTGGGCCATTAAAGCTTAATATTAAATATTTTTAATTGTGAAAAATTCTTAAAAGGAAGAATTTTGTTAAAGCATACAATTATCGAAAATGCATTCCAGAGAAGAAAACTAAACAATTACAAATTAATAATTTTCTGAAAAAAAGATATTTAAGTTTCCCTAATTTCCCACTTTTATATAATTGTAAATAATTTCTTCATATTTTTAATATAAATTAGCTATTAATAAAGACTTTGAAATCTAACTTTTGTTTTCATTAGTTTTTAATAAATAAACTTTTTCTTCTTCATTAAATTAAATTATATTAATATTATGATAAGACAACTTATATTTTTTTCTAAAAATATTTTTATTTTATTTTCTTCGTTATAAAAAACTTCTAAACTTTATTAATTAATACAATTGAAATTCTAAATTAGCAAATAAAATCCCTATTTTCCATACATACTATATTTTTTTTAAGACTCACCTTATAATTCTACAAAAATTTAATCTTTTTAAACTATTATTTATTCCGAAAAACTAGATTAATCATCATTTAAATTAATAATATAAGAAACACTTTCATTTCCAGTATATTTCAAGACTATAGAATAATTTGATTTTTTTTAAATATTAAACTTTTTCTAAACTACTCCTTTTCCCATATTTTAAGTTTAGATACAAGGCACTAAAATTTATTATTATTATTCTCTATTTTGGTAAAAAAGGATATTTATTTCTTCAATTTTTAACATATCAGATAACTATTATTAAGGACTTAAATATATATATAGATAAGAGGAAGTATTTTTTTAATATTTATAAATATAAGTCTTTGTATTTTCTACTTAATTAAGAGAATCTTGTAAAGGAAAAGAAATTTAAATTGGCCTTCCGTTTTCTAAACTGGAACTTTTTAAATAAATTTTTATTTTCTCATTTTTATTATTTAAAGTATTTATGTTTAACAAAAAAGTAGGATAAAAATAACCTTTATTATCATCATTTTATATATAAATCTATAATTCATATTATCCAACTTTTTCTTAGCAGTTTTTCATATTATTCTTATATACTGTTTATAATTCTCTTGAAGGAAATTCTAATTTTTTTGCCATATTAAGCTCAATATTAACACATGATCCTTTTAAAATAATTAAATTAATTGTAAAGTCTTCCTTCATCCAAAAAATGAAAGTCTAAGTTACATTTTATTATAAATAGGCGTGCTTCCATTTATTTTCTTCAATTTTAATTACTTATCCTTCTGTGTTTAAACTCAAAGAACCTGAAAAAGGTACTTTATTTACATAAACACCTATTATGTATTATTAAAATTACAATTAACTATTATTATTTTCTGATTTATAGATTAGAACATCCTTTTCGGTTTAATATTTAGAGGATGCTTCTGAATTATTTACATCAAGCATTTATTCTAATATAGTTTCCAAAGAATCCTTTAAATCATGTTTTTTAATAAAAATGTACATTAAATTATTATCTGTTTCCTTTTCTATATCCATAAGAATTTAAAAAGTGGTAGATTTATTATTAGTAAGTATTTCACTAAAAAAATAATGCTTGTAGAGGAAAAAACAAATATTTTCATCTTAATTAATAATATTAATTTAATAATTTTCTTAAGAATTGATTTATTTTATATAGTATGAAGTAGTCATATATTAAAAAATAAACTAGCAATTTGTTTTTCCATAAACTCCGACAATGAAGTAACCCTAAAGGTCATTTTTTTCAGAAAAAATTTACACAAAATCGTCTTTTTCATCATCCGATTTATAATCAAACTCTTTTTTTGTAGGTAGTATATGATCATTTTTATTTACGAAAATATCAGGATCTCCATCATCTGTAGGATTTACAGTAATAATTATTTTTTTTTAATTATTTGAATTAATAAAAAATCTAAAATAAATATATTAATCTTTTAAAACTGAGAAATTTAATTATTCACCTTCTTTCGCTTCTATTAAATATTAAGGAGAAATAGAAACTTTAAACATATTATTTTATTAATAATCATTTTAATATTATTATATATTTCCATTATAAAAAGATAATAAAATCACACAACCTTTTTATTAACAATTTTGCATAGTTTCTTCTTTTATTCGAATAAAATGTACTTTTTTAGATTCACTTTCGAAATAAAAAATATGTTCATCTTTTTTTTACTCTTCAAAAGTGGGAAATTGATTTTTGAAAAAATCATAATTTTATGCACTATAATCATAATTAATAATTTTCACAAGTACTTTTATATCGTGTAAATAGGAATTTATATATATCAAACTTTCCATTTTTAGATACTAAAAATAATACATCTTAGTCGGAGTTTAATTATTATTATTTTATGGTAAATAACCTATATTTGTTTCTTATAGCGATATATATTAAATATCTTAAGGAGATGATGTTAATATTTATATTTTTAAAAATTCATCTTCATCTTCTTCTCCTTCTTTTTTTGTATTATTATTTGTTATTTCTAGAAAAATATCACATTTTTCAAATTCAAATATACAACTCTATTTTATTTATTCAGAATTTACTTCGATAAAATTTTAATTTGCATTTTTTTAGGTTATTTCATTTTTGTTTATTTTTAATTTAGTTGTTATATTTAAGGTTTCAATTACATTTCCGCTACTTGAAATTATTGAAAAGTAAACGTTTTCGTATTTTAAAATATCCTCTAATAAAATATTTTAGTTTCGTTTGGATAAAATGTTTCTTCTAATAAACTATTTAAAACTAAACTAATATAATCAAAATTACATTATATATTTATTGATTATATACTATTTGATAACTTTAATATTTTTAAATAATAAAATTAATATATATATATATTTTATTATTAATTTTTACATTTTAAACTAATAAATAAAACCATTCTTAAAATAAATATATAGTTTCATTTTGAATAACTATTTTTTTATAATTATTTGTAGAAGTATTATCAGGTAAAAATTCTTTTTATTTAGAATCAAATTAAAATATTTTTCTGTTTGAAACTTAAGCTTATATATCACCTATGCTTTATATTTTAACCTAAAATAACTTATGCTTATATTACATTCTTATTTTTGCATAAAAAAAACTGTCTTAATCTAAAACAGCTTAAAATGCTTGACTATTAGGTATTATTTCTTAAAATTTTATATCATTATTCCCTTATATATATATATATATATATATATATATATAATATATATATATATAAATATATATTAAATTATATAAAAACCTAAAGTTTATTATTTTCTTTCAATCTCGACTTTAATTTAAGCCATTTAAGAAGTTTATAAAGGTGATAATTTTAAATAATAAGTATGCTTTTACAAATCTGCAAAATCATTTAAAGTATATTCTACATAATTAATTGCAGAAGATGAGTTTTTTGATTAAGTATTAAATTTTTCACCATTTTATTCCTAACTTTTTATTTTTTCAAAATCTCTATCAACATTCATTTATACAAACCCAGAATTAAAAAACACTAAAAATCTAATTTTTTTAATTTTACTATCGATTTCTAATGGCTTGTAAACAAAAAATTACTACTAGCCCTAATCTAAAAAAACATATTTAATAATATTTTCATTTAATTCCGAAATTTCGCCATTATTATCTTAGTGGGCAATTATTTGATATATATTTTCGTCTTCAGTTCCAAAAACACCGATTGTAAAATTACATACGATTAAAATATTAATCAACAAAACATTCTTTAGGGTCATAAATAAAACTAATTTAATCTACTCCTCTAAAATTCTTACTATATTTGTAAAAATCAAAACTTTAGTTAATTATTTCTTATGAACTAATTAATAATTAATCATATGTATTTTTCCATTTTTTTACATATAAGTCTGGGTTTCCTTTCGATACAGACAATGATATTTATATTTCACGTTTTACTGAGCCAGATACAAATAAAAAATAGTTTTAAATTTGATTTTTAGCTAGCTTTCCTGAAATCGGAATTTCAAATTATAATTATTAAGATATATTTTTACTTATAATATTTCTATTAAAAAAATAATTAAATATTAATAAAAAAAATTTATATGCATAAATTAAAAATAAGTTATATATATATTTATATATATTTACATATATATATATATATATATATATATATATATATATATATTTATATATATTCAAAAATTTAATTTATATATTAATTTTACACTTAAAAAGTATAAGATGATGCAGTTACTCCTTTAATTGCAATATAAAATAATTTTTTTTTATTATTTTTATTTAATTCTTAAGGTGTAATAACTATATTTTCTTAAGTATAAGCAAAATTAGAGCTCCATTCAAATTTAGAAATATCTTAATCTTATTTTCCATAATTAATATAAATATCTGGATTACCATGATATGGAATTAGATCAAATTAAAAAGAACAAATTATTTCATTATTATTATTAAAAACATTTTTTTTATCATATTCATTTAATTTTTCTAAATTAAAAATAAAATAATGTATTTCGTTTTCTTCTACTACATCATAATTTATTTAATTTTCATAATCTATTTCCCTTTCATTATCATAAGTTTATATTTAAAAGAAAATATTTGCTTTTTAAGGAACTTCAATTATACAATATATAGTACATTAAGAACATTATTAAGATTAAGGAATATGAATTATTAAATTATTTTGACGAATTGGCTAATTTTGGAAATCTGCTTAATCTTTAGTGGCTGGAATTTTTGATTTTTTTGCAAAAAAATCATATTTTCCTAACAATAATTCCTCGTCTTCATACTATTGGAAATTCAAATTCTCATAATATACTGATAATATTAAATTTTGGTATGTTTTTTCCTAATAGATTTCGATTATTCTACTGGCTTAATAGTCAAAGAATATTTTAAATTAGTTTTCTTAATTTTTTATTTCTATATTTAAATAATATTTGTAATTTTTTTTTTATATATATTAATACCTTCTATTTTATATTTTAAACTTTATAAATAAATAAGTACTACTTAATACTAACATGCTTATTTGCATGAAACTTCTATTATTATATTATCATCTTCTTTAAATTAATTATCATCTAAAATACACATATAATCTCCTATATCTTCAGATTTACATATTGGTTCTTATTTTTATAATGTACTTTATGTACTTTAACCTAAATATACTTTCATATTAGGTTAACTTTGTATATTTAAGGCATCTATTTGAACTATTAAACTTTCTTTTGGTATCTTTTAAAGTATTGTAGTCATATATAAATGCTTTGTTTCTGGTTTTAATATTTCGTTTTTTTATTACTTGTTCAGTTGTATGGAAAACATTTCTTGATTAGTATGTATTTTTATTATAAATATTATAAATATGATTATTGTTTTTAAAGGAATATTGTGCTTTTAAGTTATCATTTTTTTTTTATATATATGTTTTTTATAATTAATAATTTATTATATTTGATTTTTTCACTTTTTTTGAGATTAAATATTATATTTTAAATAATGAAAATTAAATTTATATTGTATATTTTTGATCTTATTGCAAATAAATTTTTTATTTTTTTTATAATATGTAAATGCAAATAAAATTAATAATTAAATTTTATTATATTTAAAAAAATAAATTAAATAATATATAAAATAATTTAAAATCATTATAAATAATTTATATATATATATTAAATATTTATATATATATTTTAATAAATAAATATAATTATTTGCCTTTATTTTCTTTAATATTAATTATAAATAATATTATTTTATATTTAAAAAAAAAAATTAATTAATTTTTTACATAATCATAAACAAGTAAATAAATATATACATAATTATTATTTTTTATATATATATTTTTTATAAAATCAAAAGATAATTTTATAATTAAAAAATATAATTTAAAATAAATTTAAACTAAAATTAAAAAATTTATAAATAATTATTTTATATATATATTTTTTTTATTTTAAATATAATTGTTTTATAATAGTTTTAGTATTGGCACTAATTTTAAAAATTCATAAATTTTTAAAAGAACAAAAATCGATTCTAAAAAAAAAATCTTCTTTAATTTAAATTTTAAATATCTATTAAGAATATTTTTATTTTTTTGAATATATTAAATATTTCTTTAGTTTTTTTTTTTTTAATAAGAATAGAAAATAATAATGGATTTTAAAAATATTTAAAAATAAAAATAATAGAAATGAAAGATAATATTATTTTTAGAATTATTTAATAAATTTTATATAAATTAAAATGCATTTTAAATTTACATAATATTATTTCAATTTATGTTACATTTCTATATGCATTATATTTTTTATTTTAAAATTCATATAAATATATATATTTGTTAATATATATTTTTTTTAGATTTATAATATAATCATAAAAAATAAAAAGATGAAACAAATACATTAAATAATTCATATAAAAACTGAAAAAAAATAGTTTTTTTAAAAAAAATAAAAAAAGCAAAAATCAATGCCAGAAATAACTGCAAAATTAACATTTAATAACAAAATGAAAAAAAATATATAATTTATTAATTAAAAATTATTATTTTAATATAGATATGTTTTATATTTATATTGAAAAAGTATTTAAAATAACTTAAAATACTCTATAAAATTTCTTACTTTTTTTCAACAACTAAGAAAAATATTATATAATAATTAATTTATTTTATTATAATAGAAATGATAAAAAAAAAAATATTCATTCTAATATTAATCTTAAACATTACTTATTAATACTCCTCAATATAATTATAAATACCATAATTATTTTTATACAAATAAAAAGATGAAATAATCACTAAACACTATCCAAACCATCTCCAAGAATTCTAAATTCCGTCTTAAAAAATAAACTCAATATAAATTAAAAGCGGAAAAGGTACTATAGAATTTAATAAAGAAAGCATATAATTAAATTTCTATAAAGAAAACAAATTATTAATAACATATACAGATCTTAATTTATAAATTGAAGCTTAAACATAATTACTATTTATAAATACCTAAATGAAAATAACCTCTAAAGTAAATTGTTAGATGGTAATTTAATACTGTATTGATGAGAAAGGGAGATTAAAAATTTGTTAAATGGAAATAATTTAATTAGATTTAAAGGAGCTTTAATCAAATAAAGATAATGATATTTTAAAAATAGTTAAAAATACTTATTAGATATAAATAACATAATAATTAACTAATATTATTAATTTAGAAATTAGAAATTTTTTACAAAATTTTAGTTAAGTTTTAGATTAAAAATAAAATATTTTATTTTAACTCCCCTTTAGGCTTTTTGCTTATTATAAATTTGATAATATTTTTTTTAAAGAACTTGAATATGGGAAATTAGACATAAATTTACTATTTTGTATTTCTGAATAATGTAATAATTAAAAGTTGGTCGAAGATTAAAATAATAAATTTTAGTAAATTGCTTTTCCGGAATTTAATAATTAAATTGAAGGAAATTTTGTAATTGTTTTAAATCAAAATTTATTCAATTATGCTTCATTAGTCCTTTATGAAGAAAATATTATAAAAAATATATAATTTAATGAAAATCATATTTAATAAGTATTAAATAAATTATTTATAGAAGATTAAAATAATGTTTTAATGGAATTTTAATTTGAAAAATAACCTTATTTTGAATTAATTGAAGGTTAATTTACTTCCTTTCTTTAAATTAGAATGAATATTTTTGGAAAAGACTAAGAAAGAAATAAAATTATCTGTAGTTTATCAATTTTTGCTTAAATTTTTTTAAAACTAGAAATTAATTTTGAAAAAAACTTTGCTTTTTTTTAAATTGAAAAAATAAAAATTTAGGATTTTAATTCAAGTTTTTTAATTTTAAAATTTCTTAAAAAAGAAGATTTTATTGATATGCTTTAATTATAATCAACATAAATTATTCAAGATGTTAATTTTTAGTTAAAAGATTAAAAATATGCTATTAGAATTCAAAATGATGATTTCTTATTTATATTTAAAAAAATCTCAGTTTTAAATTATAATATCAAAATTGAAGGAGAATTATAATAGTAATGATATACATTTTTAATATAAACTGAAATTTAATTTTTTTATTTTCATTTAAATTTTGTTAAACATAAAAAAGCTCAAAATATAAATAAATAATATGAATATATATATATATATATAGAAATAATAATAAGAATTTTTTCTTAAGATCTCTATAATAAAAATATATGTAATAAATAAATATTATTGTTAAAAAATAAATTTACATAGATATTTATAAATTAAAAAAAAAAAAAAATTGTAATGTTACAAAACCAAAAGCAATGTTAATTTAAATTAAGTAATAACCAATTTCTTTAAGAATTAGTTGACATATAATTTAAAATTGAAAAAAATTTAATATGCGTAGATCCTGACAGTCATTAAATATACAGTTTAAACTAAGAAACAAATGAATTTTATATACAATTAAATGTCGATAATGACTACAGATAAAGAGCCGAAACAGCCATAAGTGAAATCGAGCAAATAACAAATTTAAACAAAGGCAATTGGATTATTGATCATGAAAAAGCGGAACAATATAGAAGAAGAAAAATACCAAATTATTTATTATAAAGAACTGATTGGAATCATCCTACATACATATGCCAAAGTCCTCTAAGTTAAGCTTTTGTATAAAAAAAATAAATTACCCTTTTAGTTAATTTGAGTGAATTTATAGATAAATTAAAGAAATCAAATAAATACTAAGAAAAAATACAAGTAGGAAATCAAGGACAACAATAACCAAAAAAATAAAAATAAGAAGGAAAAATTTAATATTTAAAAATCGATGTAGGATTAGTAACAGCGTAAAAAAATAAATAAAAAAAAATATTAAAATAAAAAAAATAATAGAGCAGATGAAGTAATGAAAATCATAATAAGATAAATTTATTAAGAATATGATATTAAATTAACTCCTTCACCAAACCATACTTTTATATTGAAAATTTCGGGATATAGGGAGTTTTTAAATGGACATTATCCAATGTTAAGTTATGATAGGGTAAGAACTCATTTAAGAGCAGATACTCCTATGAAAGTTTTATTATTAGAAAAACCTAATGGAGATTAAAAGTAGAAACTTTTTCCTCCTTAAATTGAAAAGATATTAATATCTATTGTTTAGAAATTTAAAGATAAGAAGATTTCTCATGATTATAGTATTGAGGATATATTGGAGTTTGTTCAGAAAAAAAGCTAGGACGTTAAATAAATTTTCAAAGACGGATTTAATTTTAAAATTATTGATAATGCTACGAAAAAAACATATGAAGAATATAATGTTAATTGGGAAAAATTAAGAAATATTCCTTTACTTTTATGGTTTAAATAATATATATATTATATAAATGATTTTTATATATAAAAGGTATGCTCCAATAAGATTACCTAAATATGTAAAAAAGAAAGAAAATAACTAATAAGAAATAGAACTTAGAAAATGGAAATAAGAATTAATTCAATAATAATATGAAATAGACTTATAAATTATATAATAAGTTTCAATAAAAAATGAAAATAATTAATTAGTGATGCGATAATAAAGTTATATTTCGAATAATTAAGAAAACAATACATCTTAATTCATACCTAATAGTGAATTTGAGTAAAATAGATATTAATTTGATGTAAAAAGATATCTATATAAATAATTTTTAAACACAATATATATATATATTATATAAAATAAAAGAAAGAATTATTAAAATAATCATATTCAATATATATATAAATTAAAAATATAGATATTATACAAAATCCAAATGCATAAATAAAATGTTTTAAAAGTGGTATATACCATTTTATATGTATTTTATTTAATAATATAATTTTATATTTTTAAAAAAGGATAAAAAATGGCGAAATTATTTTTTGGAGAAGGACATCCAACTGAATTACGTTTAAGAGTAATTCATAAAGAAAGAATGAAGGAATTTGTAGAAAAACGTAGAAATTTATTTTATTAAGGAGTTTTTAGTGAAAAGCCTACTAATTTATACAGTGGAGAATGTGATTGTTAATTTAAGATAAAAATTAAAGGAATAGAAAACCTATATAGGTAAAAAATAAATTTATCGTTTATTTATTATATAACAAAAAATAGATTATTGTAATAAACAGATCATAATAGCAATTAAAGTGAAACAAGGGCTTCTTACAATGGGATTTTACCTCCTAATTATATTACTAAAAAGGGTGAATGGTAAATTGCTATTAATCATGGAGAAAAAATTAAATAACCTTTTAGAACAGATGGATCACCATGCTAATTTTTTAGAATTTCAAAAACAAACTATTAAATAACTTAAAAAGAAAATTAAGAAAAATTTTAATAATAATAAACATAAAATTTTAAATTTGAATATAATACAGTTAAAAATATATAATATATTTAAATTATATATAATTATATATATTTATATATTATATATAAATATATTTTTATATATTAAATTATTTACAAATTAATAAATAAATATAGGATCATGGTCATAAAAAGTCTTTATATTTTAAAAAATTAGCAGATTTGTTTGATTTAAATTTTCCCCCTTATTTAATATAAATTTAAGTAAAGATCATTTATGGAAATAGACAATTAGCAATTAAAAAAGAAACATTAAAAATACCTTTTTCTAATACTCCTAGATGGAATGAATGGATTAAATTTCGGTCTTTAAAAATAAGTTAACTTCCTTTAGAAGCTCGATTATGTTTCGATATTATTATATATTCTTGTTCTGGATAAGAATCATAGGTATATATACACATATTATTTTTTATAAATAAAAATAAGATAATAGCTTCTACTACAATAAATATATTTGATTAACATTGTAAATTTATGTAAGGAATTAATTCTTTAAATTTATGGCCTTTTTATGCTAATGAAGATCGTTTAGCTTGCATGGGTTAATATTGGGGAATTATAGATCCTTCTTTAAAACCTGATCCTTCTGATTTCGACAAATGGTAATAATTTAAAGCTTATGAATTTTCTAGACTATTTGTCGAATTTGATACTTTTTCTAAACACATGTACTGGAGTTTAAGAGATGATAAATCTATGATTTAATTAGGTTAATTATAATATTTTATTAATTTTATTTTATTTGAAAAAAAAGGATTTTAACCTTCTAAAAATAGACTTGAAGATTTATGGTAATATACTCCATAAAATTAATATTTAGCTGATTTAAAAGATTTATTAAAAAGAGACCCTTTAGATCGATAGTTTGATATGCGTTAAAAGCTAATACTTTTAATTTGCAGAAATCATTTTAAATCAATACCAGATGCTTTAGATACATTTTTATGCGCAGTAGATTGGAGTAATCCAGAACATATAAGAGAGACTTATAATTTAATTAAATAATGGAAACCTCCACCTGCTGAAGAATGTATTACTTTTCTAGATGTACACCATGCCGATGAATTAATAAGGCTTTTTGGCGTTGAAAGATTATCCAAAATGGCTGATGACGAATTAAAATTATATATGGTAATATTTTTTTTTTAATTTGCCTCATTTAATAATTTATAAGATTGAACTTATATAAGGATTAATGTTCGAAACTTATCATTACTCACCTTTATAGGAATTACTATTGGAAAGATCTTTATTAAATCCTTTTGTTGTGGGCCATGAATTATTTTGGGGATTAAAATCTTAATTACATTTGAAACCTTCATTTGAAAGATTTGCTTTAGTTTTGGAATAATTACTTATGGTATGTGGAGAATATAGGAACGAGCTATTGAAGGAAGTTTAAGTTAATGATGAAGTAAAATAAGTAGCAAAGAAAATAAAAGCTAAAAAATGCTAAAATGCAAATGAGAGAATCGAAAATACACAATAATTGCTTTAAGAATTAAAATTTTTAAGAACAGAAGACCAAGGGATGTTTTCTTAAGATTTTTAATATAAATAAAAAAAAGTAGGTTTTACATTTGCTATAGACAATAGATTATAATTAAAAAATTTCGAACATAAAAAATGTAAAGTCATGAACTCGAAAAATTACCTTTATGGCTAGTAATGTAAAATATGGAATAAGGACAAGAAGAATTCATGATAATGTTTAAAGATGGTGATGATTTAAGATAAGATTTACTTACTTTATAATTAATTAGAATTATGGATAAAATATGGCTTGATGCTGGTTAAGATTTAAGGTATTCATCATATATATTTTATATATATTCTTTTTAAAAAAGAATGAAACCTTATAATGTAATATCTACTTAAGATTAAGTTGGAATGCTCGAAATAGTTTTAAAAAGTGAAACTACAGCTAAAATACATACAGAATTAGGATAATTTGGGGCTTTTAAAAAGGAAACTATCTTACTTTATTTAAGAAAAAATAGTGTAGATGAAAATTAAAAATTTGACTAGAAAAAATTCGAAACTAATCGTGAGAATTTCATTAATAGTTGTGCTGGTTATTGCGTAGCAACTTATGTTTTAGGTATAGGAGATAGACATTCTGATAATATAATGATTACTAAAGAAGGACATTTATTTCATATTGATTTTGGGCATTTTTTAGGAAACTTTAAAAAAAATTTTGGATTTAATAGAGAAAGATGTCCTTTTGTATTTACTCCCGATATGGAATATGTGCTTACTTATGATAAAAAAGACGGATAAAATTTCTATGAAAAATTCGAATAAAAATGTTGTGATGCATATAATCTTATTAGAAAACATGGGCATTTCCTTATTAATATTTTCAGAATGATGCTTTCTGCAGGAATGCCAGAATTATAAAAATAAAGCGATATTCAATATTTGGTTGATATGCTAAATCTTAACTTGAGTGAATAGGAAGCAAGCTAACATTTTAAAAATGAACTTATTAGAAGTAAAAATTCTTATTTTAGGTAAGTTGATAATTTTATTCATGAATATGTAAGGAAATGAGGATTATTTATTAATTAATTTCTTTTTTTATATATATATATACATATATATTTATAAAAGTTATCTAATTTTTATTTTTCTTATTTAATTTTATTTATTTTAGTATTCATATGTTTATTAATTTTTATTTTTTAATAAAATTTATTTTACATTAAAATAAAAAATCAGAACTTAAATAAATGATATTTATTAATTAAATTAAAGTAAATTAGAAAATAAATTTTATTAAAAAAATATAAGCAAAATGTTCTAAGGAATAAGTACAAATGAATAGAATCCGAGAGGAAAATTATCAACATTAGAGTCTTAATTAATGAAAAGCATAATTATAATATAGGTATAAAAGAATGGGAAAGGCCATTAGGTAGTGTATATAAGCATTAATTTACAAAATAAGTGCCAGTAAAAAATTAATTTGAACCTTTTAAAGGATCCAACGTAGTAATATCCCATTCTAACAATAATGAAAAGTATTATCTGAAAGTTAAGCATAATATATTTAATATTAAAATGCTGAAAAAAGGAAGCCTTTACTTTCAGTTAAAGATTTAACATAATCAAAATTTGTTGAATAAGTAATGAAATATGACCATTAATATAATAATATGCTTAAATCGAGTTAACACGAATATCATAATTATAAAAATTTAAATGATAAAAATGTTGTATAATTTAATAAATAAAAAGAAAGATATAACCTAATTACTAATTAAGCTTATGATTAATAGACAATTAATAAAGCACTAGCCTTTGATTTTTATAATAATAATAAAAAAAAATCTAGAGTTAGTAATGACAGATCTTATATTCCGTAAAATAAAGAAAGAATAAATACAATTACTGGAAGAATTATAAATTATTGAATTAATTATTTTTAAAAATAATTTTATATATATAATAAATTCATATTAATAATAAGCATAAATTAAAAAAAAAAATTAATATTTATATTAATAATTAAAATATAAATTAATATATATATATAAATTTATATATATATAAATTTATATTAATTATATTTAATATAATTTTACTAAAAAATAAAAAATCATTTTAAAATAATAATATAATAATAAAAGAATTTATTGCATTACTAAAAATAATATAAAAATATATTTTTTTATTTCAATATTTTTACCATTTTTAAATTGCCTTTTTTAGAGAAGTATCATCTTTTTTATCTATTTAAAAAATAAAAACAAAATATATAATAATAAAAATAAATGATATAAATTTATATATTTATTACAATCTTCAATTAATAGTTTTCTATTAAAAATTTTTTCTTCAATTTGCTATTTGAATTCTTAATTATTTTTTTTGAGTTATTTTTCTTAATTTTTTCTACTAATTTCAATTTCCTTTTATTTTTTCTCCCTTAATTCTTTATCGTCTTTCAAAACAGGAGATTTATAGAAAACTTTTGCTAATTTTTCTTTTCTTTATTATCTTTCTTAATTTTCTTTTTATTATTAATATTTTATATTTTCTTTATCTTATTCCTTTTTTTATCTATAAAGGATACCTTCAATCCACTTTTTAGTTGCTATAGGATATGTAAACTCCTAATTAAGTAATTTTAAAATTTTTTCATTTTTATTTTCCATAGCTTTTTCTCTCATCGTTTTACTATGAATATTTTAATCATCTAAATATTGTCTTTCTGTGGCTTTATGAGCTTCTTAAAATTTAAAAGGCTAATGAACAGTATTTTTAAATTAAGTTTTATAAAAATCAGCCTAATCAGCTAATTATTCATGTAGTCTTTTAAAATTAGGAATCTTATTTTATTTTTATTTTTTTAAAAAAAAATATTATAAAAATTTTACTATTTTTTTTTTACTTATTTAATTTATAATTTTATTGTTTATTATTTATTTTGATCTTCTTTTTAATCCTCCTTTAAAGATCTTAAAAGTTCATGCTTTTCCATTCTTGGAGGCATTTAAGACATACATTTTAATTCATTAGCTCTTGCAGTTATTCTTATTTTTCTTTTCTATTCTTCTTCCTCATTTAATTTTTCATATAGATTTTCTTTTACATACCAAGGCACTTCAGTTGCTTAAAAAACATATTTATCTTATTCTTCCCAATATCTTTTTTTATAAGGTTCTAACAAAAATATATATAATGTTTTGTTTATATTTTTATTTTTTTATTAATTAAAAAAAATACTTTAAGTTCTATTATAAAAACTAAAGGGTTTAGAATTCTAAATAGTTGCCTAAATGGATTTTTCTCTAATAGAATTTCTTCTTTATTCATCTTTATATTATAATTATTTATATAAATCCAAAGATACATGCTTTGGAATTTCTTTAGCTCTAAAAACATATTTTTTAAGTACATGGTAATTATCTATTTTTTCAGCTGAGTTTTTATGAATCTTTTATCTGTATTCTTCTTCATCTTCAAAAAGACCTTCAGGAACAGTTAATCTTTATTCTTTTTTTTTTTTTTTTTTTTTTTTTTTTGAGTTCATTTATTTTATTTTTTTAAAATTAAAAAATAAAAAGAAAATTTACCTTTATAAATATCATTCCATAATTATTATTATAAATAATAAATATCACATTTTAATTACTAAATAATATTTTAAAGATATTCAATATCTACTTAATTTTGGTAATTTGATTTACCATTTTCTTGCAATTTTAATTAAAGTTATTTTTAAAGATTTTACAACTACAATTATTTTTCATGTAATTAAATAGCCAACAGTTTTTTACTATTGAAATCATTTTCAATATTTGCAATAAGTATATTCCGTTAAATAATCTATTCATTACATAATCTAATAAATTTATTTTTCAAATCCACAAAATCAATTTCTTTATCTTCTTTGTCATTAAAAACATCATCTTTTATATCCATTAAAATACTCATATATTAATGTTCATTGAAAAAATTAATAACTTCATTCATATAAATATTCATTTCTTCTAAACTTTTATTCTTATTATTAGTTAATATATCATTTTTTATGTTATAAATAGTAGTAAACTCTTCAATTAATCTATCTATTAAAATCACATAAGCGTCCCTTGCAAATAATAAGTGATCGAATTTGTTTGTATATTTATTTAATTTTGCGGCTACTAGTTATTATTATCTTTAAGGATTAGGAGATAAAAATTAATATAAATCAAAATTTATTTTATCTAGTTTATGACATGCTTGACTTATTTCACCTATTTTTCTATTTTTTTAACAAAAATAGGAAATAATTTTTTGTTAAATATTACTTTCTTTCCATTTTATATATTTCGTATTTTTTTAATAACTCTAAATATTTTAATTCTTTTTTAATATCAATTACTTTGTCATAATAATTATTTTTTGTTTTTTTTCTTTCTTATTTTTTTTTAGCTTTGTCTAAATTCTATAAATATAAAAAAATCAAATATTATTTTTTATTTTTAAAAAATTAATATATATAATATAAAACATCTTATTATTCTTATTTTTGCATTTAAGTTATGTAGTCTTTAATAAGTTAAAACTTATCATTATCGATATTTAATAAAATTTCTTCTTTTCTACTATTTTTACTATCAATCAAAATCAATTTATTTTGTTTATTTTTATTTTGAATTTTATAATCTTATTTATTTTGTTTTTTTATAGTATTGTCTTATTATAAATTTATTTTCTTCTATCTTTAATTTTCATTAGGAATGTATTATAACCCTAATTTTTCATATATTTATTTTTTATTATAACAATCAATATATTATTTTTATTCTTCATTTATTATAATTTCTTTTTTTTCGGTTTTTATTAATCCACTTTATTCCCATTTTTTCTTTAACTCTTTATTCATATTTAGTAAAATATGAGGTTTATTATAATATTCTTAGGGTATCCTAAATCCACTTGCATGCTCATTTTTTTATAAAACCTTATATTAATTTTTATCAATATTATATTCTTCTGTATCTAAGGTTTTTATATTTTTTAAAAATCTTGGGTCACTTTCACGTATTTCTATAAATTAAACTCCTTCAATATTCTAAAAATTTTAAATATTTTATTTATTTTTTTGCTTTAATTCCAGTTAATTATGTGTTATTATTTTAGGGTTAGGAATCATGTTTTGCATTATTTTTTTGTTTTTATTTAGTATATAATTCTATTCAAAAAAAATAAAAAAACGATTTCTATTAATTTTTTTTTTTTTTTTTAAAAAAAATTATATATATAAAAATTAGAATTAAAAAATTGTTGGATAAAATAAAAATGTATTTTAATCAATTTAATTTTTTTATTTGATAAAAATAATAAAAAAATTATATACATTATTAATAATTTTCAAATTATTTATTATAAATACAATTCAAACAAAAATTTAGTATTCATAAAAAAATAATTATAAACAAAAAAATAAAATTATTTAGATTTGTTAAGTTTTCTCTAATAAATAATTATTATTTCATACATTTTCCAAATGATTTTATTAAATTTCATTATTGTTTACACTTTCTTACATTTAAATTTACTAATGATCAGACGATTGTAATTCATTATTTCTCTAATTTTACTATTTATTTCCTATAGTTAAATCATCATCCTAATCATCTAACTGAATTAATTTCGGATCATAATTTTTTTTGAAATTTCTATAAATATAATAAAAAGAGACAACAAGCGAAAAAACTCCTAATAAAACCATTAAAACCCAAACTAAAAATAAAAAATTATAAAAAATTAAAAATATTAAAAAATAAATGTAATAATAATAATAAAATACTTATTTTAACTAAATTATTTAAATTTTTGTTTTAATCTTTTGTGTTATCTTTATTATTACTATTATTTTTAAAATTATTATTATTATAATCGTTATTTTGATTGTTTTTTTAATAATCATTATTTATTTTGGTATATTTTTTTTACATAATGTAAATATTCTTCTTAAAATTTTAAACGTCCTTTACAAATGTTCCATCTTCTATACTTTTTTTTACCTTATTTGAATTATTATTCATATGCATACTTGTAATCCCTTCTATAGTGCACTTAGAAGCCGTAAAATGAATTTCTTAATTATCTCTATCAAATAAAATATCATAATTTTTCATAAAAGGTCCTCCTAAATATAATTTTCCACTCTCGTAAGCCTCAAACCCGAATTAATACAAATTCTTGTACCCATTTTTTCGGTCTATATATAAATAAGCACTTGGTTTCCATACAATAACTTACCCATTCTCAAATTTAAAGTCAATATTAGGGAAACTATCAAAAAAATTATTCACATTATTCTCATATTTAGATGGATTATACAAAAACTTACTCTATTATTTATCTCCATTTTTTTTAGAACCTCCGCAACTATACTATTCACTTTCACATAATTCATTAATTTTTTAAATGATTGGACTAGATTATATATAAAAAATAAAAAAATATCTAAAAATATTTAATTTATAAAAAAATACTTAATAATTCTTGAAGGACCTAAAACAATAGTAGTACCCGAATCAATAATAGTATAACCAATATTTGTAACAATAACATTATTTTAAATAAGAATTTGTTTAATGCTAACTGAATAGTAACCACTATCAGAATCAAATGGAATAATTTAAGTTCTCGCATTTTTTTCATGTAATTCATAATTATAACCTCCAACACTCATATAACCACCTTTTTCTGCATTTAAACATAAAGAAAAAACATGAGTTTCATTATTTTATTTGTGCTTTTTGAAAATCTCATCTACAATATTTCCTGTATTTGCTCTTCCGCTTTTATCCGAAGGAGCTAAACCAATAATTCCATCTGGCACTTAACTCAGGAATAAATTAGTTTCATTTGTTGTGCACCCGAAATTCAAAAAAACACTCTCGTGTTTAATATAAGTCAAATATTCTTATTCTTCCTTTTCCGAAATTTAGTTTTTGGTCAATTTTTCGATATAATCTTACATCTCATCCCCCAAAACAACATAATCTCCGGCCATATAACCACTTATTGAAGATCCTTCCGCATAACTTACACTCCAATTACATTCTTGGGAAAAATTATTACAATAACCTTAACATGATAATTTTGTTGATTTACATTTTTCCTTTTTTGCAGTTAACGATTTTTCTAAATCATATGGATAACTAATATGGTCACCACATGTTTTACATTCCTAGCAAGGAAATGCTAATAAATAACTTCCAGTGTCTATTATTGCGGTTTAGCGTTAGGGAGGGCTACCTATATATATATTTATCCAATATACGGTTTCATCAGTACTTCCTTCTAGTCTAACAGTGTGAATACGTTCGTAGAAATAATCCTCTTTTTGGGATTTTGATAAAGATATTAATAACATGTATAATATTAGAAAGGCTTTTACAAGTTTTTTTAACATTTTTTTTATTTTTTTCTTGTTATTATCTATTCTTTTTTTTATAAATGTATTATATATTTTAAATATTATTAAATATATTTTTAATATATTTTTATCAAATTTTATATTTTATTTTTGTATTTAAAATGTATTAATATAGAATAATGTATATATTTTTTTTTTCTTCATGATTCTTTATATATTATTAAACCAATTATTCATTAATAAATTTTAAGATAAAATATATTATATTTTTATTTATATTATTTAATTAGCATTTTTTATATTTATAATGATAATCATTTTTAATAAACTGAATGATAATATTTAGTCTAAATAAATATTTTTTTTTAAAAAAAAAACTAAAATATAAAAAATGGAAAATCAAGAATTTAAATGACAAAAATAATATTTAAAAAACAATTATTAAAACTTAGTCTTAATCAATTATTATTAAAATAATTTATATTTAAAGTAAAAATATAAATAAAAAAAAAAAATCATAAAAAAAAAATAAAAAAAAATCACACATAAAAATAACACAAAAGTAATTAAAAGAAAATAAATGTAATACTAAAATAAAAAATTTTCCATACCTCAAATTCTTCTGCACAAAATCGGCGAAAACACCCATATAAGTGACGAAGGCGCCTGTATAGAATTACAGTCAGCTCTAAGTTAATTCCAATATTTTAAAAAACAATCAAAATCTGAAGAAATAGAATTAATAAAAAAGGCATCATTAAAACTCAAATACCGTCAATGTGGAGTTGGAGAATACATAACAAACATAAATACCAATGATGTATATTTTATATTAAAAGGCGAAGTTTTAATTCTCTAATAACGTACCAAAAGAGAAATGAAATAAGAAAAATACTGGACGGAATAATTACTTTAAATAAAAAAAGGCGATAATAATTAATAAAAATAGGATTAAATTGAAGAAGAAATAAAAAAAATAAACAATGTCATTAATTTATATTCAGATTAATATATAATAAATTTACTCAGGAGAGATATAAAACGATATAATGATAATTTTAATTATGAAGGCTAGTGTCTTTATAAATAGGTTGGCATAGCAAAAAAAGGAGTTTCTTTTGGTTATAAAACTGGTATTTAAGAAGAATTGAAAAAAGAGAATATTATTTTTATTGCAGGAAAATAGTTACATTTAGTTTAATTATAACACTAAGACTATTTAGAATTATATCAAAGTGAATTAAATTAGATACATTTAATTAAATAAACTTTACAAAAATTATTAAAATCTTTAAAAACAAATGATAAAGAAGCACTCTAATTAGCTCAATTTGCACAAGAATAATTCGTTTGTAAAGATTAGGCTATTTATTTAGAAAACTTCCATAAACCTGATAAATTTTATATTTTAATGAAAGGAAATGTGGAAATATGTACTAATAAATTACGAAAAATTCCAAAATTAGTAAATTTGGAAAGATAGTGTATTTTTGGAATTGAATTTTTGGGAGAAAAAAATTAGTTTAGGCAGTTTAGTGCTCGAAATAGAGCAGAAAATACAACTTTATATTATATTCCTTATTAAGAAGTTTTAAATTTGGATAATTAGGAAATTCTTACTGAGTTTATAAGTTTGGGAAGTTATTAATTTAAAGAATATATGAATTTGTATAAATAATAATTAAATATAGATAGAATACATTAAAATATTAATTACTGGTCGCCATAAAGGCAATAGCCGATTAGCTTCAGTGATATTTCGAAATAAATTTAAAATAAAAAAGAGGGATATTTAATTGAGTAATTAAATAATAAAGATGATGATAATAATTATTAATCCAAATAAAAGAATAAAAGCATTATTGAAGTGATTGATGATTAAATTAAATAATATATTAAAGTAGTACCATTTCCTTATGAATATAATTAAAATTAAAAATATGTATATGAAAATACTTATCAAAAACATGGAAACAGTAAATCACCTAAATCAGTTTAGGGTAAAGAAAAATTCTATCAATGTATTTTTATTTTTAAGTATAATTTTTTTTAAAAAAAATATAATAATAAAGGTCTTTTGAAATAAAATAATGAAAGTAAATCTAATTTTTAAAAATATACAGAAAATATTTAAAGATTAAAAGCTTATTCAAGTAGTAAAGCTTAAACAGGAAATATTAGTTTGCCTCATATTAAATAGTTTATACCGGAATTATAATAAGTTTTTGTAGGAAATCAATGATTTTATATAATATTAATTTCTATTTTATAAATAAACGTATTAAATATAAACATATTTATAAAACATTTTAATTGAAAATAGTTTAAAATTATAAAAAAATTAATAATGTTTATACATATCAATTACAACCTTTTTATAAAGAAGTGTAAGATTTTTATTTAAATTATTAATTAAAATTCTATTCATATTCATCTTTTGCACCATTAAAAAAATAACCTACTGCACATCCAAAAGCAAGGCATAAACATACATATACATTCATAGTCATCATTAAAAACATTAAAATTAAACATGATACTTAATAAAAGAATTAATATACGGCTAAATAAATTTTATATTCAGTTTTAGGTTTGCTATATCTTATAATTGTTTTTTCAATTTGTGGCAAAAACATATGTAAAAAACAATACATAAAAGTCAATGAACAGCCAACTATAAATTCTTCTATGGTTTATGAATGCCATCTATTTTTTTTTAATTTTATTTTTTTAAAACTATTAATTTATAAATGTACTCTGGAAAAATAAACTAAGCGTCTATTATGAAATCAAAAGTCATATGCATCATTTCTTTTATATTTTTGTATTATTTTTATTACTTTCTTTTTTATTTAATTGTATTTTTTATATATAATTAAATAATATAATAGATTAAATAAATTAATTTCATATAATTCTAATTATTTTGAATACATACAATGATCAATAAAAATAACTTATATATATGAAATATATATAATTTTTTATTTATAATATATTATTATTTTGTTAAGAAAAGAAAAATCTAATTAAAAAACTTATTTGTTTTTTAATTTTTAATAAATTTTATATATAGATTAAAATAACATATAATAAAAATTAATATAAAATTGCAAAAAAATATGTGAATATATATAAAAAAAAAATTTTAAAAATTACAAAGAAAAAAAAAAAAATTCATAAAATTATAATATTTTTTTACATTAGTTTTCAAAAAAAAAAAAAAAAAAACATTTAAAAAAAGGAAAAAAAACAAATAAAAGAATGGGGAACTAAACCTGTTGCATACAATATTTCGACAAAAAAGACCGGAATAATTTTATTCAAAACTAATCATCTTTACTAAAACCCTTAACATATTCTAACACAAGCCAATAAAAATCATCTCTAATGGAAAAAAAGAACCAATCAAACGAATCTTAAATGGAAACTGCAATCCTCCAATCTCTAAAAAAAAACAATAATATTCAAGAAAAAGACTAATCTTCACATAATCAAAGTTCCAATAAAGATGAAAAAAGTAGCATGAAATAAACTAATAACTAAACAAAAAAAAACTCTATTACTAGTAATACATCTGGCATTACAAAAGAATTATTAATAACAATAAAAAAACCTTACGACGATTACTAGAAATTAGCAAATATAGGCTAAGGGGCATATGGCTAGGTCCTATTAGTTTAGAGGAAAAAAGACAAGAAATTATTTGCAATGAAAGTAGTGAAAAAAGAAAAAGTGTCAGTAAATAAAAAGATAATTGAAGCCACTTTATTAGAGAAAAAGATATTGATGAGGAGCAATAATCCTTTCATAGTAAAGATGTAGTAATCTTTTTAAACAGAAACTAAGCTATATATAATAATGGAATACATGTTAAATGGAGATTTATATTCCGTTTTATAAAAAGCTAAGAAATTCGATTAAAGCACTGCGACATTTATTTTTGCGGAAGTTAATTTTATACAAAAATGTATATAAATACTTAATTATTTTTTTTTTTAAAAAAAAAAATTAAAAATAAAATTAAAAATAAATAGGTAGTTTTAGGTGTTTAATATTTACATGAATAATAAAAATCTATGTATAGAGATTTGAAACCTGAAAATATTCTAATTGATGAAAGTGGACATATTAAATTATCAGATTTTGGAATGGCAAAAGAATTCGTAAATAATTATGATAAAGAAAACACTTTTTTAGGTACTCCTTAATATTTGGCTCCTGAAGTGGTTCTATAGTAGCCCTATGATAAAAATATTGATCTTTGGACTATGGGAATTTTACTTTTTGAGCTTTTAGCTGGTAAACCACCTTTTGGAAGTGGAGGGATGAAAACTTTGTATAGAGAAATTGCCTTAAATAAACCGAAATTTCCTGAGTTTTTTTCACTTGAAGCTATAGATATTATATAAAAATTACTTCAAAGTATTCCTCATAAAAGATTGGGATGTGAAGGGATTGATTAATTAAAATAACATAAATTCTTTGAAAATATTAATTGGGAAGTTATTTAATAAAAGAAATTAGAATCACCTATAAAATAGTATCTTAGTTATAAAAAGCCAGAGAAAATTTATAGAGAATAAACTATTATGGAAAGTGTGATTAATACAGATGGAAAAAATATTAATTGTAAAAAATATATGGGTTTATTTCCTGAATTTACTTATAATCCGGGGTCAATTACTATTTAAAATGAAACAAATAATAAATGAATCAATTTTTGTTTGAGAAAAAAAAAAAAAAAAAAAAAGAAAGAAAGAAAAATAATTACAAATTATTATTATTTTAAATAATTTTATTATGAAATATTCAAGAATATAGATATATAATCATTATTTAGTCTAAAAATGATATATATATATATATATATATATATATATATATATATATATATATATATATTTATTTTTTACATTATTATAATTTCTTTATTATATAGTTATAAATATTCTTTTTATTTTAATTTGGTTTTATTATATTTTTACTTTTTTTTTTCTTAATTAATTAAAAATTAATATTTTTTTTTTTTATTAAATTTAAAATATAATATTTTTTTTAACTGTAATTTCAATTTAATAAAATAAATACATAGAATACAATATTATAAAAAATGTTATATTCTAGTCGATTTATAGGCGTTTAACAAAACAGATTTATATGCGGAATATAATCATAAGTAAAACTAAACATATAAGAATGTATTGGAAGATTATTATATTTTCAAGAAAACGAAAAAAAGGAAGGTATAGCAGTTTTAGTATCAAACTAACATATAATTACTCCAATAATAAACATTTTATCATTAAAAACAAAACAATAAAGTTAGAAAGACTCATTTGTGTTTTAAACATCATATGGTTAATATATAGGAATAAAATAGATATTTATAGAAAATTACTTAATATTTGATGATTGGACTGAAGAATCTTTAATAGAGAATTAATATTGTACATATTCTATAATGTATTTAGAATAACCAATAACAAATATAAATCCATGTGGAATTATTCATATAAAAAATTTTGAGGAGTTTTTTGCAAATAATGTTGAAAAAAATATTTTAATTCCGACGGAAATAAAACAAAATAAAAGTATGGCAAAAATTAATTAATATGAAATTAATAAAAACTTTCTTTTTTTTGATAAAAATAATAATGATCAAATTAAAATTTTTAATTAAATTCCTTTATTTGTTTAAGAAGATTCTTTATTAGGTGGGATATGTATTATAGGGTTTGCTTACTAACAATAGAATAATCTAAATAAGTTCTCAGCTTTATTACTTAATATTGAACATATTTATAATATACATTCTTGGTTAAATGGAAATAATTAAAGTTTTACAGCCGAATATGGTATTATTATTATTTTTTTAAAAAAAATATATATTTCTTAAATTATTAAAATAAAATTACTTTTTTTTTTTTTAAAAAAATAAAACATTTTTTTTTAATTGAATTAATTAAAATTAGAAACTCCATTAGATATAAATAATAATTACTTAAAATCCAAAGAATTAAAAGATAATAAAATAAACTAAGCACATAGTGAAAAAGTAATTCAATTATTTTAGCTAGAAAATTATTATGTAGCAAGTTCTTCCGAAGATAAATAAATAAAAATATGGAATTGGAGGACAGGTAGGATAAAAAAATATTCAAAACAAATAACATTTGTAGAATATTATTTGGAATAGGTGAATTTTTAATAGGTGTAGAGGCTAACATAATGATAATAATAAATTGGAAAATAAAAAAAGTGGTAAATATATCAACGCATTAATCAAATATTTTATTTGTGAGTGTATTTAAATATGATAATTAAAAATTATTTTTAGTCGATGATAAAAATAAATGTTTTATTTATTAATTTTAATTTTAGGAAAAACAATTAAAATATTATAATAAGTAAATTCTATTATTTTAGATAATCTAAACGAAAAAATAATTAAATGCATTTAATAAATTAAAAATTAAAATTAATAAATAATATTTTGTACTTCTCTAGGAAAGATTTTATTTTTTAATATAAATACATTTACACTTGAAAAATAAATTCAAACAAATTTATAAATAAATACTGTTATTTTAAATCCGAAGGATAATAATTAATTAATTATAGGTTTAAACGAAGGAAATTTAATATTATATGATTATAAAAAAGAAATAATAATTAATTAAATCAAAGTTATGGATGAAAATATAAATAATATTGATAGTTTAAATTAAGAATTGGTTATTATAAATAATATAAAAGACTTCATTATTATTAATTTGACAAATTATCAATTTTAAGTTTATATAAGTAAACATTAATGTAGAATCAATCAAATTCTAAATTTATAAAATAGTTTTTTTTTAACAACTGATATATAAGGAAAAATAAGAATGTGGCAATTAGACAGTTAAAACATAAATGAAGATATCTAAAATTTTTAAAAAATACTCGAAAGTAATGAATTAAATAATAATAGAACTGAAAAAGAATAAACTGAAAATAAAAATAAAAACTAAAACATTAAATAAATATAAAAAGTAAATATTTAATAAAAAATTAATTTTTTATATAATATATAATTAATAGGAAAATTTAAATGAAGAAATAAGTTAAAATGAATAATTATCTATAAAATAAATTAAAGAAGATAAAATAAATTAAATATAATAGTAAAATTAATATATAAAATAATAATTTTATAATTAATAATAAATTGATTAAAATAAATAAAAATATTAAATCAATAATTAAAATATATAATATAGCTTTTAATAAAAAAAATATTAAACATTATCTGAATTATAAGAATCATTAGAATTTTATAAATAATAAATATAATAGTCTTTTTGTGAGGAATCATAATATAATAATAAATAAATTCAAATATATTAATAAGAAAATGAAAATGAAAATGAAAATGAAAATGAAAATGAAAATAGAAAAATAATAATAATAATAATAATAATAATAATAATAATAATAATAATAATTACAAAATTCATAATTTTTATAATAATCAGTAATAGAATAAAATTAAAATAATCAAAATATATAATTTGAGGATATTTCTTTTTTATAAGATAATATTTTATAAAATGTTTAACAAAACTATAATTCGCCATAATTTTATTCATTATTTTTTGAATTATAAAAATAAGAAAGTTAATTTTAATATTAAAAAATTAATTAAATAAGCAATAATATAAAAGATACTGATTAAAAAAATTATATATAATTATAAAGTAATCCTTAAATACTAAATTAATAAATATTAAAATAAAATCTAAATAAAAATTAAATTTCTAAACTAGAATTTTTAGAAAATAATTAAGATTAATAATTAAATTATGTGAAGAATTCATTTAATTTATAATAATAAAAATAATAAGATAATAAAACTATATTTTAATTAAATAATAATAATAATAAATTAATCGAAACGGAAATTGAATTAAATTAATAGTAATAATAAATTTAATTAAATAAAGATATAGATAAATTTAATTAAGATACACATACATCTAATTTAATAAATACTTAAAATTTAAGCTAAATCAATTTATTATTAATTAAATAAAATAACATAATAAGTAACGACAGTAATAATAACTAAACATCTTAATAAGAAAACTAATCATATGATGAAAATAATAATATTTCTCAATAATAAGAATCAAATCAAAACAATTCATGTTTAAAAACAGAATAAGATCAATAAACAATAAATACATTTTCAGATTATAATTCTTAATAAAATTGCATTAGAAATAGTAATACAATTCAAAATATTTTTAATTAAAGTAATAATAATGTAAGTAAAGCATCTGAATTATATTTAGATTAACTCAGGCTATAATTAGAAATGAATGTAATAATACCTAATAGTCAAGAGAGGAAAAATAATAAAAAAAAAATAAAAAAAAATAAAAAATGTTAATGTAAATAAGAAATATAGTAATATGATATTAAAATTGAAGAAATTACATAGAGAAATATATAATTAGAAAATAATTATATGTAAGTAAATTAATTATTAAAAAGCGAATAAGAAAATGGATTTTAAATGAAGAAATAAATATAATATTAAAACTAAAAAATAGATAAATTTGAAAATTTAATTGAAAATTTATAAAAGGAAAATTTAAATTTGCATTAGTTATTAAAAAATTAAAAAAGCTAATAAGAATTAGAAATAAAAAATTTAAAAGAAGAATTAGAAAAGAAATAATTATTAATAAATGAAAAAGAAAAAAATATTGTTTAATAAAATAAAATTATCTAAAATTATGAATAAATATAAAATTAATAATAAGTAAAAATATAAAAGATGGAAAAAGAATTAACAATTAAAAATATAGAAACAGAAAAAAATAAAAAAGAATTAAAATTAAAAAAAGAATCATAAGATATATGGATAAAATAATACTATATTTTATTAGAAAAAGAAAAAATAAATAAAAATAAATTAGAATTAAAATAACAAATAATATAAATGTTAAAAAATGTTATAAATTAAAATAAAAGAGCAAAAAATAAAGATAATAATAATACTAATATTAATAAAATAGAGATATATAAAAAAAATTAAAAAAATAATAATAATATAAATAAGGATAATATAAATAAAGATAATAATAATAATAATAATAATAATAATAATAATAATAATAATAATAATAATAATAATAAAAGTTGTAATAATCATATTATTAATAATAAATAAAATAATAAAAATATTAATTTCAATAATAATATTTTAGATTTTATAGATAATTAAGAAGTTGTTATAGAAAGCTGTAATGATTTAAATATAGACTCATTTGAATTTTTAAAAGAAAGTAAGTCAGAAAAATGCTTAAATTTTATATAAAAATGTTCTTTTTAAGAAAAAAAGAAGATTTAAAAAATCAAAAGCAAAAAGATAATTAATAATAAATTTAATAAAATATTAATTAATAAAATAATATTATTAAAGAAAAGATAATTTTAATTTCTTTCATGTATCTAATGTTTATAGCTTGAAAAAATAAATATAAGACATAAATCTTAATTAATTTTAGTTAAATAATAAAAGTACAGAAAATATTGCATATAAAAAAGATTAAAATAGGACAATATATATATGAAAACATAATAATAATAATAATAATAATAATAATAATAATAATAATAATAATAACAATAATAATAATAATAAAATTTAATAATAAGTTAATTCATCAGGATTATAGAACATTAAAAATATTAAAAACACTATACTATCGCTAAATTCAAATTCTAATCCAGTTTAAACAGTTTCTATTAATTATTGTAACAATAATTTAACTGAAGAAAATAATACTCATATATAAAAATACAAATCTGAAATCTAATAATTTGAAATTTCAGAATAAGAAATTTTTTAGCAAAATGATTTTAAAAACTTTAATAACACAAATAACTCAAATGCTTATTTATAAAATTAGAAATACATAAGTTTAAGCCCTTTAAGTAAATTAAATAAACTTTAATTAAAAACCTAAATAAAATGCGAAAATAATGAAAATAATAAAAAAATTCCTAATGCATTTGATAAAATCGAATAAAGAATTTATAATTTAAAGTCAAATACAAAAACAGACACAAACAATAAGTTTTATATATAAAATAATAAAAGTACTTAAATTATGAAAGATAATAATAATAGTAATTTTAGTAATTCTAATAATACTTTCGAGCCTTTTATTTGTAAAAGTAATTACACACCTAAATATTTTAAAAATTAAACATAAAGAATATAAACTTAAAATCTTGATTTTTTAAGAAAAAATTAAACTGAAATAAATAATTTATAAGAGTAATAATATATAAACTATTAATAAAAAATAAATTATAAAAATATTTTGAATTATTCTATTAATTAAAAATACAATTCACCCTTAAATATTCTTAAAAACAATTAAATGATATATCATAAACATAACTAATGTTCAGCTGTTTAGAAAAAAAATAGTAACTCTTCATCTAATATTAATGCTTATAATAACAATGAATTTGATTTATAATAAAATAAATTTGATACAATTAAAAATATTAAAAAACATTTTTTTAAAAGCATCTAAAATAAATTTAAAACTGAAGAAGAAAAAATAAATTGATTTATATTTTATTACATAACATTTAAATAAATAAATTTTATAAAATTTTATATATTTATTTATTTTAGCTTTAATAAAAAATATATATATATAATTATTATTATTGATTTATAAAATAATAAAATATGATGATATTAGATAAATTATAAATTTTTTAATATGTATTTTTATTTAATTTTAATTTAATATTTATAATTTTTTTAAGGAAAAAAATAATACATATATTAAAAATCTAATTATTATTTTTAAAATAAATATATATTTTTTTTTTATTAATTATAAATATCGTTTATTTATATATTTTTTAACTTCAATTTTTTAATTAAAATTCAAATATACTTATATAAAAATTATAGAAAAAAAAAAAATGGAAAATATAAATGTTTATATTAGAATCAGACCTATTAATAAGCAAGAAACAGACAAAAACGAAAAAATAATTTGGGAAAAGCAAAATGAAGATTCAGTATAACTAATATAATAATATTACGATTTAGCATGTGTAAAAAGAATGTCAATTTAATAAAAATCATAATTTATTTATAGTAAAAATAAATAAATATATATATTGTTTGTATTAACATAACTTTTTGTTTAATAAAGATAAATGCTTTGATTAAGATGATAGTAATCAATAAATTTATAATAAGGCGGTTAAGAATATTGTTTTATCAAGTTTATAAGGTATTAATGGCACTATATTTATGTACGGATAAACTGGAAGTGGAAAAACATTTACTATGATGGGATATGAGTTCGAATAACAATTTGAGAATTAAAATTAAATGTAAAAATACTGTAGAAATAATAGTTTTAATAATAAATGTTTTTATTAAAATATTTCAAAATAATAAGATGTATATTCACTTGAGTAAAGAAGTCTTATGAATAATTCATTGAATTAAAAAAGAAGTTAATCTTTTAATATAATGAATAAAAAACTATTTTAAAAATATTAAAATTAAGAATAAAATTAACAACTAGAAAAATAATTTAATTAAATATCTTATGTATAAAATAATTTGAATAATTTATCTCTTATAAGTAATAAATTCGGAATACTGAATTTGTCAATGTAAGATATCTTTAATTAAGTAGAAGAGGTTTTTTAAAAAAATAATATAAATTAAATATATTTATTTTTTTAATTATAAAAGTAAACTAATACTCATTTTATGTTAAAATGTTCATATATAGAAATTTATAATGACTAAATATATGATTTATTAACTATTTAATAACATTTTTAAGAATAATTATTTATAGGAGAAAGTTAAAATGTATATAATTAAAAAATATAAAATATTAAAAACCTAAAAAAACAAAATAAAAGAAAGAATTTTTTGTAAAAGGAGCATGTGAATAAATAATAAACTCTCTTTAAGATATTTAAGAAGTTTTAATAAAAGGAGAAAAAAATAAGCATTATGCATAAACTGTAATGAATCATATTTCTTCCAGATCTCATGCTATATTCATGCTTGTAAAAAAAAATATTTATTTAAAAAGAAATATAAAATTATTATTTAAATATAGTATATAAGATAAATGCCTAAAAATTTTTAAGCCGAAACTGAAATTACAGAATCAATTTTAGTAATAATTTATTTTATTTTATTTTTCCAAAAAAATAAAAAATAAAAAAGAAGAACTTTGTTGATTTAGCAGGTAGTGAAAGATTAGAAACTTTATAATAAAATAAATCAAATTTTTTAGAAGGAAATAGTCTTTTAAATAATATAGTAAGAGATAAATAAAATGAAAGTAAAACAATAAATAAGAGTCTATTTTTCTTAACATAAGTAATAAACCTTAAAAGTTAGAGAAAAAATGACGTCCATATCCCTTATAGAAACAGCCCTTTAACAAAGTTGCTTAAAAGTTCTTTAGGTGGAAATAGTCGAACTGCAATTATTTTATGTATAAATCCTTGTTTAAGTTAAATTGATTAAAGTCTAAGCACTTTAAGGTTTGGTTTGAATGCAAAGAAAATATAAAATTTGGTATAAAAAAATATTGCTTAAGAATTAAATAATGATTATTTGAGAAACATTATTAAAGAATATGAAAAAAGAATAAGGGAATTGGAGGAAGAAAAAGATTAAAGTAAAGCTGATTCTTAAAAACTTCTTTAAACTATTTAAAATTTAGTCAATTAAAAAAATAATATCTAATAAAGACTTAAAAATGAAGATGGATTAAATTAGGTTTAAATTGATGAATTTTCTAACAAATAAGATAATATAAGCTTTAAAAATTAGGATTACATTTGTATTGAAAATGTTGGATTAATAAAAGTATTTTATAAAATATTAATTTTCTCTCTTTATACAAAAAAAATATAGATATTTAATAAATAATAATAAAGTAAATAAAACAATAACTCTTTAATTAATTTAAGTTAAAAACTAAATGAAAATAATTAATAGAATTTAAGTAAAAAATAATTATTGTAAATATAAATTATTTTATATTAAAAATACTTGTAGTTTAGTAAAATAATGAAAAAGAAAATAATCTTAGTATAAAAATTTTAAATTAATAATAATATGTAAAATTTTATTATAATGAAGTCAAATAATAATTAATATAAATAAAAAATAGGGCCAATAAAAAAATAGTAACTCATAAAATAACTTGCTTGTTAAATAAATAAATTTATTCTAAAGTATAAGAGACTCAGATATCACAAATTTAAATCTAAAAGATTTAGAAAAATTAGAGGAAGATACACATGAGCTTTTTAATAAAATACGTTCTTTAAAGTAAGTTTATTAAAGTTAATAATAAAGTGAAGAAAATAATAGCAATAATACATAAAAAAGCATATAGTATAAAGAAAAGCAATAAATATAATCCTAAAATTAACTTCAAAGTAGTACAAGTGATTAAGATGCGCAAAATAATTAAAAATTAAAAATTAAAATGAGAAAAACTCCATCTTAAATAAGTATAAATAATATATAGGAAAAACTTGAAAACTCAAGTAATTAAAAAAATCAAGAAATAAGGAGAAGGAGCTAAATTTTTGAAGAGAAATATTAAACATTCAGTTGGTATTTAAAATAAATGATAAAATAAAAGACAGATAAAAAAAAAAATGATAATAAAACTAATTTTTTTAATAAAAATTACAGTTTAATTGAAAACAAAATAAAATAAAAACTTACCAAACAATAAAACGAAATAGAAAAATTAATAAAGGAAGAATAAAAAAAAATTAATATTTTATAAATGAAATAATAAAAGGATTATTTCTAAGAAATAATATAGTCTTTAAAAATAAATAAATAAAATTTTAATTAATAAATTAAAGATTTAGTATATATGAATAATAATAATTAAAATTATTTTAATGATAATATATCTTAAAAATAAATTTAAAATAAAACTAAAGCATCTAAATCATGTAATTAATTATCTATGCAATAATTATAGGAAAAAAATAACAAAGATTTTGATATTAAAAAATAACAAAATAATTAACCTTTATAATAAATTAATTTAGAAAATATAAATAAGGTATAAGAAAGTATAAATACTTTTTAAAAAACATAAAATAATAATCCATTATAAAATATTCTAAGTATAAAATTTTCAGATAATAAAAATTAAGATAAGGAAAATTAACAAAATAAAGATTAATAAAATTAAAAAACCGTAAACAATAATAAATATAATATATATAAAACAAGTAATTAAATGATAAATAATTATTACGAAAATAATAAAAAGTAAAATAAAAATGAAAACTTTTTATAAAATTAAAATATTTAAAATTATATGAAAAATAATTAATATTATAATGTTAAAGATTAAAATATATAGCCTTAAGTTGATATAAAAGAATAAGAATATAAATTTAATAATTAATCTTCATTTTAAGAAATTTCAAAAAGTTTTAGTAGAATAAGTGATTATAAATTTAATATCTATAATAATTCAAATATAAATGAAATTAATAAAAGTAATAATAGTATAAAAATAATAATAGTTAAATAATTATTAATAATAATAATAATAATAATAATAATAATAATAATTTTAAAAATTCAGAAAATATTTTTAAAAAATAATATTATAAATTTTATTAATAATTAATAATTATATAATCTTAAAGATTACTAGTTTGATTTTATAGATAATTAAAAAATTAAATTAATTAAGGTTTTATAAATTAATTTAAAAACTTTTATTGATTTCATAATTAAATTCTATTTATTTATTAATATAAAGGTATTAAATATTTATTATTATTTAAAAAAAAATATTTACTTAATTTTAAATATAATAAATTTCTTTTAAAATATTAAATATAAATATATCAAATAGAATAATTAAAATATGTTTATATATTATTTATATAATTTTTAATCCTTTTTAATTTAATTTTAATAAAAAATGAATAAAAGTGATATTCCTCCTTGTTTAGGAGAGTCTTTACAATAAAAATATCAATAATAGCATATATAAAAAACCATTGATAATACAAATTAGCAAAATTTGGAAGAAATCGTTTAATAAAACCTTCCAATATTAAAAAAAAAGAAGAAATTAATAGTAAAAAATTAAGAATTTCTACCATAATAAGATTATATTTAACTATACATGTCTAACAATAACGATTTTTATCAAAAGCAAGAAACTAAAACTATCGAATAACAATTATTTAATTTACAATAAAAATTCGAAAATATATAATTTACTATAAATAATAATGAACAGACAGATTAATTACAAAAGGATGAACAATAAATAATTCCACAATAACTAAATTTTGATTTTGATAAATTTAATAAAGCATATATAGAAAAGAACTAAATATTTTGCTAAAAAGAGTACTTTCTGTAATTACTTGAAATTTTATTTGATTAATATATGGAACCATTAATGAATAAATGCAAAAGATTAATAGATAATATGGAATATATAATAGAATAAAAAATAAATGAAAAAATGTCAAAAGGAATTTCCGATTTTTAATGTGAATAACATTTTTAATAATATAAGCAATATATGATTAATAATTTTAATTTATTAAATAAAAATTTCTTTTAGAAAATAATAATATCCTCAATAGAAAAAAGCATGAGAGATTATTTTAAAGAAGTGGATTCTGTATATAAACTAAGTTCAAGCTTTACAAATAAATGTGGGTAATATTAGAAAAAAATAATGTAAGGAAAACTCCAAGTATTAATAAAGGTAAACGAGAATTTAGAAAGTATTTAAGGTCCAAGTATTAAAGAATATAAGAATTTACAAATCACAATAAAAAAATAAATTAAAACCTTATTAAGTCAAAATAAATAATTAATTAAAATACTTAAGTTTTTAAATTAGATGGAGAACTAATTAGTTGATATAGAAAAAAGTCATATTCCAAAAAATTAAGAAGAAGTTGTTTAAGATGATAATAATATTTTCAAATTTGATATTACAGATTAAATTTTAGGTTTTAAATTCGAAGAAATGTAATATTTATAAAAATAATTAGAAAAAAAATATAGGAATGATGAATAAAATGTATAAAAAAATATTTTTAGTAAAAAAAAAAAATAGAATGCTGATGAAGAATTATGTAGTGAAGAAGATGAAGATTTTTTTGTAAATAAAAATGATAGTAGTGATAAAAAATTAAAAAAACTTTAACAATAATAGTAAATTTATTAAGAAAGTAGTTTATCTTCAAATGAAGAAGAAGATGATTTTGAGGAAATAAAAAATGATGATTATTATATTAATGAGTTAAATTCTTAAAATAGTTATGATTAAAATTAGAGTTTTTTTTTTTTTAAAATAAAATAAAAAAATAATTATTTCATTTATAATTTTTTTTAATATATATATAAAGAATTATAATAATTAATAGTATTAAAAGAATAAAATCAAAACGAAGAAGAATTAAATCAGAATGAAGAAGAATTAAATCAAAATGAACAATAATTAAATCAATATTTTAATGATAATTAAAATTAATAATAAAATTAATAAGATTATATTGAATGAATTATATTTTTTTTATAACTTCATTATATTTTTAAATAAAAAAAAAAAATGCAACAAAATTATATTATATTATATTATATTATATTATATTATATTATATTATATTATATTATATCTTTATTTTTTTATATTAAATTAAATATGTGTATGATATATTTTAACTATATAAACAAAAAAATATGTTTTTTGATATTAACTGTTTTACATAATATTACAAATCTATGAACAAAATTTTAGAAGAAAATACCCAAAATGGTCAATGAGCATTATTTTTAGGAGATTTTACATCAGCTTTAGATACTTAAACTTTAAAAGAAAAATAGATAAATACTGTTATAACAATATCAATTGGTTTAGGGATATAATATAATCTTAAAGAATAAATAAATCATAAAAAATATAATATTTTAGATCATTAAAGTCAAAATTTATCTTAATTTTTTAATTAGATATATAATGATATTGATTAAGGATTAAAAAAGGAAATGTTATAGTTCATTGTGCAGCAGGATTAGTAGAAGTGCAACATTTGTGGTATATTCTATAATTTAAAAAAAAATTTGGGATTTTAAGAAAGTTTAGATTTTGTAAAAAATAAAAGAAGAGTGGTTTGTCCTAATTGGGGTTTTGAAAGATAATTAAAATAATAGGAAAGTTTATTGAGAAAATAATAATAAATAAGTATTTAATTATATTAAGTAGAATTAAATAAAAATTAGAAATAATAAAAAAGATTCTAATAGTAAAAAAATGTAATTTATAACCAAAAAATATAATTTTTAACAAAAAATGAGATTATTTTTAATTAAAAATAAAAATTATAATTATAAATATATTTGTAATAATAAAGTAAATATCTTAGTGATAACAAGTTTCCAATTATAAATTTTAATTAAGGACCTAATATAGTTACTTATAATGCAAAAAATAATACTAGATATTATACTAAAGAATATAAAAAAGCTTATAGTAATAAAAAAAATGATTAATAATTACAAAATTATTAAAGTATAAAAAGTTTATATTACAGAAAAAATAAAAAAATATAATCAAATATTATATTATTATTTATTAAATAATATAAAAAATAAATATTTTACATTTAAAATAAAAAAGATATATATTTATTAATAAATAATTAATATTTTATTTAATATAATATAAAAATAATATATAAAAATATCTTTTTTTTTAAATAGATATATCTATTAATTTAATAACATAATAATATTTAGTTTAATAAACTAAATTTATTAATAATTTATAATTTTAAAATAAAAAACAATTAATACTAAAAATTATCATATTAAAATAATCATTATTATTAAAGAATATTTTTACATTAATAATAATCGTTATGAATATATTTAATCAAATGATCTGAAAAAATAAATATAATTTAATATAAAAAAATAAATATACCAAAACACTTAAAATCTGATTCAGGTCTCTAATAGCTTTAAATATAAATTTTGATTTGTTAATCATAAAAATTATTTTAGAATTCATTATATATATAACATTCCTAATTTTTTTTAAAAAAAAATAAATAAATCTATCAATATATATATATATGAATATATTAATATATGCATATATGAATATATGAAAATATGAAAATAAAATATATGAATATATGAAAATATTAATATATGAATAAATAAAAAATTATGTATATATAAATATATGATAATAAATTATTTTATAATTATAAATATATTTATATTATTTTTTATTTTTTATACTAGTTGTTTCTTTGAATCTTCAAAATATTAACTTGATCCTATGAAAATTAAAGCATTATATTTTTTACCTTCAACAATAGCTTTTCCTGAATATACTCCTGTCAATAAGTTATTTAATTTAACAGAAATTTCCCTTTTTACTAATAAATTTGCTGTTGGAATTCCTAAATCTTGATTTGCCCTTCCTTTTTATTTTTCAAATAATTTATTATAAAAAAAAAAATATGTTACCATTTCCTCTTACTACTTAACTTTCTATAATTATTTCTTAATCTAATTTTATGTCTTTATTAAATCCTTTAAAAGACATATTTATTGGTTCTTTATGTAAACTTAATTTATTTTCTTCTTAAGGAAATTATACATTTAGTTAAATAGAATCATTATTTAAACTTTTTTTCCAATTAATATCTTCCCATTTTGTATAATATTATACTCCTTATATCTCTTTAAACTTAGTTTTATTATGAAAATCACTATTTTTTAAATATATTAAAATCTTATCTTTATTATTTTCTTAATTTAGCTAGGATAGCATTTCCATAACTTAATTATCACCTTCTATTATAATAAAAGCTTTTTCAAATATTTCTTATAAATTTTAAAAATGAATAATTTAAGTATTATAAAGCCAATCTAAAAAAAAAAATTATAAAAATAAAAAATTATAATATAAAATAAAATGATAATAAATTAATAAGTTTAATTAAAATAAATTATAAAAAAATTATACCTTTGTGTATATATGATATATTTTAAATTAATTTTTCATCTAAATTTGTGAATAAAACAATTTAATATTGATTTTATTATAAAAACTAAACTATTTGTAATTTATAAATACAATAAAAAAATTTTATATATTAACATGTTAAAAAATATATAAATATATATATATATATATATATAAATTATATATATATATATATATATATTTCTATTAATATATATATATATATACATATATTTGTATATAAATATGTCTTTTATTTTAATATTTTTTTAACAAACATATAGATAATATACTTGTATCAGGTGCTCCTATTATAGGTTTTATTATATCAAAATGTTTTTCTAATAAATCTATGAATTCTTACTCTTTGCATTTTTAATTAATATATTCTGCAGGAATAGCTGAAAATGTTTCTATTGGAAGTTTTTATTCAAATAAAATTCTTGATTAATTTGGAATATTTATTCCCTACATTAATAAATAAGAACGTAATACACAAAAAATTAATGAATTATAATCAAATATTTAATTAAAGTTTATATAAATTTATTTTTAGAATTTTTAATTGATTTAACTCATAATTTTTTTTTCTTTTTTTATTATATTTTTATAAGATATAAGAATTCTAATTTATTTTAATATATATATTTTTTCTTTATATTTATAAATATATTTTTACTTTTTATTATTTTTTTTGTTTTCACTTTTTTATGATTTAAAATAAGTAAAATAAATTTTTTATTTTTTCCAGAAAAAAAATTAAAAATTATTTTAGTATAAATAATACTTATTTTAAGATAATAATATAATTTATTTTTATATATAAATTTATTTATTAATTCAAAAAATAAAGAAATTCTATAAAATAGTGATATTAATAAGAAAAAAAAAAATTCAAAAGAAAAAAATATATATATATAAAACAAAGCAGAAAAAATTAAAAATAAACAAAAATAATTAAAAAAGTAAAAAAAATATAAATAATTTATATTAAAAAAAAAAAAATTAAAATATGGATTTAAAATATAAAAATAATTACAGAGGAGATTACAGACAAAGTAGTAAAATTAAAATAAAACTAAAAAATTTAAACAAAAAAATTAAAAAAAACCTAAAAAAGACAAGAATTACGAATAAGATGATGATCAAAGTATGAATTCTTCTTAAAATACCAGAAAATATTAACCAAGACAAGAATATGCAAATTATCAAAATAAAAATAGCTATAACAAGCACTCATATCATGCATCTTAATAACATAGTCATAATAATAAAAGAAACTAATACAATCCTCATCACCATAATAACTGCTAAACATCAGATGAAGATAACTATGCTGATGATTATAAAGGATGCAGGCAAAATAAAAATGATAATTATAATAAAAAAATGCAACATAGAATAGACTCAAATGGGCATAACAATAATCATGTAGTATTTGATTAATAATTTGATAGATCTAAAGGTGACCACTATTATAACAAAAATGATATTAAATTTAGAACAGATAAAGCATTTTATAACTAAAATTAAATATAGAATAGAGATTATTGTAATGGGCAAAGGTAAACATACGAATTCCATGATTAATAATAAAATAATTAAGAACAGATTATCGAATAAGCTAATTTACCAATTTCTCATTAAGATATACTGATATCAAATATTTAAAATAATTTTGAATTTAATTAACTTTATAATTGCTTTAAAAAAGTTGAAAAAATCTGCAATTTCCAATATGTATATTTTAATATATATATATATATATATATATATATATATATATATAATTATTTATATATATATTATATAAATATATTTTTTTTTTTTTTTTTTTCCTTTATATGGGAAAAAAAAAATCAATTATATTTATAACTTTTTTTTTTAATTTTTATTTTAAATTTAATTATTTATGATTATTAAAAAATAAATAAAATTACTTTTTAGCAAAAAGATGAAAAAAAAGTAATTATTGATAAAAGTGATATGGATTGCTTATTTTTGTAAATACTTTAATAAATTAGTAGGTTGTTAATATTAAAAGACTTGGAATTTGCTAGTTAAAAAAAATTGATTAAAGAGTTTGGGATATTTACAAAAAAAGAGTTGAATAATAAAAAAGATATACATTTGCAATGAAAGACTAATAAGAATATTTATGGATTTTTGATTTTAAAATTAAATATTTAAGATAAATATTAACAGAAGTCAAAGCAGTATTTTTTTAAATTAAATTATCTTTTTTTATAACAATTTTTATTAAAAAAGAATTATAAAAATGTTTTTGAGACAGAAATTATTATTGATAATTAAAGTAGAAGAATTATTGCAAATGAATTTTGTTATTTTGGAGAAATCATAGAATTAAAGTAAAAAAAATAAAATTATTTTTTATAATTTTAAATACATTAAATAAAATTAACTTAATTATTTTAATAATATAAAAAAAAGGGATAAAATTTAAAAAAACTATTGTGAAAATTCTAATAAAAACAATCAATTAATTGCTGCCTAATAATATTACAACGCATTAAAATTATATCCTTTTAATGGAAAGTTTTATTTTGTATTAGCAAGTAAAAAAATAATGAATATTATAAAATAAAATAATATTCAAATAACAAAATAAAAAAGCTTTAAATAAATTAAATGAGGATGATTTTTCTGCCATTTATTATTGCATAAGAGCTCTTTACAGTGTACAAGGTTTTTAATGTAAAGAGAAGTTATAAGAATTTTTAGAATAAACAAGATTAAAATGCATTTAATTTGAGAAAGAAAACAATAACTACGGATTTATTTAAGTTGAGAATTATTTTAAAATGTTCGTTTTGCACTTTTACAGTTACACAAACATAGTATTAACAAAAATAAGTATAGAAAGTATAAAATCTCACTGTATAATGTTTAAATATTTGCAAAATCATATATAATATTTACTAACTTAAATAAGTTAAGAGAAACTAGAAAAAGAATGCATTCTTCTATAATTTATTGTTAATATAATAATTTTTACATTAAATAAATTCCAAGAACACATATAAGAAATTAATGATTTATCCGTAAAAATTTTAGAATAAAATTAAATTGCGAGTGAATGTTTAAAATTCACATATGGGTTACTTAATCATATTTTCGAATTATACACTGTTGACCCTAATAAATATTCAATAAATCTTGTTTTGCCCATTCTTTATTACTTTATTGAAAATCAAGTAATTGCAGAATATCTATTTAGTAAATATCCAGGGTAAATGTCCCTTTTTAATATAATTCTATAAAAAACTTAAAAAAAATTTGATTAAATTATTCAAAATTTTTAAACAGAAGAAATTGATTTTGAAGAATTGGCTTCTAATTATTTGAATGATTTAGAAATGGATATTATTGGATATAAACCTTTATATTCTTATTTTGAAAAGTATAAGAAAAAAAAGCTTGTTTTAGGAGATATAAATTTGATGTTTCCTGTAAAGCTTTTTATTATCAAAACTTAAATGGAAAAAATAAAATCTTTTGTAAAGCAAGAAGAAGGATAAAATATTTAAAATGAAGAAGAATTAGAGGACGATTTTTAATAATTGTTTTTTATGAATAAAAATAAAGTAAAAAAAAATATATTTATTTATTTTTATTAAAAAATAGATTATTCCTTAAAAAAAATTGCTTATTATCATAGATGGTATGAATGTAGCTATTAGATTTGGTTAGTCTTAATTTAGTTCCAAAGGTATCTAAATTGCTGTCGATTTTTGGATTAAACATAATGCTGATGTTCATGTTTTCTTACCTGATTTTTGTTTTAGTTAAGATTAAATAGAAAAAAAGAGAAATAAAGATAAAGTAAATAATATTTTCCATTTTTTATATTTTCAAATATTAATTAAAAAAAATAAAAATAGCAAGAATTGAATATTAAAATAATACCTGATGAAATAGATACTTTAATTAAGTTAAAAGAAAAAGTTAATTAAAAATTTATATCAAAAAAAGAAATTATATAAAATATTTTATTTAAAACAAAAAATAGGGATTAGCAATAGGAATACCTAATTGGAATTATGATGATTCTTATATGATTGATTATGCAAGAAAAAAAGATGCTTTTATTTTAACAAATGATAGATATAATGACCATATTAATTATTATAATAATGACCCTAAGAAAAGAGAATTAGTTAAGCAGTGGATTAGAAATAACTGTATTAGTTTTACTTTTGTTAAAGACGAATTATAGCCAGACCCTGATTTTATGGAAAAGAGAACAAATATTAAATTAAATATGAACTAATAGAAGTGACTATTTGATTATTTAAATATTAACTAATAATAGCTTATTAAATATTATTTTTTATAAAGCTACAAAATTTGTTATTTTTAGTAATAATTTATTAATGGAAAACAAAAATATAAACGATATTATAACTTTAAAATACTTTCTAACGACATTTTATAAACTTGATAAGGACAGTAAATTAAATTTAAAAGAAATAGATCTAGAACTTATTAAAATATATAGATTTTTCATTAATAAATATAAAAATTATTAATTATATAATATATTTTTATACATATATCATTAATGAATTAAAATATTTTTATTATATACATGTATTTTTTTAAAAAAATAATGTTTTAATGTTTTTTTCAGATTTAATAATATAATTATTAAAAATTCTTTTATAAATTAATTTGGTTATTTTAAAAAATTAATTTTTATTTTAATATAAATTAAACTAATTTTTGTTTTTTTATCTAAAAATATTTTTATATTTCTACTTAGTTTAGGCAAAAAAATTATTTATTATATATAATTATGATTATAATATTTAGGCATTTTTGTTTTAAATAATAAATTTAATGATTTATTGGTTTTTTTTATTTATTTTTTTACAAAAATATTTTTAATTTAATATTGAAAAAAAAATATATATATTTATTAATAATATAATCAAAAGATGAATTTAATTTAAGATATAATAAATTAGAAATGTAAATGTAGTTAATGCAATTAAAATGTTAAAATAATATAAGAATGCATAATAATAAATTAGTGCGGACATGTTATACATGAAAACTGTTTTAGGTAGTTAAATAAAAAATATGGTTGCTAATAATGTTAATAAAAGTTCATAATAAATTTTGTAATTAATTAAATATAAGTAATATAAGTTAGTAATGGAATATGCAAAAGACTTGAATAATATGAATAAGAAATAGTTGATAATTATAATAAGATTATATAAAAGCTTAAAATCTTAAAAGATGATTTAAACTCTTGTTATTATGAAAATTAAAAATAAAATTTTGATAAATATTTAGATTAAGATTTTGAAACGAAAATGGAAATATTTAAAGGTGAATAAACAATAAATTTTGAAAATAAATCCATTACATATAAATATTTAAATACAGATACTAAATCTAATATTTATCCTACAAATAAATATTATGAATAAATATAAGAATAGTTTAATAGTGATTAAAAATATGTTTTTAAAGAATAAATGTATTTATTTAATTCTTAAAATATGCTAAATCAAAAAGCAAGGAAATTTAATTCATAAAATGTAGTTGATAATAATTGTTAAAATATTAAAACTCCAAAATTTAGTAAACTTTATATTTGAATAATATTAAAATTCATTACTTTGAATTAAAAATAATAAAATCTTTTTTTATATTTTAAAATATTTATAATATATTTTTTAATTATTAGATTATTTAAGCTTGTTTTATTATTATTTTTAAAATTCAAATTTTTGAAAAATTAATTATATTTATATAAAACCTTATATAATATTAAAATATATATAATTTACAAACTTTTTATTTTTATATGTTAAAAATATTAACTCAATATTTAAAAGTATTAAATAAAAACTTATTATTACAGAAAATTTTAAACTTGTAAAATTTCTATTAATTTTTAAAAAATACAAAAACCTCTATTTATAATTTTATTAAATTTATATAATAATTCGATTTATAATATATAATAATAATAATAAATTAATAATTATAAATTAAACATATATTTAACTTAAAAATATAAAAAAAATTATATGCTTATATAAATATATACTATACAAAGTAAAACTTATTTATATTTTTCCTTTGAAAATAATTTTTTCCATATTTTTAATATAAGTTTTACTTCAATATCTAATTTGAAAATAATTATAATAATAAAAAAAATATTAATAATAATTTAAATATATAAATAATATTCGATTTATCAGGAAAACTTAATAAATATTAAATATATAATTGCTAGTTTTTTTTAAAAAAAAAAAGTTTTTAAAATTCTAACATATTTATATCGCTTTGTTTTATATAATCCAAAAAAATAATATATCTATCTAATAATTAATTTATTTAAATTTGAAAAAATCCTTTTTTTTGTAAATCATTTTTTTTTTAAAAAAATAATATTTAATTTTATTTATCTACATTAAATTAAAAAAGTTGATATTTTTATACTTTATGTCATTAAACATTAAACGACCAAAAAGCTTAGCAATTTAAAAATAAAATACAAATAAGTTTTCAATATATTAATAAATATAATAATGTGGTGGAAACATAAGAGAATTATTAAAAAGTGAATTATATGCAAATAAATAAAATATATAAGATACAAACTCTTTGAATTAAGGGACATTAGATAAAATATCGATTAAATATAATAATAATTTTAAAAATATTAAAAACACTTTATTTTAAGATAAATATGAAAATTATAAATCATCTAATAAAAAAGCTATTAATATAAATTTAAAACAAGCAAAAGAAAAAATAAAAGATAAAGAAAATAAATTTAAATAAGTTCTTAAAAGATCAAAGTAATATTTATTTTTATTAAATTAAAATGTAAATCTTAAATATATTTCATAAAATTAAATAATCTTAAATTTTTCTTAAGAATAATTGAACATAATAGGCTAATAGTTAAATAAAAATGAAACAGAAATAAATTCTAACATGAATTTAAGAAATAATGCTTTTAGAATAAAAAATTAACATAAAAAGGATTATAAGAATTCTTTTATAGGCATAAAATCAACCCATGTGTCTAAAAAAAGGCAAAACAATAGTTATAGATCTTCAAATTTCTCTAATAAACCATAGAAAATATGCAAAATAAACAATATTCCAAATTGGTCGTCTTCAGATGATGAATCTTAATTATCATTTTCTGTAGAATTAAATAATAGTAAAAGTAAGATTTCATTATCTTCTTGCCCTCAAATAAAGCCTATTTATTTAAACTATAAAGTTTTGTAAAGGCAAAATATTAAAAGTAATATATTAATAATAAAAGGAGAAAACTTAATTTTTGGGAATCTATTAGTGCAAAAATTTTGGGATAAAAATATTTTTTAAGAATAATAAATAGGAAGAATGAATGAAATAAAAAAATATTTGAAAATATTAAATAAGTTTTATATTATATTTATTATACTGAATAATAATAATAAAAAAAATGTTGAGTTTGCAAATACTGTGATTAAATAAGGTTTTTGTATAGATGGAATTTATAATGTTTTTAATAATTAAAATACCTTCAATAAATTTATTAATTTTCAAAGTATTTTTAATGATTTTAATATTATATAACCTAATAAAATTATCGTTTTGAATTCAATAAATTTTCAAATTAATTATAATTAGTTTATAATCAGATGTGATAACGAAATTTGTAATAAAAATAATACATTGTAAACTCTTAAATTTTAAAATGAATTATATTTTGATTAGTTTTACGAAATAATTCCTCATTTATAAATATAATATTATAAAAAAATTAAATTTGTATTTTTTAAGGTTAAATAAAATCAAACAGTTAATTAAAAAAATCTTTTCGAAGTTGCACTTTCATTTGTAGATCATAATTTTAGCTTATTTTCAAATAACTTAAATATTTTCAAAGTAGATTTAAATGAAATATATTCGAAATTTTTTTAAATATTGAACTATGAAACAAATAAAAAATGTTTTCTGAAAAAAGTTAAAAAAATTAAATAATAAAATAAATCATTTAATTAAATCCTTGAATTTAACCCAGATAAAATTGCCGAAAATCATAGAAATAGCCTAATAGATTATATTAAATCTTAATAAAAATAAATGAGTAATATGTATTATTAAATTGGTGATATAATATGTAGAAATAAAAAATTTTTTCAAAAATATTATACTTAATCATTTTATTGTTAACAAAACCATAAATATAATTTAGAAGCCATAAATAAATTGTATGAAGAAAATTAATATTAATCATAAGAAATTATTTAATATTATAATACTTATAGTGATATTAATACCAATTAATAGGGTACATATGAAAAATGTAGTTTAGAAACTTTATAAAAATAAAACAATAAAGCCAATTATTATATGTGCATTGAGTAATAATATTAAGACTTTTTTTATAAACAAATATATATTTTTATTCTTATAATTATTTAAATATTATAATTATATAATTTTAATAAAATTATTTATATTTTTTTTATTAATTATTTTAAATAATTTTATTTTATAACTTTATTTTTTTTATAGTTGAAAAAAAATAATTTTTTTTTGGTACAAACAAATTAATTAGGAAGGAACAATAAATAATGAATATCAAGTTTATTTAAATTTTATAATTAAAATTTTATATAAATAAATATAAAAATATATAGTTGTATAATTTAAATATTTTGTTAGATAAAAATATAAATATTTTATTTATTATATATTTTTATTTTAATTTTTTTTTAAATTTTATTATTATAGTAAGAACATTAAGCAATTTTTATTTCTATTGAATTAATAAATATTAAATATATAATTTTACTTTTTTTAAATATAAAATGATTTTATCAAGAGGAAAAAAATAAAAATAAATATATATTAAAGGGGAGAAAATACACATTATTTATATAAAAAATAATAATAAAGATTATTTAGAACATAAAAAAAAAAAAAAAAATAGAATTTTAGAAATAAAAAAAAATATATATATATATATATAAATAGTTTCAACAAAAGCAATGAATACCCAGTAAAATAATTAAAAAGATTAATAAAGAATAAATCCTCATTAATAAAATAGAGATAAAGGAAAAGAAGATGGTCTAATTAAATATACTAAAAAAAAAAATCAACGGAACAAAATATGGAAATATATACAAAAAAAGATAATAATTAATTAGAAGATGAATCTAAAACAAGTAAAATAGAAAGCATCTGTCAAAATAGAAAACTAAATTACAACTAAACAAGGCATAGAAATTCATTATACGAATAATAAGAATATAATAACTAATAAAAAAATAAAAATTATTAAAATAATAATAGTAATAATTAAAATTAAAATAGCCAAAGAAATAAAAATTATAATTAAGAAGGAGAAAAATCTAGAGATAATAAATATTAATAATAATAATAATAATAATAATAATAATAATAATAATAATAATAATAATAATAATTTAAACCTGGTGATAAACCAGAAAAAAAATATACAAGTTCTATATCAATGCATTTAAATACTTAAAAAGATGAAAAAAAAGGAGGTCCTATAAAGCAAAAAGGTGTTGGAAAATAAAAATTTAAATAAATATATTTTGGAATAATAAATAAAAGACCTTATAATAAAGGTGAATATTAAAATGCACAATAATAATGGTTAGAAAGACTATTAAATTTATTTCCATAAATGTTTTTCAAAGAATAATAATAACCAGTATTTATGAATTATAGATATTCAGAAGATTTTGTAGTCGAAAATGCCTTCGAAAATATTCCAAAACAACATTCAAATGCATGCAATAATAAATAATAGAACCGAAATACAATGAATAATTAAAAAAACATTAAAGAAATGTAATATGAATCAAGCGAAAGTGATCCCGATTGGGCTGAAGATAATAATTTAGAACCCTGCGTAGATTTTGAGTTTAAAACAATTGATAAAAGTTTATTTAATTAAGAAAGATTTAAAAATAAAAAAGAAGAAAAAAAAGTTCCTTAGGTTAATCTTAATGAAAAATAAAAAATTCTTGATTAATTCTTATAATAGTTTTAATAAATAACTGTTGAAGAAAAAAAAGAAAATGAATAAAATTAATAATAAATTCTAGATAAATAATTAGAAGAAGAATATGGTGATATTGATGAAAAAATAGCAAAATAATATTAATAATAAAAATAATAAGATGAAGAAAGCAATAAATCCTTACAATGGGTTAGCGGTGATAGTGCAGAAGAAGAAGAAAATAGTTTATAAAGTAATGATGAGGAAATATTAAAATCTGATAAAAAATAAAAAAATAGCGAAAGTATTTCTTACGATGAAATATAAAAAAAATAATATTAATTTTAAAAATATGAAATAGAAGATAAAAATGAATAATAGATTGGAAAAAATGAAGCATTAGAATAAGATAATGATGACGAAGAAGAAGAAGAAGAAATTATAATTGAAAATAAAAAAGAGGATGAAAAAAATAAAAATATTGAATAAATTTAAAATAATAACTTTATTTAAGATTTAAACTTGATTCTTAATTCTGATAAAACCTAATAATTACAATAATAATATAAAGTTTTTGATTATGATTTAAACGAAAAAAATTTCATTCAAAATTATATTTATGATTAAGAAGATGAAGATATTTAATAATAAAATAAAATAAAAGAAAAAGAAAAAAATGGAGAAAAAGAACAAAATTTACTCGAAAATTTAATTGTAAATAAAGAAGAAGAAGACGAAGAAAAAGAACTCTTAAACGAATAGATCGATGAGCAAATTTTCGGGAAAACTACTCTTACAGAAAACTAGAGAAAGGAAATAGAAGAAAGAAGAAAATAAAAATAAAAAGAAAAAGACTTATAAATAGCAAAACTTATAGCCGAATAATAAGAAAAAGAAGGAAACTATTTCCAATATGTAGCCTATATGCTCCAAGTAAATACTCACGAAAAAATATGGATTTATAAAGACGATAATGGATAAATATAAGGACCTTATAGTTCTGTATAAATGGATCTTTGGAAAGACCATTTTAATGATATAGTAGTCGCTTTAGAAAAAATTTAATACTGGATAAAGTATTCTGATTTGAAGATTTTTAATGATAGGTTTGTGAATTAAATTAATTAAATTAATGAATTAAAAAATACATATTAAATGAATTAAACTTAAGTAGTTTAATAATAAGGTTAATAAACTACAAATTAGACTACTATTTAATAAGTACCATAATAAAATTAATAATATTTTTATAATTTAATTATGAATTAATGTTATAATGTTAACTAAAATATTAATATTAATAACTAATATTAGAATAATAATTACTATTAAAATAATTAAAATAGTTAACATTTATATTAATAATAAGCATAATAATAAACTTAATAATATAATTATATCAACTAAAAAAATTAAAACAATCATAAAAATTTTAATATGTAAAATAATCGTAAAAAATAATTATAATTCATTTATGCTAATAAAAGTTAAGAGTTTATGTAATAATAACCTTAGAATCTAAATTTCTAGAGTAATCTTTAAAAACCTAATTAAATCCCTTAAAATATTTATAAAAATTAATGTACTTTCCCGTAATAATAGTAATAATTTAATATGCCACCACCAAACTTTAATTTGACATAGCAAGCTTAAAACAAAAATATACCAAATTTTAATTTTTAAAATGATTAATATAAAATATAAAATATTTAATAATAGTAAGATACTATATATTATTAAAGTACATAATAATATTAAATGAAACAATAATAATAAATATAATAATCGTAATAAAAATAACAATATTAATCAAATTTATTATAAAATATATAATAATAAAACATTTAATAAGTTATCAATAATAAGCCTTAATAAACTGATTATTTATCTAAATAAAATTTAAATAAAAGCTAGAAATATAATCTAACAGATTAAGACTTTCCAACATTATGATTATTAAATTTATTAAAACAAAAGCATTGTAAGTATATATTTTATTATATTTACTTAATTTTATCAATAATATTAATAAAAAATATTTAAAAATTTAATTCCATATGTATTTTTTTTTAACAAAGTATTACTTATTTTTTTAAAAAAATTTAAAAATATATAATCTAAAAGATAAAAATTAATAATTAATAATTCTTTTTTAATTAAAATATTATATAAAAATACAGCTTTTTTATAATCAGAATAAGTATTTTATTTTTTATCATTTAATAAAGTTTATTTTATTCATTTTAAAATAATTATTTTTATAAAGCTATTATAGTATCATATTTTTCTCTAGTTATTTCATTAAGAAAAAATATTATAATTTTAATGTACATTTATTTATATCAATTTAGTTTATATTTCATTTTCTTTAAAATAGTCATTAAATATAAGAAATACATACTATCTAATATTTAAAAATTATATTATTATTTTTATAAATATTAAATAATCACTTCTTTGTTATATAGTTTAAAAATTTAATTTTTTGTAATTTATATTTATTTATAATAATTAAATTATAAAATAAAATGATTTCTAATTTATAAATAAATAAATGTAATTTTTATTTTGTTATAAAGATTCCTTCAGAAAAAAATAAAGAAATATTTTTTATTATATAGATTTTCTTCTAATAACTTGTAAAGTTTAATAAAATATTACTATATTTTTTATAAAAAATAAAAATATTTTAACTTAAAGAAAAAATAAAAAATGTAGTTGATTTTAAATAAAAAAAAAAATTAGTTATTGTTCCTTTATAGGTAAATAAGAGAAACTTTTGTAATTTATATTTATTTTACAAAGTATAAATAAATTTGAAAAAAATTCATTTTTTTTTAATACAAAAAATTTAATATTATTAACATTAATATATTAATTTCCTGCTTTTATTAAAAAAAAAAAAATATTATATTTAAAAAAAAAAAAAAAATCTTATATTTTTACAATTAAAATTAATTATATAAAATAAATATTTTTATGATCAGATAAAGATAAATTAACGAAAATTTATATTAATTAAATATATATATATATAAATATATAAATATATATATTAATATATTTATATATATTTATATTTTTTTATTTTTATAATATATACTATATATATATTTTATTAATAAAAATTATGTCTATTATAAAATTAATTTTTTTTTTTTATCCTTCTATTAATTTTAATATTTAATTTTGTTTTTTTTTTTATTTTTCTATGTTTTTTTTTTATTCTCTATAGATTTTATTTTGCTTATTATTTTTATAAAAAATAATTATAAAATAATAATATTTTGTAATTAATAATCTAATCTTATTTATACTATTAATTCATATAATTTTTTTATATTAATTATTATAATATAAATTTTTAATAAAATATTATATATTTTATTATTTATTTACAAAATTTCTTTTTAATATTCTTTTATATTTAATAAAATTCTTTAATTATATTTAATTCATTTTTTATAATTAATATTTAATTTTTTTTATTCGATTAATAATTTTTAAGTTTATTTATAAATATAATTTTTATAATATTTTATAAAAAAAAATTAAAATCAAAATTGATGTTTATTATTAACAACATTAATTTAATATATTTATAATTTATAACTTTAAATATAATTGTTTAAATATTTTTAAATTAATTTTCATACAAATCCAAATCCTTCCTTTCCTTCTGATATTGCAATTAATAATTTATTTTTTAGTATTTCTTTTGTAGGATATTCAGGCAAATCAAGTTAATTAAAGCTATTATTTTTATAAATAATAATAAATAAATAATAATAAAAAATATATAATATTCGTTTTTTGCCATGTATGAGCTGTTGGAAGTTTAGATATATCATAACTTTTATGAATTTAGAATTTTTATAATCCTGAAATACCTCTTAATTATTTGAATCCTTCAAGCGGTACTTTAGATGTTCCTATATTAAAAAAAATTCTTATATTTAAAAAAAATAAAAAATTATATTAATATAAACCTGTAACAAATTATAGAAAAGATGCTTTTTATGCTTCATCGTAATTTTCTAATACTTCCCAGAACCAAGCAATAACTTTACTATTTTTGGTATAATTTTAATATTCAGTATTTTCTTTAAGATCTTATACTTTATTTAAAAAAAATAAGATAAAGATAAAAAAAATATTTACTATCAATTTCTGGTAAACCAGAAATAATTAACTCTAATTCTTAAGAATTAAATATTTCAATTAAATCATGAGGAATAAGTTCATGAAAACCTTCAAGGAATTTTTCAATTTACACTTTTATATTTTTAGCCATTTTAGCATAACAAATCAATTTTACATATTAATATTTATTTTCTTCTGTAACAGTTATATTCTTTCCATTAGGAATGAGTTCTATTTATTCATATTTACCAAATTAATTTTCCTCAAAACTATTAAAAATATAAATATATTTCTTAAAAAAAAAAAAAAAAAAAAACCTAAAAGCTAAATCAGTAAAATTAGTTATATCAGTCTCTATTAACCATTTTAAACTTTTATAAAAATCATAATCTTAATCTTATATATCATGATATGTTAAAGGTTATCCTAATATATGTTTATAAAAAGATCTTGTAAAATAAGCTTCGAGCATTTATCCTTCAAATAGAGCCTTTTTTAGAAAAAATAAAAATTTATATTAATTATATTAATTTTTTTTTTAAATAATAATTACTTTTCCAACTATTCTTCCTATAAATTTAAAATAATCTAAATGGTTTTCATTAAAATAAGAATTTTAATTGGGTTAATATGTATTTCCAGTATTAGAAGGTTTGAAAAGTAAATAATCTGGGTTAAGCATAGCTTTTGATAATTAAAGAAACCATTCTCTTAGTAAACCACCGGCATCGACACCTTCTTCATCTTGGAATTCAATAACAAATTTACATTTTAATTATTCTTGTTTTAAATTATTTATTTAGTTAAAAGAATCTTCAAAAATTTGATTTCTTCTTACTGTAATAGCAATTTTCTTATATTAGCTTTTGCATTATTATCTAATATTTTATATTTAGTATTTAAAATAATTTTTTTTATTTTCGAATTCAATAATAAAAGGTAATTATTGAAAAATAATTTAAAAAGGATCTCTTTATAGTGTTTTTCTATTACTTTTTAATTTTCTTCTTTTCTTTATCAAATTCTATTTTACCATTTAATTTATTACCAACTTACTTTTTTCACATAAAAATTTAAATATTTCATGATTATCTATATCATTGAAACTTTATTTCAGAACCTATTAATATATAATATATAATATATAATATATATATAAATATATAATATATATATATTATATTTATATTTAATTATATATTCTTATTTTTATAAAAAAAACATCATAATTTAAGTGTGAATTAAGATTTTATTAATTAGTAACTTCATCAATTAATTAAGATATTTATTTTTTTTATGTAATTTTTTTCTAATGATTATCATTTTTTTATACAAACTCAAAATCATCATCATGCATAATACTAAAGAAGATTAAATAACTTTCGACAACTGGCTAAAGTTTTTATATAATGGTATTATAAACGTCTATTTTTCCTACAATAGATAACAATTCAATAGTATTAATCCAAAGTTAATTAACAGTTTCATTTTTAATAATTTCAGAGAATTTATTTCTAATTTAATTTTTTATAGTATCTAACTTTTCTTTTTATTGTTTTTTTTTTTATCTTTAACATTTTCATCATTTTCTAGATTTTCCTCATTTTTCTAATCCAATTAATTAAATGATTTTTTAAATAACTCATACATAATTTAAAATAAATTCTATATTTTTTATTCTCCTTATATTTATTATTCCAATTAATTCATTCTTTCTTTAAATTATTTCATTTATGTTTCGTTATTAATTTCTATATTTTTTATACTTTATAGGGTTTATTATATTTGAGTATTTAATTAATTACTAAATATCATTATAATATTTCTTAATTCAGAAGAAAAAATCTCTAAATTATTCTAATCATAACATAATTAATTCAAAATTAAAGAAAGCTTTTATATTATAAATTCGTTTAAACATTAACTTGAAAAACATTAACAAATCCATTATATCGCTAATGGATGTAAAGATTATTATTTAGATTAATTTTTTTATTATTCTTATTATATATTTTAAGAGCTTTCTTTTATAATATCTTGTTCTTGTGTAGTTTATTATTAGAACTATCTTTATATTACATTATTTATTGAAAACAACAAATATTATAAATGATTTTAATTATTGATAAATGGCTCTTATGTTAATAAATACATTAATTATAAATAAGGTAAATAATCATTATTATAATTAAATTATTCCTTAAGATATTCAATAGATTTTAAAGATTAATAATTTTTAACATTACTTTATATGAAATATTTATATTTATTTAAAGTCAATTTATTAATTATTTTAAGAATTTTCAATGTTACATTGAAATAGACCTTTTTATAATCTCTCTCTATTGAGTTTTTCAAATATAATATAAATTAAGGGAATTACTAATTTTTTGAATATTCTTAAATGTTTAGTTTATTAATATTTTTGTTATTCAAAATAAACATAAAAGCATCATATACTTTGTATTCGATTTCTGGATTTATACATATTAATTCTAATAATATTATAGGGAAATTCTTTATACTATAGCTTTCTTAATATATTATTTTTAGTAAATATTAAATAAAATAATCGTCTGTTTGTATTATTTTTTAAAGTACATTTTAACTAAAATTCTCTTGCATTTACTTAAAAAAAAATAGATATTATATATATTTATATTTTTTTACATCTTCCTTTTCTTATTATTAAGATGTTTATTTTAGAATATCATTTTTTTTGTTTTTTTTAAGATTTTCTGCTTCTTTTTAGAAATTTTATGAAAGTGTTTAAATAAATTATTAATCAGATTAAGAAAGGATATCTTTTCTTGTATTTTCATCGGTTTATTCAATAATTTGAGAATTTATACTATTCATATTTTATTACTACTATTCTTATTATTAATTAGATGAGTTTTATTTATTATTATCCTTTTAATTATTTTATTAAGCATTATATCCTGTTAAAAACTGCAAAATTAATTCTTCTCTTAAATAATCAGGTAAAGAATCAAAAAATTACAAATCAATTTTATTATGTTTTAAAAAGTCAATATTAAGATTAAATTAAGATAATTGATTTAAAGATTATTAAGACAACTAAAAACCTTACAAACTATTATTAATATTGCTATTATCATAAGTAAACTAAGTATTTTAATTGGTATTTTCATTATATACAGGAGAAATATTCATAAATGAGTTTTAAGATTAATTTATATATTAATTAAGTTAAAATTATAAATCATTTATATTTTAGTTATTTTCAATATTATTAGAAAAGTAATTATTTATCGTTTATTAATTAATAAACGGGCTTAAAGTATTGCTTATTTATTAGATTTATCTCATTATAAGATTATTTGATTAATTTTCGTCGTTTTTACTTTCTTCTTGTAAATTTTATTAATTTTATTAAGGGCTTCTCTTTTATTATGTATTTCCTTGTGTCTATTATAATTCGTTTGCTTATTATTACTATTGCATTTCTTATATTAATTATTATTCATTATCTAAATTTTTTTATATGTTTTATTCGATTTCGCATTATTAGATTTAATTTTCAAATTATAAATTGGTTTAATTTTATTAATGCAATATTTAATTTTAGTTTATTTATTCTTGGATTTAAAATTACTATTACTATTATTATTATTATTATTATTATTATTATTATTATTATTATTATAATATCATTTTCTTCTATAATAATATCATTATTTTATAAATTATTATTAATTTAATTTTATTAAAAGTTTGAATCATATTCCCAACTGCTATTAAAAAAATTCTAATGAAAACTTTCACTTTCACTATTATTTTATAAAATAATATTTCTATTTCTTCTTTAATCACCTATATTTCTTCTTCTTTAATTTAAAATTTCCTCTTATGTTAATAATTAATTTAAAAGACTTCCTTAAATATCATCATCTACTATAATATCTCCGTTTCTACCATTTTATATTTATCTACAATAAGGAGAATATTAATGTACTTAGTTATTAATATTTTAATTATTCTATTTTTATTTTTTAGAATTATTTTTCAAATTCTTAATTTTTTATAAGAAATTATATATATAAATAGAAACTGCTATAAATTGATTTTCTTATAGATTTTATTTTTAAAAAAGTACTTAAAAAAATTGTTCATCTTTTTTATTATTATCTCCAATTAAAAAAAGAGCTTCAATTTATCTTTTATTTTTCATTACTAAATTTTAAATATAACTACATAAATTAATTCCATTTAAATTTACTACATATTTCACAGATTTTATTTTTTTATTATCTGAATCTTAATTCTTATTATTTTTTATAAATTTTAAATAATTATTTTATTCTAAACTATATGAACTGTAACTCATTTCACTATTATAAGGTTAGTATATACAAGTTATATTTTAATTATTCTCATCTTCTTCTTCTACTTGATTTATTTCATTATTAATAATAATATTCTATCCACAATTTCCTTATTATATTTCGTTTATCCAATTCTATTCTTCATTTTATTATTCTTCTTCTTCCTCTCTTACTTATTAATTATCATGCCATTAAGAAAAACTTTCTTCGTCATCGTATTCATCGTAATCTTCTTCTTCTTAACTGAAATTATCTTCTTCGTATGAATATGAACATTCTTCTCCTTCGTTTTCATAATCATCATCTTATTCTTCATAATTATCTAATGAGGAAAAATCTTCATCTTCATATTAATCTTCCGAATCATCATTAGATGAATTATAATCATCAGATTACATTTCAGTAACTTTTTTTATTAAAAAAAAATTAAAATATAAACAAATATATATATTTATTATTATTATTTTAAATAAAAATTATTTTAAAATTATAATTATTTTGTTAATTACTTGTATTTTCACTTATATAATTTTCTTCTTCTTCTAAAATTTAATTATTTTCATTATTTTATTAAATATTTTATTAATTTATATTATTAGCTGAATCTTCATTATTATTATCTTCATTTTACTCATTGCTGTCTTCATTTTAATCTTCATGATCATCATCATCATTATCATCATCATCATCATCATTATCATCATCATCATCGTCATCATCATCATCTTCATCATCATCATCATTATCATCATCATATTCACCTAAACTGTAAAATATTTAATTACCTCCAGGACCTTCTTCAATAAAGGTACCATCTGATTACTCGAATTCGTCTTCGAAATCTTCATCTAAACCATCATCATCATGATAAATATCGTAATTTTCATCTTCTCCATAATTAAATTAATTTCTATGCCTATTTAGTACTCTAGAATCATTCATTCCGTTAGTATTTGGAGCAAAAGATGATAAAGAAGACGAATTATCACTCACATTATTATAACTTTATGAATAGCTATTATAATTATTTTAATATTGGAAAGAAAAACATGACTATTATTAATTATTATTATCTAATAAATTATTATTTCTGTTATTATGTAAAATATTTCTTCTTCTCCTATTATTTCTCATGAGATTGCTACTTTATTAATTATTTTCTAGTATTTGATTCTAAAGCGGAAAATTTAAGAAGTCTTTATATTTTTTCAAAACACTTTTTTAAAGTTTACTTGAAATAATTTACTCATTAATGTATTTTTCTAAAAAATATTAATTTTTTTAAACTCTCCTTTTTTTGCCGCCATTAAGTATTAAATTATAATTAAAATAATATAACACTTCAATCTATGTGCTTAAAAATTAAAAAACAGTCTAAAATTAATTCCATTTCTAAATATCACATTATTTTAAAATATTCATATATAATTTAATAAAATTAATCCCTTCTTCAATTGAAATTCTAGTAATATCTTTTATATTCATAAGGAAAATATGTAAATTTACATAGCAGATTAAAATATGAATTTTTTACGGACAAAATTCTACTGATATTTCTTATTTTAAAAATTCTACTTCTAAAATTTAATAGATTTCATTTAATACTTTTTTTCGGATTTCTTAACCAAAAGGAATTATTTTATTATTCGAATTTTCATATAAAATAAATTTGTCTAAACATAACTCAAAAATAAATTCTTTTATACTACAAATTGTAAATTCATTCATACATTTTATTAAAAACTTCAAAAAATGAAAATGTTATCCACCTATTTGTTTATATATATGATCTTCTAATTAAGGGTTACCTTATAGTGTCTTTTTTACAGTTTTTGAACATCTATGTCTTATTATTATAGGCACTAAAGCAGGGGATGTCCTGCATATAGTTTATACTATTTTAAGTAAAGAGTAAAAATCAAATAAGTAATTTTCTTCTTTTTCACTTTTATTATTGTCATTTATTAAATTGTGTTTCTCATTTATTTTTTTGACAAATTAATAAACTATACTATCTAATAAATTAGTTATGGTTTCATAAATAATTGAAGGAGGTTAAAAATTAATCATTTAATTATTATTTTATTATTAAATTTCTTAAATTTTTTTAATTGAAGTAGTAGAAGCTGCATTATTAGAACTTTTTTGCAAATTTTTTTTATTAGAATTATTTTAAATTTATTAAGAAATAATAAAATATTCATTAGAGATATATTGAAATTTATCTAAAGAAACATCTTCTTTTAAATAATAAAAAAATTAATTATTATTATTATTATTATTATTATTATTATTTTTTTTATGCAAATTTTTTCTTTTAAATCTTTAAAAATTTCACTTTTTTCGAATTTTTTAAATCTTTCATCAAATTCCTTTATAGGAATTTTCACTTATTAAAAATTATTATTTAAGTTTTTCTTTTGAGGAGAATTATGTTTCTATTATTATTATTTATTTTCTTAATTTTATTATTATTCTTCCTATGTTTGTTTTTGGTAAAAAAAATCTTTAATTTTAGCCTCAAAATTAGCTTTAATAAGAATATCATCAAATAATAAAACAGAGAATAAATTATGTAATTTTTATATTGTTTTTTCTTGAATTTTCTATTCTTCTTCATTTTCTTTATCTATTTTTATTTTAAAAAGCTCTGCAAGTCCTTTTTCATTAATAAATTAATGTAAATACTATTTGTTTAAAAACGAGAAATTAAAAACAGAATCCAAAATATAATTCAAAGCAGATTTAGAAATAACATTTTATTAAACAAAAACATCATAAAGTTCATTATTAAATTTAAGAATTTAAACAAAAAAATCTATGACTAATTATTAAAATTATTAATAAACTTAAAAATCATTATTATTATTATTATCGTTATTCTATTATTTCTAAATTTCAAAATCTTCATATTTATTTAAAAAAGGTTAACTTTTCGAATTTAAAAATAATACCAACCTAACTAAATTATCTATAAACTACCTACAGACCAAAAATACATAGTTTCTATCTTTTCTAATAATACTTTAATTCTAAAAGATATTCTTACTAAATAATTCTAAACCAAATTTAAAAAATTCCATACAAAGACTATAATTATCTTTCCCATCTTTCCATTTAAGTACATATTTTTTATTACTATTAATAAGTTCTTAAAAGCCATATATTTCTGCAAAAGGTAATAAAGTATTAATAAATTCTATTTAATTAAATATTTTAAACTCTCCCTTTTCAAGATTCTAAAAAGGAATTTTTAATAACTAATTGTCTTTAAGATCCTATATAACTTATTTAGTACCTTTAAATGGATGTTTCATTCGGAAGGTTTTAACTATTTTATTCATTAAGAAAGATATAGAAGCAAAAATAACGTATTGTTTTTTTAAAAATTCATTTAATATTTTTTAATTAGTATTGTTTTCTTCTTAAGAATATTCTTTTTCTTCTTCTATTTATTCATTATTGTTTTTTAATTTATTTTGAATTTTTATATCTTCGATTAGTTTTCGTTAAAAAAATGCTAAAATTTAAGCCGAATGATTTTTTAAATAGAAAATATTTTGAAGTAAATATTAAGTTATTTCTTCAGTTTTTTTTTATATGTCGAAATTTTATTCTTTTTTTAACTATTAACCATAATTGAAAACTATAACTTCTTTTTCATTTACTTTTTTTTCTAAAAACTCTAAATTATCATTAATGAATTCAAAAAGAACCGATTTTTTTCTCGATATGCATAATTTAATAGCCAATATAAGTACTTTAGAATCTATTTAAGGTAATATTTCTTATAATTCAGCTAAAATCTATTTATTTTTTTCCAGTAGTTTCTCTTCATTATCCAATATATAGAAGTAGAAAAGTTTATTTTATTACAAGAACTTTCCCGGTAAGCAGGAATACTCAAGGAATGTCAAAATAAACTCAAAAAATTTATTTACAAAAAGATTTTTATTCTAAAAATCTTAAACTTAGACAATTTGCAATATTTATGAAAATTCTTCTAAATAAAATTCTGAAAAAAGTTCTTTAAAAAATTCCTCCTTTTAATTTTTTTCTTCTTAATTTTAAAAAGGATAATAAATTTAAATTGAAAAAAATAAAAATTTTATTAATTCTTCCATTTTTCCATTTATAATTTCCAAACTTTCATCTATTAAAATTAATTTTATTTTTTAATATTTTTCAATTTCTTTTTTTTTTTTATTTGTTTTTTCGTCATTTTTCTTCAAAAGACTCACAAGCTCAATTTTTTGCCAATTTTTACCTATTTTTTAACCAAAACAGTATATTTTTTGTAACGTTTTTTACTCTTTTAATAAATAATAAAACACAAAATTGCTCTAAAGATGTCCTTAATTTTAATTTTTGGTAAATATTTATATTAAATTAACTAAAGTACTCATTAAAAAAGCTACTTTAGAGTATATTTCCATTTTCTAATTTATATTTTCACCATTATAATAAAATTCATCGTTAAAAAATTCCTAATAAATAATAATTTCTTCCACTAAACAATTAATTAAATAAAAAAAATTGACATAAACATTAAAAGAGAAATGTTTTTCAATTAAAAAGCCGAAAGGTTATTAAAAAATTTTCATTAAAGGGAAAAAAAGTGCATTAGTGTAACAAAAATGATCTTTCTAATTCTTAAAATTTATCAACTCTTATACAAAATGCTATCTAATATCCTTATAGATATTACTTTATTATAATAAGAGGTATTTGTTTGAAGAATTATCGTCTTCTTTTTTTTATAATTCTTGTATTTTTTGTTCTAATTAGGAAATCATTTTTTAAGAAAAAGAAGATTATTCAAAAAATCTCAAATTACAAACAAAAGTAAAAAAATGACTTATTCTTTCAAAAAAAGATGTATTTTCTTCCAAAATTCTATGTATTTATTTCAAAGCTCTAAAAGAGTCAAAAAGTACGTCAATATATTACATTTATGAATATAATTTTAATTAAAGGAAATATTTTTTATCTTTTTATTTTATTAATTTCAATTAAATATTTTCTTATTAAAGTATGTTTTCAGAAGATACAATTTAAAAAGAACTGTTCTTTTCTAAATGTTTTATATTAAAAGTATGTTTTTTTTAATTATTATTTTTTTCTAATTCTTCAATTTACATTTCTTGCTTTTCATATTAAATTAGTGCCTTTATTAAATTTTCTAATTTATCAACACTAAAAAAAATTTCTTTCTTTAATTAATTTTATTAATCTTTATTAAAATTCTAATAACAACTTTTTATGATTCCTTTAAAACCGAAAAATAAAGACTTATGGTTTTATTTTTATTAACCAAGAAAAAATAAACAGCAATATTACATAATATTTAAATAATCAAATATGCATTCTTTTTCGTATATTCCTAATGTCAATTCAATAAATCTTTCATATAGTCTCACTACATTAAAGCATTAGAAACTTAAAATTTTTATATTTTATTTTAAATTTTCCTCATTTTCTTCTTTTTTTATATTTGTTTCTTCAAAAATTATTTTTTCTAAAATTTCTTCATTATTTTATACTCCTTGTTATATTTTTTTAATAAAAAAGGCATTTAATTAACAAAAAAATTCTAAAATTCTTTAATATTAGAATAAAAAATACCCAAAATATCAAAAAATTCCACCAAATCATTCATGTAAGTTTTCTCCGCATTTTTTTGATTTAAAAAAATCTCATCAAAAAAATACTCGAAAACACCACTTTTAAATACTTCTTCTCTATGAATTTCCTTCAAACAAATATGATATAAAAACCACATTATGGAACTATTTTCCTTCATATTTTTTGAAACTTCAATTACCTTTAGTTTCTTTAAAATAAGTTAAATTAACCCCTCATCTTCTTCTAAAAATTTCTCAATTAAATTTGGATTTTCTCTGCAAATATTACTTATCAAAAATGCACTTTAAGTCAAAAAAAAAGTCTGTTTTTCACCCTCCTCGTCTTTTTCCTTTTCTTTGTCTTTTTACTCATCTTTTTTTTCGATTTTATTAATTTAAAAAGCCAATGCAGTTCGAAATTCCTTCAAATTAATTACACTTTTAGCAATTTAAGTCGCTACTCGTCTTTCCGACCTTTTTGTGTTCCTTTCAAAAAGTGAGTTTAAGATTTCCAGAAGTTCACTAACAAAATTTAAATAGGAATTCCTATTCACTTAAATTTCTTCCTATTTAATAAAATCATATTATTTTAGGCAATCATTTTACAAAAAAATAGCAATTTTTTAAAGTAAATTATTTTCCAAAAACTAAGGCTAGACCTCTTCTGATTAATAAAAAACTAAAAAAGAAAATGCTTTAAAAACATTCTTAAAAACCTCCAAATTAAAAAACTGAAAATTTTTCATTTTATTGTATAAATCACCCCCTAAAACCTACTTAATCTCCCCAATAAAATTAACTTCGATTATATTTTCTTATAAAATTTCATTTACAAATTCAGTACAATGAACTTAAAATAAAGATCCTAAAACAGTTTTTTAAGAAAGTGTTTTTCCTTAATAAATAAATGAGTTTTCCTCATTATTTTATTAAAAATACATACAATCACCTAGTATTTTTACAAAAAGTTAACTGCTTTCTTTATTTAAAATCTAAGTCAATTAATTAAACATAAATTACATGAATTTAATTATTTCTACATCTAATTAAACTTCAAAATCTTCACTTTTCTAAAAATATAAAATTTCCTTTATTTATCCTTATAGGCTTTATAAGATTTCCTCAAAAACTTCTTATTCTTCCATTATAATTTTATATATGGGATTTTTAATTATTTATATCAAATATATATAGTTTTATATTGCCAAAAGAAAAAGTTGGCAAATTAAAGTTCTTCCCTTTTTAAAATTTTCCTTTAAGTTTTTCCAAAAAATAAACCTTTCTTTTAAACCGTCAAAAACTACACTATTTTCCTAAATTTTTAATGGCGAAAACAAATTCTATAGGGACTAAAAAGTACTATTTTTTTCATTATTTTCTTATATTTATATTGAAAAATATTCCCTATTCTAACTTTTCTAGATAAAATTTTTCACAAAAATCTACTCATAAGAACATATGACCTCATTTTGGTTATAAAAATTAAATTTTTCGCTTATTTCCAATATTTTTTTATCAAATATATCACTAATTCCACTTTCTAATTATTAAAAGAATTAAAATGTAAAATATAAAATCGCAAATAATATCCAAATTAGCAAATTTCTTCCTATTTTAAATATGGAAACTCTTCTTTTGTAAAATTTTCATCACTAAAAATCAATAAACTAACATTTAAAGTCTCCTTCTTTACCTCCAAATCATCACAAAACTTTAATAAATCAATCATTCTATCTATTTATTAAAATAGACATCTATAATAATATTATTTGAGCAATTTTTATTCTAATAGAAGTATTTATTTTAAATTTGAGTTTATTTTTTATATATAATCTTCTTTTATGAATTAGTTATTATTTCTTTAATAATGTTTTAATATTTCTATTTGATTTTCTAATAAAAAATCTAGTTTATCTAATATTATTGATATGCATTTAGAATCTAACGTACGTATTAACGCTTCTTCATTTTTTAAGTAATCTAAATTTTATATTGTTTCATCAATTGTATAGGCTTTTATTTTTTCGAATATATGTTCGTCTTTTTCCTTTAATTATATATATATATATATATATAAATCGTATTTTTAGCATTTTTTTAAGGTTTTACAAATGAAAATGAAACTTTCTTTAAATCCTCTATTAAATTTTGAGGGATTTTCATTTTGTTTTTTATTTAATTTTTTTTTGTTCTTTTTTTTTTTTCTTTTTTATTAATTTTATATTTTTTTTTTTCTCTCTTTTATATTATCAAATATTTTATTATAAATATTTATAGTTAAATATTTTATATATATAAAAAAAGAAGAAAAATAAATAGGATACTTTATTATTTAAAAGGAAACAAAAAATTATAATATATATTATTTATAATCTTTCTATGAAACTTAAGTATAAAAAATTATTAGAAACATTTATAAATATATTATGTTCTTATTTATAGTTATTAAAGCTTCTGACGTATATAAATATTAACAAAATTTATATTATTTTTTCCATTTATAATTATATATATATAATCACATTGTATTAACAACTAAAATTTATTTTTATATTTTTTGAATCATATTTTTACATTTATAATATTAGTCTATTTTATTTTTTTACATTTTTCGAATTAATCGAAAATTTAAATATTATGGTTAAAAAATGATAATGATAAATTTTGAACTTTTATTTTTATTCATTTAAAAAAAAAAAAAAAAAATTTTCGTATTAAAATAAATATTATATGAATTAAAACTATTTTTTTTATTATATGATAAAACAATTGTTTACATAATATAAAAATGCTTAAAATTCGAAAAATATAAATACTTGTGAGAACATTTTAATAATTCTTTTATATATATATCGAAAATTTGAAAATAATATATACACATAAAATATAATAATATATAAAATAAAAATTGAATAGATAGTTCTAAAAAATTAACCAAAAAAATAATTATTCAAATAATTATTTTATTTTGAATATATGTTTAAATTAATTCGTTTTATCCATTAATATTTTTAGATTATTCTATCGAATTTTCATTTGAATAAATAGTATAGCTTTATAAATTGGCTTTACTTTTGATTTATTTTAACTCAATTTCTTTTTAACTAAATAAGTTTTTTTAATTAATTTATTATCTTTTTTATTTATTATTTGAATTTTGTATTATTCCATATTATTATAAGTTATAATTATGTTTTTTATATGCTTTAAATTTTTCCTTTATCAAATTTTCCCTTTCTATATTATTTTAAAAAAATTAATTTTGGCAAACATTTTAAAAATATTCAAATTATAAAACAACATTATTTTTTTCACAAACAATTTATTTTTTTAATATTTTTTACACATCTTCTCTATTTTCCTTTAAAACCTATTAATTAATTAGAATTTCCTTTATACTTTAATTTGTATGTACAGCTGGTATAATCTAATGATAAGAAACACTATTTTTAAATATTTCTGAGCAATCATCTTGTTTTTGAATACTTTCGTATATTAACTAGACGTTTTTTAAAAATTCGATTAATTTATTATTCTATAAAAGCTAAATTTAACCAAAATAATTTTCTCCGTTAATTTGATCTAAAATTTCTAAAATTTAATTTATGTAATTTTTTTCAATAAAGACTCCATTATTCTTAATATTCTCAATATTTACTTTTAATAACTCTTTATTTTAAGCAAATATTTATTTAAGAAACGATATATATTCTTTAGAATCTAAATAATATTTAATTATTTAACTTACATAATTAAATTTTTCATTAAAGCTAATATTTTAGTTCAATATTCTTCTCTTTAAATTTTATATTTAATTTTTAAACTCTTTTTATAAATTTTCTATGTTTTTCCTATTAAAAATTTATAAAACTTACAAACTAAGGAGTTATAATATTAAATTATTCTTTAATATATATAATATAATTAAAATATTAATGATCAACAAAAAAATTATTTACTTTTCTTTTTATTTATTTCAGATATAATATTTAATTATTAAATATTATTAGGTTTATATAATTATTATTTATAAATGTTGTTATCATATTTTTCTTTGTAACTTTATTCTAAAATATTTTTTTCTTCTTCTTCTTTAAAAATATCTTTTTTTGAAGATTAAGCATTAACTAAAATTTTATTTTTCTCATAATCAACCAAGAAGCTTAAATTTCTACTATTTTACTTCGCTTTTAAACTTTTAGTGAAATTTTACGCTTTTTAGATACTTTCATTATCACTAAAAATATCACATTCTTCTAAATTATCTTATAATATATAATTTTCTTAAAATTTATTATTATTTCCTGTATTTTCTTATGTATTCCCTGTATTTTCTTAAGTATTTCCTTAAATTTAATCCTCTATATATAAAAAAACATCATCTTTTTTATTACATATTAAAAAAAAAAAAAAAAAAAAACTACTTTTATTAATATCCAAAAAAACCTATTATAATTAAAATTATTTTTTTTATTCAAAAAAGAAAAAACCCTAAAAAGCTTCTAATTATTTTTTCTTTAATAATTTATATAAAAAACCATTTTTTAAACACACCTAACTAGGGATTTTTCCCCAAAAATTTTCTAAAAATACATTACAACCTCCCTCAATTAACCCTTCTGCTATATCAAGTAAATTCAATTTACAAGCCAAAAACAACGCACTTTCTTTATGTTTACTTTTTTTATCCAAATTGAATAAAAATCCGCCTTATTTTTAAATATTTTTTTCCAAAAAAAGTCCTTTATTATACTCTAAAACGAATCTCAAGCATTAATAGAGTCCTCTTTTTGCCAAAATATGTACCGGCGCCAGCCCTTCGTGATTAATTTTATTCGGATCGGCCCCAAATTACATTAAAACTTCTAATATAGAATTCCAGCATCTCCAATTCTAGTTCTCATAATTCTCCATTACATAATGAATAGGTGTATTTCCCTAAAAATGTTAAAAATTAACATTTCCACCATTCTTAAGTATATCCTTTAATAGAAAATATTATTTTTTCAAAATACTTAAAATTATACAATTTCCCATTTTTCCTCCTCCCAAATTAACATTAGCTCCATTACAAACCAAAACTTTGCAACTTAAAAGCTTCTCCTATAACTTCAATACATAAGGATAATGGCGTGTGATTTTCCTAGTCTAAAACATCTATTAGGCTTATTTTTTCTTCTAAAATAGATATTAAAATGCCTATTTCCTCCCTTAAAGCAGCTTAATGTGTTATATATTAGAATTTTTAATCTTTGTATTAATAATTAATGTTAAAGTTTTTTGAGTTTATGTTTTAAACAAATTATATGAAAGTTATTTCTTATTTTCTTTCTAATTCTTAGAGCATTTTTTGGAGATTTTTTATGTTTTTTTCGCCTTAAACGCCGTTTTGGAGAACTTCCATTGAAGGCTATAAATAAAAAAACCAGTCTAGGGATAATTCTTTAAGTTATTGTAACAAATGGAAATCAGTGGGTATTTTTCGGAAGTCATTATTATTTATATGTAAAGATTATAAATTATAAAGGGTACAAATTGGTTATAAATTATCAATTCGATTATATGAAATGTCTAAATATTTCAAAGAAGTTTAAAATGAGGATATTTATGTAGGAATTTCGAAAAGAATATTATTTTTAAGAGACAAGTATTCTAATTTTATTGAATTGAAAATTTTTTCGTCTATTTTTCGAATTTAATTATTATCTAATTTCAAGGCTTTTAAATTTTCAAAAGTTAGTATTATTTGTGGAATTTCTTAAAATTTATTATTTTGTAAATCAACTATTTATATAGACTAATTATTAAAAAATAAAGTCTATGGAATTACTTAGGCTTATTTTTTTACATATGTGAATGAAAATTTAATTTTTTCTAATTAATTTTTTTATGAAAAATATTCAGATTGAGTTTTTTTATGAATATTTTTTTATTCTATATTATTATTGTTTTCTGTATTTAAAAAATATTTTTTCTTGTTTTCTTAAATATCTTCTTTAGATTATTACCGGAAAAAAATTTTCCTTGCTAATGTATATTTGCTACTTTGGAATATTAGTTTATCTATATTTGATATTGAGTATGTTTTTTTATTTGATGATCAACTTTTTACATTATATTAGTTTTTTCTTGTTATAAAAAAAAAAGATTATATTTATATATATATATTTATATGATTATTAAGCATTATATGTTTGAATTTTTTTATAAAAAAAATATTTATTTAAATATATTTACATATATATATTTATTCTTAAAAATAATCAGTAATTTATATATATATTT